ATATGGGTGAAGTTGAGCAGCTGTCGGCATAGTAGAGCTTGTATGGCGACACCAGACCGTAAGTTGACGAAATTTTATCTCTCACTTTCAAGGGACAAACTGCGTAAACTGGTAGGATTCCTTACGGGACATTACCAGTTTAACATCTATACACGATAGGGGTGGTAACAGACCCAATCTGTCGTGGATGCAATGACGAAGAGGAAACAGCTGAGCACATTCTTCGTGAGTGTCCAGCCCTAGCCTCCTACAGGGAATCCATACTAGGGGACATCTGGCCTAGTATGGCAAATATCAGGGAGTTTCCACCCTCTGCATTACTCAAGTACATTCAAGCAGTTGGGTGGCTTGACGAGTAGAGGAGCGGGAAAACACCCTGATATGGACTTGGGGAAGGTACAATGGGCCCAAAGGCGAGGCCTAAGTGCCGGCTGGCTACGGTCAGCCCCCATAAATTAAGAATCCAGATCCAGACCTCCGAGAAGGTTTCACATCAAAAAAATATTTATTTGGGGTCCCCCAGAAGGTTTTACATTTTTTAAGAAGACAGTTGGGACCCCCGAGAAGGTTTCACATTCTAAGAAAAACATTTGGCGCCCTGGAGAAGGTTCTTCATTTTTAAAAAAGACAATTGAGACCCCCGAGGAGGTTTCACATTCTTAAAAGAATTCATTTGAGGCTGCGAGAAGATTTTACATTTTTAAAAAAGACAGTTGGGACCCCTGAGAAGGTTTTACATTAAAAAGAAGACATTTGGGGTCCCCGATGTTTTAAATTAAAAAAAAAAGACAGTTGGAACCCCCGAGAAGGTTTCACATTCTAAGAAAAACATTTGGCGCCCTGGAGAAGGTTCTTCATTCTTAAAAAAGACAATTGAGACCCCCGAGGAGGTTTTACATTCTTAAAGGAATACATTTCAGCCTGCGAGAACGTTTTACATTTTTAAAAATGACAGTTGGTACTCGCGAGAAGGTTTTACATTTTTAAAAATGACAGTTGGTACTCGCGAGAAGGTTTTACATTTTTAAAAAAGACAGTTGGGACCGCTGAGAAGGTTTTACATTAAAAAGAAAATATTTGGGGTCCCCGAGGTTTTAAATTAAAAAACAAAGCCAGTTGGAACCCCCGAGAAGGTTTCACATTTTAAGGAAAACATTTGGCGCCCTGGAGAAGGTTCTTCATTTTTAAAAAAGACAATTGAGACCCCCGAGTAGGTTTCACATTCTTAAAAGAATTCATTTGAGCCTGCGAGAAGGTTTTACATTTTTAAAAAAGACAGTTGGAACCCCCGAGAAGGTTTCACATTAAAAAAAACACATTCGGGACCCTCAAGCAGGTTTCACATTCTAAAAAACATTTGGCGCCCTGGAGAAGGTTCTTCATTTTTAAAAAAGACAATTGGGACCCCCGAAGAGGTTTCACATTCTTAAAATAATACATTTGGGGCCTCCGAGAAGGTTTTACATTTTTGAAAATGACATTAGGTACCCCCGAGAAGGTTTCACATCAAAAAAATATATATTTGGGGTCCCCCAGAAGGTTTTACATTTTTTAAGAAGACAGTTGGGACCCCCGAGAAGGTTTCACATTAAAAAAAACATTTGGGGTCCCCGGGAAGGTTTTAAATTAAAAAAAAAAAAACATTTGGGGTCCCCGAGAAAGATTTAAATTTTTAAAAAGGACAGTTGGAACCCTCGAGAAAGTTTCACATTCTAAGAAAAACATTTGGCACCCCGGAGAAGGTTCTTCATTTTTAAAAAAGACAATTGGGACCCCCGAGGAGGTTTCACATTCTTAAAAATACATTTGGGGCCTGCGGGAAGGTTTTACATTTTTAAAAATGACAGTTGGTACCCGCGAGAAGGTTTTACATTTTTAAAAAAGACAGTTGGGACCCCTGAGACGGTTTTACATTAAAAAGAAGATATTTGGGGTCCCCGAGGTTTTAAATTTAAAAAAAAAGACAGTTGGAACCCCCGAGAAGGTTTCACATTCTAAGAAAAACATTTGGCGCCCTGGAGAAGGTTCTTCATTTTTAAAAAAGACAATTGAGACCCCCGAGGAGGTTTCAGATTCTTAAAAGAATTCATTTGAGCCTGCGAGAAGGTTTTACATTTTTAAAAAAGACAGTTGGAACCCTCGAGAAGGTTTCACATTAAAAAAAAGACATTTGGGGTCCCCGAGAAGGTTTTAAATTTTTAAAAAAGACATTTGGAACCCCCGAGAAGGTTTCACATTCTTAAAAGAATACATTTGGGGCCTGCGAGGTTTTACATTTTTAAAAATGACAGTTGGGACCCCCGAGAAAGTTTTACATTTTTAAAAAAGACAATTGGGACCCTCGAGGTTTCACATTAAAAAAAAGACATTTGGGGTCCCTGATGAGAAGGTTTCACATTCTAAAAAAAAACATTTGGCGTCCCCAAAAGGGTTCTACATTTTTAAAAAAGACAATTGGGACCTCCGAGAAGGTTTCACATTCTTAAAAGAATATATTTGGGGCCTCCGAGAAGGTTTTACATTTGTAAAAAAGATAGTTGGGACCCCCGAGCGTATTCTCACTTTTTCGAGAGTGGGATAATTTCCTAATTTCATCAATAAAAATTTGTTATGATGTCATAAACATAGATAATACACAATGAGAGAAAAAGAGAAAAAAAAAAGAAACGAAAGGTCAAGTTTGGAAGTTTGGATTTGTACACCACAGTTATAGGACTATATTGTTGCATAACAGTTAAATAAAAAAACATAGAATTTTTTGAAATGACGTCATCAAATTGTTGGTGAGGGTGATTAGCAAACATTTTGGTTAGAATTTAACCATCTACAATTCTACATGATATTTCTAATATTCATACAAAATTTGACAACGGTTGGCCAGACAGACAGACAGACGGAAACGGGAGACTAATTTTTTCGCATTTTAGGGGTCATGAAACGTCGCGGAAATATAAAAGTGGCCATTCGTCCAATGGACTCGATTATTATATGTACTTCCTTAGGGAAGCAAAAATTATAAAAAAAAATTGCGTTTTTTGGTTTCTGATAACCTCCTAAAGTAAAAATCAATGGCGTAAATGACACTCCCACAGATTTTATGACTTAAATTTTTCAATTTTTGAATCTTTCAGCTATTGGTTAGATTTTGCAATTTTTCAAGATAAACCACAAGCGTAGTATTTTGCATATTTCAGAAAGCATTTATTAGGCAAGAATTTTGAGATGGCATCATCAATTTTTTGGGAAGGGATAACATTAAAATGTTTGCAAGATTTTATAAAATTAAGAAAATATTTTTTTCGTAAACTTTGGAGTTGACGTCATGCCATGGTGGTGGAGGTGATTAGCTAGCGTACATACAAAATTTGAAGCAATCGGTCCAGTAGTTTCGGAGATTATGTTGTGGTGACCGAATTTGAACCAAATTTTCGCGCTGAAATTTAAAATTAACAACAGTGCGAAATCACATTTGAATTTGTAAAAAAAATTCAATAAAAAAAAAATCTTTAAACATAGACAACCATGTGCACGTTAGCGCTTTCGGGTAGTGGGTAGTCCTGCTGGAGATTTTAGTTAGAGGGTTGGTAGAAGATGGCGCCTTGGTAGAGAGGTGAAGGTGAAAACGTCATTGTTGGTTTGGTTCTGTGTGTGGTACCATGGTGAAAAAGACGCTGTAAGTTAGCTAGGTTAAATTAGTTGGCTTGGTAGTTCATAAAAGGGAAGAAGCCTTTGTTTAACGACAATTAATCATAACCACGACGACACCACCGCTTTCCCCAACACACGCAGCTAATTCTTACGGCTTTCTAAGCGGAAAAAGTGCTAATTTTCGACCGACGCTACACCTGCTGTAAACTTGTGTTATTGTTTGTAAATTCACCGATCAGCTTAGGATTTTAATCGTTAACTATTTCTAACACAATTTAACAGACATTAGATTTGTTTAGACAAACACTTGCTAGATTTCATGAAATTCACTGAGTCAGGATTCGTTTGATTTTGTTTGTCTAATTATGAATACGGTTTCTGGATGCTAATACTAAAGTGTTACATTACAACATTTCTTAATTCTTCACACAATATTGCTAATAGATAACAAAATTCATAATATCGTGAACTGACGAGAGCATTAAAGATTTCTCTCCTTAGGCAGTTGACTTCGTTGTTATCATCATGTCATCATCACATTTCTCGCAATGTTTAAGATTACATCACCGAGACCTATTTCCTCATTACGTTTAAGATTACATCACCGAGGCATTTCCTCACAACGTGAAAAATTACATCACCGAGACGCATTTTCCTCTTCACGTGGATAATTACCTCACTGAGGAGCTTTCCTCGCAACGCCTGATGCATTTTGTGTTTATTTATTATGTGTTTTGTTTGGGATAAGCAATCACTTGGATCAAGACATCAGTTAACATAACTTATTAAACATCTTTTTTTGAATGAGATGCGGCATAATTTAACCTCATGTGAATTTGTTAGCTTTACAATATTTCTCTATCTCACAATTTTAACTTCAGTAATTTTCTTTATTGTATAATTTAAATTGAACGTATTTTCATGCTCTGAAGTTTCTAACATCACGTAATTTTTTGTCTGCACAAGTTTTACTTCACACCAGATCTCTTTTTGTTTTTATAAATCTTTGCTAGCTTTTTTATGTAAATATATATATTTATGTTTCGTACTCTAGAGGTCATGAAACGTCGAGACAACTTGAAAGTGGCAAGTCGCCCAATGGGCTTACGCTCAGTAAGTAAAAGTTAAACAATCAAGGAATTTCAGTCGGAAACTTGAATTGTTTTGTTGATTGCATGTCGCCACTTTAAAATTCAAATAGGTGCGAATGAACTGATAATAACTTCATTGTGTGTAAAAATAGCTTTAAAATCAATTTAACGTCACGTGATCTCCTACGTGTTGACAGATTTTTCAATAGGTAAACATGCATCATATAGCATTGCCGAAATGACCAAAAACTATTATTATACCTCAATCACGGAAAACTTCTTCAAATTTCGCCTCAAAATGGCATGCATGCAATGACACACGTTGAACGCATGCTCAAAATTGTGGTACGGATTATTCCTGTAGAGTTTCCGCGCCGAAAGAATGAATTGCATCATATTTTTGATGTTGATTTCTGACACATGAACCACTTGTAGAATCATATAGAGGACGTACTGAGGCATCAGACCGAAATTATTGAGGTTGATGTACCAGTAAAATCTGCAATCAAATGCCAAACCCTCACCGGAAACACTCAGATTAAGTATTTACTTACTGATAAAAATCCGACGGAATTTTTGTGTCGGGATGAACAATGAAGTCATCCATATCGTGAGTGCACGGCTTCAGCTGGAGCCGCAACAGCTTCAACGAAATGTTGCTCACGTGCATCTACAGTCTTAAATTCACCATCGTCACCGAAATAACGAAAAACTCACCATTTTGTTCATCTCGATGTTGACTTTGGTGTAGTGTAGAGCCAGGGCGCAGTACACCGAGAATGTTTTGAACAAGTTTTCGTCGGTCGAGGTGAAAAAGGTGCCGCCGTTTATTTTATTCACGACCTGGACGACGCCCAAGATTCCCTCCACTCCCATAATGGGCATGCACAGGATCGACTTCGTGGTGAAGCCGGTTTTCTGGTCGATCTCTTTGTTGAAGCGCGGATCGTTGTAGGCGTCTTTGATGTTTACGGAGACGCCTGTTCGGGCCACGAGACCCGCGATCCCTCGCTCTTTGCCGAAGCGGATTTTTGTGTTCTTCTTGTGGAGACCCGTGTCGTGGTCGTCGATTCCTTCGTCGAAGAGGTCGGCCACGAGCTCCTCGTTTTCTTTGTCGATGATGAAGAAGGAGCCGCGCTCGGCGCCGAGGGTTTCTTTGGCAAATCGCTAACCAGAGAAACATACTAATTTGCCTAACTTGTTTTAAAAATTTTATAAATCTTATCCACCTGTGACACTGTTTTTTGACATTTATATGACGGAATTTTGTCCTAAAACAAACCACTTACGACCACGTCGGAAATCATTTTCTCCATCTGGACCGTGTCGGAGAAATAGTTCTTAGTCAAGTCGAGAAGATACTCGTTGAGCTCTTGCTGCTTCTTCAAGGCCACTCTTTGTTGGTTTTGGTGGATGGCCGCTCCCATCCAGCCCGTGACCACGATGGTGATCTTGAGGTCGTCTTTGGAGAAGTTCCCTTGATTCATCAGCGTGAACAACTCGATGACGGCGAGACAATCCCCGTCTGGGGTCACCACGGGTACACACAGCACCGACTTGATGGCCTCCCCTGCAACTAAGAACTAAAAAAACCAACACAAGGAGAAAAAATACCCTTGCGGGCCACCCCGTCCGGAAACCTCTCATCCCTCGTGTAGTTGTCCAGCATCACGTACTCCTTTTTGGTGGCAACGAAAGCGGCGATTATCGTCCCTTCTTCGATCTTCCACCGGGATCTGCCTTCACCGAGCCTTCGTGTCAGGTAGATTTCATCCAAATTAGCGTCCACCATGTACAAAGCATATCCATAAGCTCTCGTCACGTTCTTCAAAACGTCGCAGGTTTCGTGGAGGAGTGACGGAAGGTCGACGCTGTCGGTCAGAAAAGAGGAGAGTTCTCGTAGAAGGACACTCGGGGTTTTTTGCAGGAAGAAACTGAAGAGCTTGTCGCCTCCTTTTTCGTTGCGGCTGTAGGCTGACTTTGGACGGGTCTCGTTTTGGTGATTTTTATTTTTTTCTAACGACTGTACAGAAGTACCAATCATTTTCGGAAAACTCAGCAGAGAGAAAATTAATAATGAAAAAATTCATGCGATTAACTTTGACAAGAAAGACGTACTTCAAGGGCACTAGATTTATTTGATCTATTTTATTTTCACTAATAATGATAGCGTTTTTCTACAATGGAGTCATCTTGGCGCCACACTTTCTTGCCTCGGATGTCGATGATGTCTTGCCAGGTCTGCGTGAGTAACCTGAGGAAAAATTTTATAATCTAAACTTTATAAAAGGTGACATTTAAGAGGAATTTAGACGGTAGGGGAAAAGTGCCTAAAATGATCCCCTCAGGTCAAATGATCCCCATCAATTGTAAGAAAATTTGTGGCTCCATCTACCAAACATAACTGTCATTTGATTAAGCGCTCTGTAATTAGTACCTTCTGAAAGTTTGATGGCGTTCTGTGTATTCTGCACAGTTTTGTGCCAAAATATGTAAAATAAGCACCTCTGATCTAAGGTAAGATATATTTTAAAAGTCCATTACTTCCATTTGAAAGGTCTTATAGCGGTGGTAGTTGTTTTGACAGAATTAGATACATTTCAGTCGTAGGTTAGTTATGATCTTTTTACCGCATGTAAAAATTGAAGGTTAGTTTACAATTTTTGAATGGGGATATGCTACCTAAGGCGAAATGATCCCTTTTTCTTGAGGCAAAATGATCCCGGATCATTGGGCGGGACTAGTACCTGCTAAGATAAGACTGATTTTTGCAAATCATATACCCTCTAAAAAAAGAGATGGTGGGTGGGCGGGGCTAGTACCTGCTAAGATAAGACTGATTTTTGCAGATAACATATCCTCTAACCCCGCCCACCTACTCTTTATTTTCTTTGAGGGAATACCATTTGCCAATATCAGTTTTATCTTAGCAAGTACTAACCCCACCCACCCGCCCGTTATTTTCTTAGAATGTATGTTATTTGCCAATATTAGCCTTATCTTGCCAAGCACTAGCTCGGCCCATCCGCCCTTGATCTTGTTAGAGGGCTAGTACCTAATAAGATAAGACTGATTTTCGCAATTGACATATCCTCCAAGAAAAGAGAGGGTGGGTGGGCGGGGCTACTACCTGCTAAGATAAGACTGATTTTTGCAGATGACATATCCTCTAACCCCGCCCACCCACCCTTTAGTTTCTTCGAGGGAATACCATTTGCCAATACCAGTTTTATCTTAGCAGTTACTAGCCCCACCCACCTACTACCTGCTAAAATAAAACTGGTTTTCGCAAATGAAATACCCTCTAAGAGAGGAGAGGGAGGGTGGGTGGAGCTAGTACCTCTTAAGACGGGGAAATTTAAATAATTTAAAAGAATTTTAGGGATTTTCGTGTTCTATTTTTGGGAAATTCTCAGTCTTAAGAGGTACTAATCCCAGTCACCCGCCGTCACTTTTCTTAAAGGGTATCTCATTTGCCAAAATCAGTTTTATATTAGCAAGTATTAGCCCCACCCACCCACCCTCTCTTTTCTTAGAGGGTATATCATTTGCCAAATTCAGTTTTATCTTAGCAGTTAGTAGACCCGCCCACCCGCCCTCTCTTTTCTTAAAGGCTATATCATTTGCCAAATTCAGTCTTATCTTAGCACTTACTAACCCCACCCACCCACCCTCTTTTTTCTTAGAGTGTATGTCATTTGCCAAATTCAGTTTTATCTTAGCAGTTACTAGTCCCACCCACCCACCCTCTCTTTGCTTAGAGGGTATATCATTTGCCAAATTCAGTCTTATCCTAGCAGTTACTAGCCCCACCCACCCACCCTCTCTTTTCTTAGAGGGTATATCATTTGCCAAATTCAGTTTTATCTTAGCAGGTAATAGGCCCGCTCACCCGCCCTCTCTTTTCTTGGAGGGTATTCCATTTGGCAAAATTAGTCTTATCTTAGCACGTACTGATGACTAAAGTATTGTCTCAAACTCTTCCAGAAATTATACACCCCGTATTTTCGGTGCTTTTCAAACTTGTTTTGTTTATTTTTTTTAAGAATTTATTTTTTTGTTAATTTTTGAAATAAAATATTTATCAGTTATGTCATGATTTGATTTTTCTTGTTGATGCTGTCCCCTTATGGTCAAAATTCAAAGGGATCATTATGCCCATGCCGAGGGATCATTTTACCTATGGGGATGCCTAAAATGATCCTTTTGTAAGGTCCTGGAAAAACGTTAATAACATTTTTTATAATTATCGAATCACCAATTGGCTTATACTGTTACCTAGATAAATCAATGTTCTTACAAATAATGCTACAGTTTTACATGAATAATAATAATTTGTATTTTTTAAAGAATTTCTCCCTTAGGGGGATCATTTTAGGCACCTTTCCCCTACTATAGGTGATTTGGTTTTTGGTAATTACTTAGCTTCGATGTATAGACCCTCCGTGTTGGGTAGCAGTTTTCGCAATATTTCCAAGCCGGGAAGTAAGACGATGGTCATAAAATTGACTTGATCCTCTGGTATTACGTGGGTCTGATCTCTGTCCATGAGGGACAAGGGACAGAGTCCCATCTCCTTCTCCAAGTCGCCTTGTCTGTAAAACTCCGCTAAAAAAGCCAAATTCATTCAATTGTTTTTTACCCGACGAAAATAACGCACCGTATAAGTTGTCGGTGACCCTCTTGGCAACCAAAAAGGGTTTACATGAACCAGAGAGATCGCACATCGTCATCATAAGGGCCTTCAGCAACTGTCGATGGACCCTGTCAGTCCATTTAAAACCACCTGGACTGTCACACACGTTCTGCAACTTCGCCTTATTCGAGAAATAAACTTGTAAATCTGTCGCTAGAATCGCCCATTTGATTTCATCGTGTAAAGAACTCCATTGGTCTCTGTTAAACCCATGAAAAATGTTATATTTATTTAATAAAAACATGGCGACGTAGAAATGGTGGTTTTCCAAAACCGAGCCGTCGTACAGATACGCCAAGTCATCGTTCGTTATTTCCAGAAAGTTGTTAGTAAAACCTCCATGATCCAAGTCGTGACTTAAAGCCGCTATAAGCAACGCTCTTTGCTGAAAAACCTCATTCGTCACTGTCGCTTTCTAACCAACTCCTTACTTCTATATGTGTAAACCGCTCTCGGTGGCGCTTGATCATCAAGTGCATGCAATGACAAACGTTGAACGCGTGTTCAAAATTATGGTAAGGATTTCTTCTATAAAATTTACGAATCGAAAGAATGTATTCCATGGTGTTAACCGTATCGACTTCGTTGGAATTTATTATTTGCAGAAACATGTGGAAGCAAAACTGGGGCATTTTGGGGTGATCCTCGTTTTTGATGTACCAGTTGAACCTAAAACCTCGTTGAACCCTCGCAACCACGAAATTTGTACTCACTGGTCGAAACCAAAAGGAATAGGCACTTCGAGGTTTTCATGGATGCAGTACGCGATGTCGTGGACGCACGGATTCAACTGCAGCTTCAACATCGTCAAGAAGCAGTTATTTAGTTGTCCCTGAAAACGAGCGTCGTGTCATAGACCAGACATCGTCCGAAGGAGTTTCGTCTGTATTGACGAAATTCACGCGTTTTACCGTGGCGTTCAGTTTTTGCTGTATCTTGGTGTATCGCAGAGCCAAAGAGCAATACACACAAAAAGTCTTGAATAAGGACTCGTCCGTGGTGGTGAAGCCCCCTCCGCTTCTCTTATTGACCATTTGAACCACGCCGAGGATGCCGTCGACGGCCATGATGGGCATGCAGAGGATGGACCTGGTGATGTAACCCGTCTTCTGGTCGATCTCCTTGCTGAATCTCGCGTCCTTGTAGGCGTCCTTCACGTTGACGGTGACTCCCGTCCTCGCTACCAACCCCGCGATCCCCCTTTCTTTCGCAAATCTGACCTTTTGGCCTTTCTTGTAACCCGTATTTTCCTCATCCTCTGCTGAGTCGTCGAAGAGGTCGGCCACCACATCGTCACCGCTCTCTTTATCGATGATGAACATCATACCGCGCTCTGCGTTTAGAGTCATTTTGGCGAATTTCTATTATGAATTAATTATTATTTGTTCAAGCTTCTTAGATCACCCTTACCAGTATCTCCGATACCAGTTTTTCCATGACAACCGACTCCCCGATGTAGCACTTAATCAAATCCAGAAGGTAGTCGTTGAGTTCTTGCTGTCTCTGGAGCGCTAGCCGTTTCGAGTTCTGGTGGATAGCCGCCCCCATCCACCCGGTGACGATCAGAGTGATCTTGAGGTCGTCTTTAGTGAAGGGACTGGCATTCAGCAGCTTGAACAGCTCGATAACGGCGAAGCACTCGCCGTCTGGGGTGACCACGGGCATGCACAGGACGGCTCGGACATTGTGAGCTGGAGAACTTTGTTAGACAGTAGTCGCCGTCACCTGAAACCCTACTTTGGTATCCTATGCCCTCGGGGAACCTCTCGTCTTCTAGAATATCGTCCACCATCACGTAGTCCTTCTTGTAGGCGACGTAGGTGGCGACAGTCGACTGCTGCTTGATTTTCCATCTGATCTTGAACCGGTCGCTCGACGGGATTTTCTTGCTCTGGTAGATCTCGTTGGTGGCCGGGTCCATCATGTACAAGGTGACTCCGTCTGCTTTCGTTACGTTCTGGAGGACGTCGGACGTTTCGTGGAGCAGTGACACCAAGTCGACGGTGTCCGAAAGGAAGGACGATAAGTCGCGGATGAGGACGCTGGGCTTCTTCTTGAGGTAGAGGCTGAAGTATTTGGCTTCCTCGACTTCTTTGTATTTGATGTCTTTGCGCACGATGCGGACGAACGGGGCGATTACGCGTTTGATGGCTTTGTCGGTGATTACGATGTCGGTCGTGATTTTTTTGTTCGCGGCTATGTCTTCTTCATTACTGTGCGATGATTGGGCTTTTGGTACTTTGTTGAGCACTTTCGGCATTTTTGCAATTAGTAGAATCAGGAAATACAATAAGAAATATATAAAACGTGTGACGCTGTCACTAAACACAAAAAAATGGTTCTTGGACCTCGACACTTGATCTTAAATAAAAAAACGCCCAAGATATAATAATTAAGTAATAGCGTTGTCTTCATTGATTCACTATTAGACTTTAGTAGTGAATCAACGAAGACGACGGGTAATAGATAGGAGTAGTTTTTTTTATAATACCGGGTGACTATTAATGGTTGTGAGTGATTCTTTTGTCAGGTTGGTAACTTATTTAAAATTTATTGTCGTGCCCAAATTGTTTTTGACCGCGGCCGAGCATTTGGACACGAACAAAATTATTTGTATGATACTCGTGTGAAAACTCCATTGCATTACTCACTTACATACAGCGCTCGACTGCGTCTCGCGCCGTATTCCCGTTCGTAATGCAATGGACCGTTTTCAACACTTGTAACATAAATAACTAATTTGGGTGTAGGCCCATTTTCTTGGACGAAGGAAGAAAAAGACGAAAAAGGATGAAAAAGAACGAAGGACGAAAAAGAACGTAAAAGGACGAAAAAGGACGAAAAGGACGAAAAAGGACGAAAAGGATGAGAAGGACGAAAAGGACGAGAAATTTCGAAAAAGGTCGGAAAAGGATGATGAAGGATGAAAGGGACGAAAAAAGACGAACAATACGAGAAAGGACGAAAAAGGAACGTAAAGGACGAAAAATACGAATAAGGACGAAACAGCACGGAAAGGACCAAAAAGGACGAAAATGACCAAAAAGGACGAAAAGGACGAAAAAGGACGAAAAGGACGAATAGGACGAAAAGGACGAAAAATAAGACAAAGGATGAAAAAGGACGAACAAGGACGCAAAAGGACGAGAAAAGACGACGAGGACGAAAAGGACGAAAAATACGACAAAAGGATGAAAAAGGGCGAACAAGGACGAAAAAGGACGATAAAGGACGAAAAAAGACGGGAAAGGATGAAAAGGACGACAAAGGACCAAAAAGGACGAAAAGGACGAAAAATGCGACAAAGGACGAAAATACGAAAAATACGGAAAAGGACGACAAACGGCGAAAAATACGAAAAAGGATGAATAAGGACTGAAAAGGACGACAAAGGACGAAAAATACGAAAAAGGACGAATAAGAACGGAAAAGGACGAAAAGGACGAAAAAGGACGAAAAGGACAGTAAAGGATGAAAAGGACGAAAAAGGACGAAAAATACGAAAAAGGATGAAAAATACGAAAAAGGACGAAAAAGGATGAAGAAGGACGAAGAAGGACGGGAAGGATGAAAAGGACGAAAAGGACGACAAAGGACCAAAAAGGACGACAAAGGACCAAAACGGACGAAAAGGACGAAAAATACGAAAAAGGACGGAAAAGGACGACAAAGGACCAAAAAGGACGAAGAAGGACGAAGAAGGCCGAAAAGGACGAAAAAGGACGAAGAAGAACGAAGAAGGACGACAAGGACGAAAACGACGAAAAGGACGAAAAAGGACGAAGAAGGACGAAAATGGACGAAAAATGACCAATAAGACGAAAAAGGACGAAAAGGACGAAAAATACGAAAAAGGACGAAAAAGGACGGAAAAGGGTGAAGGACGGAAAAGGTCGAAAAAGGATGGAAAAAGACGAAGGACCAAAAAGGATGGAGAAGGACGAAGAAGGCCGAAAAGGATGAAAAGGACGAAAAGGACGAGAAATACTAAAAATACGAAATAGGACGAAAAAGGATGACAAGGACGAAAAATACGAACAAGGATGAAAAAGGACGAATAAGGACGAACAAGGACGCAAAAGGACGAGAAAGGACGAAAAGGACGAAAAAGGACGAGAAAGGACGAAAAGGACGAATAGAACGAAAAGGATGAAAAATGCGAAAAAGGACGAAAAATACGAAAAACGCGAAAAATACGAAAAATACGGAAAATACGAAAAATACGAAAAATACGGGAAAGGACGAAAAAGGAACGAAAAGGACGAAAAATACAAAATAGGACGAAAAATAAGAAAAAGGACTATAAAGAACGAAAGAGGACGATAAAGGACGAAAGGGACGAAAAAGGACGAAAAGGATGAAAAGGAGGAAAAAGGATGACAAGGACGAAACATACGAAAAAGGACGAAGGACGGAAAAGGACGAAGAAGGACGAAGAAGGCCGAAAAGGATGAAAGGGATGAAAAGGACGAAACAGGACGACAAAGCACCAAAAAGGACGAAAAGGCCGAAAAAGGACGAAGAAGGCCGAAAAGGATGAAAGGGATGAAAAGGACCAAAAATACGACAAAGGACCAAAAAAGACGAAGGACGAAAAAGGACGAAGAAGGACGAAGAAGGACTAAAATGGACGAAAATGGACGAAAAATGACAAAAAGGACAAAAAAGGACGAAAAGGACCTAAAATACGAAAAATACGAAAAAGGACGGAAAGGACGAAAAATACGAACAAGGACGAAAAAGGACGGAAAAGGGCGAAAAAGGACGACAAAGGACGAAAAAGTACGAAGAAGGACGATAAAGGACGAAAAAGGACGAGAAAGGATGCGGAAGTGCGAAAAAGGACCAAAATGGACGAAAAAGAACGAAATAGGACGATAAGGACGAAAAACATGAAAAAGGACGTTAAAAAACGAGATAGGACGAAAAAGGACGAACAAGGACGAAAAAAGACGAGAAAGGACGAAATAGGACGAAAAAGGACGAAAAATAGGAAAAAGGGCGAAAAAGGACACGCAGGGGTCGAATCTGCAGTCCGAGAAAGTGTTGGATTAATTTTCATAAAAGGTGATCGGTAAATTATCAAATAATCCTCCCCGACGACAAAAGCTAACGCAAGGCCAAGAGTATCGCCCGCAAACGAGTACATCCGTTAACGCTAAAAATTCCTTCCACCCCCGACGTTATCTGTTCACACCAAACGCATCGAAAACCCCGACAAAATCTCACAAATTAAACGCTTAATAAATAGCTACGGCCGACGTCGAGAACACATAAGGGTAGCGAAAGCGAGATAAGTCAAGTGAGACTGAGGGTAGATTTCAGCTAAAAATAGTAGAACAAGGCAACTCGAAACTTGAATGAAAACCGATAGCCATAAACCGACTTAAGTTATGGCTTGCCTGGGACGCGTCTTTTAGGTTTTCTTTTGCTGTTTTATAAGATTTAGTTAGGTTTGACTAGGAGTTCGTCATCGCTTCGTTGCGTCATCCTGCTGCTCTCTAGTAAAGGCGGCGTTGTTTGATATGTTTTTTATGCATGTGGGTTTCGCCCGCTACTGTTTTAGTTTGGATACGAATTCCAATGGAAGTAATTGTGATTGGCAGTTTTTAGGGGTGTACAGCTCTGCGCATGTTGTTCGCAATGTCTGACATGCGCAATGATACTTGAAATTTGCGAATATGCAAATTTTGTTCTTACGTTTGGGGATTAGTGGTCTGTTTGAAGGATACTATATGCCGATTAGGACATGCGTGTTAAGTAATTAAGATTTGCAAATTTGCGAATTTTGCTTTTATGTTCTGGGGATTTGTTTTTTTGATTTTGATTTAATGACGGCGGTCACATTATGATGGCATACCTGACATTGCTGCCAATATTTCAGAATTGCCAACATAAAAATTTGCTTCAATCATTAATAGTCACTCGGTATACAGTTGTTAAAGGTTGCTTTGAGAACTGTTTGTTACTATGTAAACAACTTGTTAAAGGCACTGTCCCTAAAGAGTGTATACTTTTATCAGGGACATGAGATTTCAATTTTGGTACTGATACATGTGTACAAAGTCATATGCAAACAATCTAATGCTTTATTTCAATTTCTTACATGTAAGTACTAACGATGGAGTCATCTTGACGCCAAATTTTCTTCCCTTTTGTATCTACAATATCTTGCCAAGTTGACCGCAACATCCTAAAACATTTTTTACAGTTGTTGATTGGTTGAGAGAGACCCATCTCGTTAAGGGTAATAAAGACATTATTATTTAAGAAATATTTAATATGACAAGGGGCTTTATCAGTGTGAAGATTTTCAAACGATTCTATGTTTAACACACAAAAAAGTGGAAAAAACAGAAGACAACGGATGATATCAAGAACATATATCTTCGCTGCGTATATATCGTACCTTCATACCTACACCTATATTAATATCATGTTATCATAGAAAAAACGGACTGTTGGTGGCTTATAATATAGACACTTACAATGCTCCCAAGTAGAGATCTCTGGTATTCGGCAAAATGATACGCAAGGTATCAACACACGGTATGACAACGACATTCATAAACCTAATCTGGTCGTCCGGAATTTGGTCCTCTTTGTCTCTGTCCATCACTGACAGAGGACACGTACCCATTTCTTTCTCTTGATCACCTTGACGGTAAAATTCTCCTACGAAAAAACCAATAGAAATCGTCTAGAGCAGCGGACTTTCCTACGGTAAAGGTTGTCCGTAATCTTTTTGGCAGCCAAGAAGGGTTTGCAGTTTCCTGACAGATCGCAAGCATTCATCATTACCGATTTAACACTAGTTCGATGTGCCTTATTACTCCAAGTGAAGGTCTTCGATTTGATTATGTTGATTAAGGTGCTTTTGCATTCGAAATACAGCGCTAAATCTGTTGCTATAATCGCCTTGTGTATTTCCTTAAGGAAGATCCTTCTTGTAGTTTCATTGAAATTCTTGTATATAGCGTGCTGGTTCAGCAGCCTTAAAGTCATCTGCCAGTGATGATTTTCGAGGATTGACGATTCATACAGCACTGCCAGATCGTGATGAATTATTGGCAAAAAGCTGTTAGTTAAACCCACGTGGTCTAAGTCGTGACAGATGCATGCAGTCAACAAGGCTTTTACCTGAAGAAGAATGTGATACACACTTTTGAGAAATATCTGTATATATTTCGTACCTCCAATTTTGTAAATCTGATCAAGTTCCGTTTAAGAATAACATACATACAATGACACACATTAAAAGCATGTTCGAAATTGTGGTAAGGAATATCTCGATACAATTTTCTCACGGTCAAAATAAATTTATACAGCGTGTCAAAATCAATGTCCCGCACGTCGATAAGCTGCGTTATTATGTAAAGAATATATTGTGGGGCTAACGCCATTTCGCTCGTATGTGGAATGTACCAACTAAAACTAGAATATTTATTAGAAAATAAGAGCCACTACTAGAAAGCATCAAAGTCAGAGCACACAACCGGTCTTGAAAACCAATCGTTCCTGATTTTCTCACTAGTGTTAAAACCAACAATATTTCTCACCTATCAAAATCCACTGGCATTGAAACCTTCGGTTGTTCTGTAAAATACGTAAAGTCGTGAATACACGGCACCTGCTGTAGCTGTACAGCACGCAAATTTATAACGTTTAAGTGTTTCTGCTTAACAGTTTGTGTGTGAACGTCCGTGTAATGCATCGCCAAAGAACAATAAAGCGAAAACGTTTTGAACAAAGTTTCGTCGGCCTGCGAAAAACAGCCCCCGTTCTTCTTATTGACGACTTGAACTACACCTGCAACGAAAACGTAAGACAACTAAGTACGTTGCAAAAACACAACCTAAAACTCCCTTCGCTCCTACAACCGGCATGCACAGAATAGATCGCGTAATGAAACCCGTCTTCTGGTCAATTTCCTTGTTAAATCGACTGTCTTTGTAGGCGTCTTTGATGTTGACAGTGATGCCCGTTTGTGCCACCAGACCGGCGATCCCTCGGTCTTTGGAAAATCGAACTTTTTTGCTTGGACTCGAGTCCGAGTCGCAGTCTTCGTCGAAGAGGTGCGCCACCATTTCGTCACTGTCTTTGTCGAGGATGAAGAAGGAACCTCGTTCGGCACCAAGGGTTATTTTCGCGAATTTCTACAACATTGTTGTGTGTAAAAATTCCAACTGATGCAAGGCCTGGCTAAACGTACTATAACTTCGCTCATCAGTTTTTCCATGATTACGTGATCTTCGAAGTAACACTTTATGAGGTCTAGGAGGTAGTCGTTAAGCTCTTGTTGCCTTTTAAGCGCTAACCTTTCTTGGTTTTGGTGGATGGCCACGCCCATCCATGCTGACACCATGACGCAAATTTTTAAGTCGTTTTCTTGGTATGGTTTCTGGTCTATGGTGCGGACGAATTCGAGAACGGCGAAACAGTCGCCGGATGGAGTGACAATGGGGATGCACAGCACGGATTTAGGGAACGTACCATCTGGAAATCAAGTGTAAAAATAGCAGCAGATTTCGTCAAGGGAAAAAAATACCATCATAGCCTACTCCGTTTGGAAATCTAATATCCAAAAGGATGTCTTTCACCAGAACGTACTCTTTGTTCTTTGCTACGTACGTAGCAACGAACGATTGGTCTTCGATTTTCCACCTGACTTTGTGTCTTTCTCTGGTGAGGACATTCGCGCTCTGATAGATTTCATTTGTAGCTGTGTCGACTAAGTAGAGCGAGACCCATGCGGATTTAGTGACCTTTTTGAGAACATCAGAAGTTTCGTGGAAGAGCGACGGTAAGTCTACACTATCGGACATAAAAGTAGAAAGATCGCGCAGAAGAACTTCCGGCTTTTTCTTGAGGTAAAAGCTAAACTGCTCATCATCAAATTCTTTGGGTTTTTTAGTAACCCGTACAAAAGGAGCGAGTACACGCCAGACAGTGGACTTGGAAGTGCTTTTATTACTACTGTTTGTCACAGGGGTTCGCCCGACATTTTCTTCTAGACTCGACTCGCCCCTTTTAGGTTTCGTAATGATTTGCAGCTTCTTCCGGGTTAAGTGCGCCATTTTATATAGCTTTGGCGAAGGGGGGCGCCTTAAACTACCTATAATTAAAGACTACACTATAAGTACTACTACTATCACTATCAAAATGACAACTATGATTTGATAGTAGGTTCCTAGATCCTAGAAATATATGCGGAGCAACTTCGTTTATCTTTTTTATTCAAAACTCAGTACAAACCAGTATAAAAAACATACATTAACTTAACCTAACATTATTATTCAGTAGTTTTTCATCCAAGCGACGAAAATTTCGACCCGTCCATTCTCTGAACAAATTTAAACGGATTCCTTTTCTCCAGATTCGGACTTAGGTTGATCGGAGGGGTGGTACCAGGCGAAGATGGCGCAGACTGAATAAGCGTAACCTCTTCATTTACCCTCACCTTGTTACCTACCTGTACCTTTTTGTGTGGCAGAGCGTACTTCAACTTGTCCCAGAAGTACGGATCGCCCCATTTAACATAAGTGTTCGTCTTCAAATACATCTTCAATTCTTCGTCCAAACTGTTAATGTCAACATCTCCGTACAACACGATGATGACTCTCGTTCTTCCCTCGCTCATCGCGTGAGTGTGAGCTGTACGGAACTCCATTTTCCCCCACACACTTTCCAGGAAGTTTTCTGATAATACTACGACTGTTCGTTTGGACTGGAAGACCGAATTGGTGATCTGGCTTGTTATGAGCTCGCCTGGTATCCAGTTCCTGTAGTGAACACAGAGTTTGTAACCCTGAGGGGATTTTTCTAAAGTGGGTAATAGATTTTCAGTCACGAATTGCTCATCCCCGTGCGAGTAACTTATAAAAGCGTCGTACGTTTTGTTCTTGTCTAAATCTTCTTCAGTCACCCACCAAAGACAAAGATTTTTGGAAAAGAGCCAAATTTTGATTTGTTGTTGGTAACGATAATAGCAAGCGGTACCAGCTGCGAAAATTAAAAGTACTACTAGTACTACTGAAAGCAGGTACATTGTCTTCCCGTTGTCACAAAGGTCGGATTTTTTGAGGTTGACAAGACGCTGTTTATTGTTGAGACAAGCTATGTCATTTGTGACAACCTACACGTAGAAGAATATGTAATTAGATCACTGTTTCGTTTTATGGTTGCGATAAGTACTTACTGCGTTTGACTGGCGGAGAAAATTGGCCAAACTTGCAGAATTACAGTCACAAACCCAAGGATTGTCATGTAGTGTTAACCGCAGCAGACGCGTGCTGTTTAATTTAGATACAATATGGGGGTCCAGAGTGTTCAGGTGGTTATGGTTCAGCTCCAACACCTGAAGAAATAAATCAAATACAAAATAAAACAACAAAATAACTCGAAAGTACCTCAAGATTAGGTGGTACCGACAGCACTTTACGAATTTTGTTATGAGCCAAAAACAACTTAGTGACGTTATGGAACGCACTCAATTCTGGTACTTGACTCAAATAATTCCCCTCCAAATTAATCTCCACTCGGTCGTTTTGAGTTAAGTCAATAATGGGGAAGTCTGTCAGCTTCCGGTACGAGCAATCGATAACAACAGATTTATCCAATAGTTTCCAGCTACAGGTGCATGCGTCTGGGCAGTGGAAGTTTTTTTGAAAAATTCCCAAAGAACATGTAAAATTTGCCGACACGTTGATAACAGTTGTTTGATTTTTTGACTCTTGAGAATTCAAACACGTTAATTTTTTTGGAAAAATGTCAATACTGCTTTGTTTCCTGCTGCTTTTCATAAAGACTACTAAATCGTAGTTGTTGCAACACTCTATCGGATTGTTATTTAAGTAAATCTGAGAAATGGCGGAAGTTGTCTTAAAGTCGACATCTTGAAAATCGACAATGGTAATTCGATTGTAGTTTAGTCTGATGGTGATATTAGCGCGAGGTTTGAGATAACGAAGCTGGAATTTAAAACGGTGAGTCTTGAAACATAAAAAATCAAAAACTTACTTTGATTGATGAAATATAGTTATGCCTTAAGTCGAGTTGAGTCAAATGAGGGGTTTCTTCTAGCGCGATGATTTCTTCAATGGGAGTGATTATTCGGTTGCGAGAAAAATCGACAATTCTTAATTCAGTCAGATTAGTGAACAGTTTTGAATAGACGTGTTCCAATTTGTTAGCTTTCAGATTCAGGTTTTCTAAAGCGCTTAAGTCAGAGAAGACATCAGACGCTAAAGCGCTAATAGAATTCTTTTGGAGATTAATCTTTTTTAAATTAACCAGGCCTTTGAACAGGACTTGCGATAAGTACTTAAGATGGTTATTTTCCAAAATGATCGTACTTAGATTCGCACAATTTTCAAAAATATGTTCTGGGATAGTTTGTAACCGACAGTTACTCAAATCCACATCCTTTATCGTAGAATTTGCAAACAAGTAGTCGGGCAGCTGCAAATTGAAGTTGTTCTTCATTCTCAACGATTCCAGTTTCCTGTTATATCTAAACAAACTTGACGGAATCATTTTCAATTTATTAGACGATAAGTTCACCTGTATCAGGTTTTTCAAGTCTTTGAACGCATCTTCCGCGATACTTTCAATCTGGTTGATGCTCAGTTCAAGAGACTGTAGACTCACAAGACCTCTAAAAGTCGACCTATCTAAGCTCTTCAGTTTGTTGTTCCACAAATGCAGCCTCTCTAGCATTTTCAGAGGCTTGAAAACACCATCAGGCAAATTCTCCAAACCATTCCCCGAAAGATATAAAAACTCCAGCTGTGGAACGTATCGAAACATTTTTTTTTTCAGAACGATATTGTTATCCTCTAATTCGAGGTTTAGTAAATTCGGCATGTTCTTAAAAACGTCTTCATCTAGATTAGTAAGTCGGTTCTCGTTTAAATTCAAATGTTGAAGACTTTCAAGATTTTGAAAATAATCGGCTGTCAGGACGTGCTTGGTACCGGACGAATCAATAAAATTTAAAGAGGTTACTTTTCTCGGGGAAAATGTTTTTATGATGGTGTGAAATGGTTTTTGGGGCCATGGGCAAGATCTCATTCGGAAAACCTCGACATACTCCATGGTAATATTTGGCAGCTGGTAGGGGTGGAGTATTTTCAGTTCGGTTGCACAATCTACTGAGATTTCGGTGTTTGCTTGTGTTACGTGAACAATGAGATCAAAATCGTCGCCGGGGGGACACTGGATTTCAAAATCGGTTGGAGAGCTGTAGCATTTGCAGGCATCTTTGGAATTACACGTGAGTTCACCGAAAGCAGAGGAGAACACCGAGAAGAGGAAAAGAAAGCTCCATAGTGGAATGGTCATGCTTCATGTATCTACAGAAGAACCACAATTTCAATTTACAGGGCGCAAAATAATCTGAGTGGGGTCCTGCTTCTAGCTAACTTTGAAAGTAGTCGTTCAATTTTACTTACGGAATTTAATTCAGGAACCAGGAGATTGTTATCGTTCGTTATCTCATAACGGTTAGATGACACTATTGCAAACTATGCACACACAACTAACTTTATTGTTTTTTAGATAATTAAGATCGCTCACTTTTATTTCAGATATAAAATTTAAACCGGCAGTTATCATTTGGAAGGTTGGTTATCAAGTAGCTCCCAAAAGGTTTTATCGTGAATTTATAAGGCATTCTTATTAATATAACACGATAAAATTGATAACGATTGATATACACAGAAAATAGAAAATGGGTACAATTGCAGTTAAAAATGATATGTGTTTACTAATATGTAGGAGAACGAAGACTGTAGGTATATGAGAAATGCGAGCCGAGTATTTTTTTGTTGATTTTGTTAATAACGTGCCTCTAAAGTACTTTCTTTGTTTATGCACTGTGCACTATTTGCAGGGCTGGCTTCAGAGATAAGCGACACTTGCTAGTCAAACGTCTTAGAGAGATTTTTTTTTCTTTTACTGCTATATAGTTATGATATCGAGACTAAAGCTTGATTTTGCATATTCAGCTTAGATTTTTCTTTAAGTAAAACTTGGTGAAGTTGACAACGAGCAACGTGATACTAAAACAATGAAAATACCGCCAAGTTTTCTATTTTTAATTTCCTTTGTAGAGTCATTTTTTAGTCATTAATTACATACACCCAACCAAATACAGTTTTCTCTGTGTTAATCCTTTCTATGTGGAAGTTTGTGATTATTTTAATCTATCTAAGCTTGTACACAAACTGGATTAACCATTGTGAAAGGTGCACTGAAATCCGAAGCCGGTCCTGACAATACGCTGCTTAAAATTACCTGCGCAAATTAAATAATTCATAAAAATATAATTTATCACATATTCTAGTCGTTCATATTTGTTATTTGACATAATTTTGGTTGCTTTTGAAGATAAAGAAATATAAACATTAAACACGTGTTTATTTTTTAAGATTTGCAATACTAAATACAACAACTTTGCGTATTGATTTGAATAAGATAGTAAAAATATCTTTACAAGCTTTGCTATATCAAAGTAAAAATTCAGGGCGTTGTTAGTTGCTTCAAAATAAACATGAGTCTGGAAATTTCTTGCTGGGCATTTCCGAATGATCGTTCATTTTTAAGCTCCAGGAACTTTTCGGAAATTCCGGAAAGCTGAAAGCATTTTTATATAACCTGTTTAACTTGCATAAGTGTAAATATTATTATTTAAGGGTATTTCCGAATAAGATTTGTCCTTTTTAAAATGTAGGTTTCGTTTTGTTTGTGTCATTTTTTGTTTGTTTTCACCCGATAATGGATTTTTCTTATTTTTGCATTAAAAAGTTATTTAAATTTGGACTTACTAAATATTATACAGCGTTGATAACGATATATAAAAAAATGCGGCTGAAGACAACAAGATTTTCATTAACTACACAGATCTTGTGACTTTTGGTTTGGAATCTAAACTCAAGGCAACACTTACCAGCAAAAACATTAAATAGAATACGCAGTCTACATTTTTTCTAGCTTCATTAAGGAAAATATACAACACAACATCAAGTTAATATTTGAATGTGACGTTTATTTACATACAAAATATATTAAAAGTCAGCCGTTCTAGAGATGTTGAAATTTAGTGGAAGTTTAAACACAAGTGTGTTTCCAATATTTTGAAGAAAATAAATTTGTGTATATATCGTTTTACCCCCAGAGTACAAAGAAATAAGTCTCCCGTTTCTGTCTGTCTGTCCCTCTGTCTGTCTGTTTGTCTGTTTGTCTGTCTGTCTGTCTGTCGTCCCGGATTTTTATTAGACAGATAATCTCTGAAAGTACTGTGCCGATTGTTGTCAAATTTTGTATTTATATTGGGAATATTATGTAGATTTAGGTTACCAGTGGCGTAACTACCGGTGTTCCATGTGTTCGCCGGAACACGGGCCCGCTGCTTCAAGGGGCCCGGACCGGTTACACGAAAATTTTTTTTTTATTAGATTTTTTTATATTATTGCCCAAATTACATCCCGAAATAAAAAATTCGAAAATGTGCGGTAATCCCATAATCGATCGAGCTATTTACGAAATTTTTGCTGCAAAGGGCTGGACTTTTGGCGGCATCTCAATTCTCAATATCATAGACACAATAAACTCGTGTTTTAGCGACCGACACCGGCGGTCGAAAATGCAGCAGCATCTGTTTCTAATAAACCTGTCGCAGTGTCGAAATCCCGTTGTGGCAAATCTAACACCCCATGTTGTAAATTACCAATCTTTATCCGACAAAAGTCAAAAGTATGACTAATTTATGATGCAAGACAACAAAATACTTAAATTTTGTCCTCAGATCTACAATGAAACTTCATGCGGTAATAAAACGTGAAAAAAAATTAAGTTTCAGTTGTGTTTTATGAAAACTTTCGTATTTTCAAAACTATTTTAATTTTGTACTTGTGGTGCTTTTTTGGAATAATAAAATATATCTGATGTATGTTACAACTAATTTTTTAAGTACATTTTTATCTATACTTCTACACTTCTATATTTCTATACTTACTTATAATATAAAGCTGAAGAGGTTGTTTCGTTGAACGCGCTAATCTCAGAAACTATTCGTTCGAATTCAAAAAATCTTTTTGTGTTGGATATTCCATTTATCGAGGAAGGTTATAGGCTACATAACATCACGCTACGATCAATAAAAACGGAGCAGCAATGAAAAATATCGGAAAAACGGGAAAATTATTCCTCCTTTGACAGCTTACGTTGCTCACACTGCTTAAACGGTTAAAGTTACATAAAAATCATGTATGATGGAATTGTTCCATTCTAAAAGTTCTAAAAAAAGTACGCGATAGCATATGTCTATCTTTTAAGGTCCACTCAGTATAACCTTTTTTATGGTAATGAAATTTGTTCTAAAATAATCTAATATAAAATTCTGGTGTCACAGTGTTTGTAACCAAACTCCTCCGAAACGGCTTGACCGATTTTTATGAAATTTTTCGTGTAGGTATATTCGGTAGTAGGTCCAGTAAACTATTTTTATAACCCTAAGTGATAAGGGTGGCCCACCATTTTTTTTTAGACATTTTTTATTTTTATTTTTTTAAGATATGGCATCAAAAAATACATATAACCCTAAATTTTCACCCATCTACCACCAACCCCCATTTTTTAATAACGATATGAGTAACTTTGCTTTCATCCACAGATGCGCAATAGGGTTGCAAAATGGCTATTGAATATAATCATTGTCGTACGATAAATTTTTGTGTATAATTTATAAATTAATTTAATTTAAATATATTTATATGTATTTATTTTAATTTAATTTTTTATTTAACTACCAAAATATTCACTAGAAATGCCAAAACAACGTCTGCCGGGTCGCCTTTTCTAATATGTATAATTGTATATATTTTAATTATATGTATTTAGATAATAATTATTGTATTTTGTTTTTTTAATTCAGTGTTTCAGGTAAAATGATTTTAATAAAACGTAAGTCCTAATTCCAATCTACGCATACTTTACTCATTATACTCATATTTTTATTTCGCTGTTCATTAGGGGCCCCACAGTGTTGTAGAACACAGGCCCGCTGTTTGATTGTTACGCCACTGTAGGTTACTAACTAAATAAAATGTCCGAAATATGATGAGTCTATACTTGTGATTTATCACTCCATTAATATTTTTTGGATTTGATTATACAGAATATCTCAAAAAAGTTAATGAATGCGTGAATTTATTTTATTGATTTAATCAGGAACTGCAAAAGGGAATGCTTTGAAATCTTGGAGATGTTTTAAAGTTATCATAAGCATGGTAAATTTTTGGTCAAAATGTATTTGCTTATCCCCCCTAAAAAATTGATGACGACACCTCAGAATATTGCTGAATAATATGTGATTTATCACGGCGTTAATAATTTTTAGATTCGCTTATACAGGGTGTCTCAAAAATATTAATGTCTGAGTCAATTTATTTTATTGATTTAACTTTGTTTTTTTTTTCGGAAAAAACGAAATTTTATAAACATTGAGCACGTCAAAAATGTGTAATTTTTCTATGCCAGAAAATCTATCAAAATTTCCTGAGATTTCCTCAAAATTTTTCCAATCGTTACAATCGTTTCAGATGCTATCAAAATTTTCCAAATCGCCTTAGGTGCTTTCAGATTCCTTCAAATTCTTTCCGACTCTCCCAATTTCTCTCAGATTCTCTCAAATGCCTTTAGATTCTTTCCGAATCTCCTAATTTCTCTCAAATTCTCTCAGATTCCTCCAGATTCTTTTAGATTCTCTCAATTCCTTTCTAATTCTCTCTTTCAGATTCTTCCGATTTTTTCAAATTCTGTCGAAGACACCGTTCTATTCGGAACCTTACAGATCCTTACAGATTCTTGTAGATTCTTCCAAGTTCTTGCAGTTTTCTTTTAGATTCTCTTAGATTTTTCTGAATTCTCGAAATTCTTCAAAACTCGCTCAGATTCTTTCAGATTCTTTTAGATTCTTTCCGAATGTTCCAAGTTCACTCAAATTCTCGCAGATTCTCCCAGATTCCTTCAGATTTTCTCACATTCTCTCAGTCTTTCAGATTCCTTCAGATTTTTTCCGATTTTCTCAGATTCTCAAGAATTTTTCACCTTTCAAATCGTTCCAGATCCTTCCAGATCCTTTCAAAATTTTTCACATCGCTTCAAATTCCTGCAAACTCGTTTAGATTCTTCCAGATTCATTAATTTTCTTTACGACTCTTTCTTAGGGATTTTCAAGATTCTTTAAATTTTCCTGTTCTGTTCAGATTGTTTGAGATTCTTACAAATCCTTTCAAATCCCTGCAGGCTCTTCCAAATTCTTCCAGATTTTCTAGATTCTTTTCGATTTTGGTAGATTCTTTCACATTCTCTCACATTCCCTTAAATTCTCTCAGACTTTTTCTGATTTCCTCAGATTCTTTCAAATTTTTCCATATAATTTCAAAACAGCTAATATCCACCTACCAAGATAAAAATAACAATAATTTTTCACATTTACTTTTAAAATAGGTATTAGAAAAAATATATATATCGGCGAGAAATAATAAAAATAATAATACAGCGCAAGCAAATTCATTGCTGAGGCATTGCCTCACCTGCCTAATAGGACAGGCCGCTCCTGGAAGATATGTCATTTACCGAAATCAATCTTATCTTAACAAGTACTAGCTTCGCCCACCCGCTCTCTATTTTCTTAGAAGGTATGACGTTAGCCATAATCTGTCTTATCTTAGCAAGTACTAGCCCTTCCTACACATCCTTTATTTTCTTAGAGGTTATGTTATTTACCAAAATCAATCTTATCTTAGCAGATACTAGCCCCGCCCACACATGCTGTTCTTATTATAACGATTTTATCTCTCTTCAATTGAGATCACCTTTCATTCGAACTAGACAAAATAGGTCACTGAAATGGAAGCGGGGTGGGTGGGCGGGGCTAAATTTATCTTTTTCATACAGAATCTTTTATAAGAATGCAATAGTAACACCCACCCACCCATCCCCTCTTCATTCCAGTGATTACTCTTAACATTGTTCAGTCATTTACCAAAATTAATCTTATTTTAACAAATACTAGCTATGTTCACCCGCCTTTTATTTTCTTAGAGGGTATGTAATATACACCAATCCAAGTTCATATACAGAGTCATCAAAATTGATTGAGAGAGTTGGTACTCCCTGTTTTTGCCGTGAAGTTTGTCAACCTTATGACAGATTTGTTTAAGGTTATGTGGCAATGAATTCAGTGGCGTGACAAGAGAACTGGGGGTTGATTGTCGAATCAATTCCACGCCCCAAATTCGTCTTGAGTACTACTCCGGAAATGCCATCACTAGAAAAGTGTTCTGCTCTACAGACAGAGGCATATTAGGAAACGCAATCGAACAAATCCAAAATCCGAACCTTCAAATCTGACAACTAGTATTTTTACAAAAAAAAAAAAAACGAAAAAAGACGCCACTGAGTTTTGAAATTTTAAACTTCAACCTTCAAATCTTGCAGCTAACATTTTTATACAACTTAATAGACCAAATTATTCAAGTTCAGGTTTATCAACTCTCTCAATCAATTTTGATGACTCTGTACGTGTTCTTGCAAAAATGTTGATGAGTTCATCACAAAATTGTGTAAAGTAAAAACTCAACTCAAAAATGCTGGAAATGTTTCATTGTACTTTCGGTGCGAGGGAATTCTGTCCAAACAACTTTCGACCATTTTTTTCAAAATATCTTTGTTTAAGGTGACGTCAGATTTTTATTAGGAATCAGTCAAATATATTGATAGTGATATGGGCAATGTGACATTAATCGCAACGTTACTAATGCAACATCAAAATTTCCCCAGTATTAGGTGTGCCGTTTCTGAAATAAATGGTAAAACAAATCCGCTCATACGACCATATTTTCAAACACTCTAAATAAACATTTCTAAAAACTAAAGATATTATCTGTGTGTAAATAGTACCTACCTCATCGCAGACGTATTTTTCGATAATATTTATCGAATAAATTTTGAAATGACGTCATGCATTTTCCAGGAAAATAAACAAACAAAGAAAGTGAATTTTTTGCGTAATCTTTGAGATAAAACTCATCCAGTTGATTTAAACTCAAATTTTACTTATCTTATGAAAGCAAGCTGTCTTTCAATCGTCTACTGTTTACAATGGGAATGAGAGACGGCTGGCTAGATAGCGATTTTTATTAATCGCACAAGTCTCTAAGAGCCAACTTTAACTCAAAAATTTTTTGTTCTCACATGGCTTGTGGTCACGTGGCTAGTATCAACCAATCCACAACCTGTAAACATGTCAACATGTGATGCCATATGTCATTAATCTAACCTCACTTTTATGTTGTGTTTTTATTTTTAATTTTTAATTTTACTATTAATGTTTAAGCCAGTTTTAAACAGTTCGTGTATTTTGTGTGTAACATATCTTTATAGTTTATAATAATCATTTTATTAAGATATTATTTATTAAAAAAACAATCATGTCCAAATGTGCCGTACGAATCGTAAACGTCGATTTCTACATGTCGCAACCAGTCCAAGACCTGGATGTGATGTACGCCGACTTTAGAGGCTCTTCAGTTTCACAGGTACCAGTCATTCGAATATTCGGTTCAACAGATTCAGGTGGGACCCCACACTCTGTAGCCACCAACTAACCCTACAATTACAGGCAAAAAAATATGTCTGCACGTCCACGGCGTGTTCCCCTATTTGTACATACCATACGACGGTAGTGCAGATGTCAATATTCTCAAATATCAAATTGCTGTGAACATAGACAAAGCAATAAATATTTCCTTCGGTCAAGCCTCCTCCACTGCCCAACATGTGTACAAAATAATGCTAGTTTCAGGAATGTGAGTGTGTGCACACTGCTTAAACCAAAAATTATAACCCATATTTCAGACCCTTTTATGGTTATCACACTCGAGAGCACCAATTTTTCAAAATATTCCTCTTCAATCCAATTTTAGTGCGAAAAGTGGCCAACATGCTTCAAAGTGAAGTGATTCTAGGCCGCTTATACCAACCACACGAGTCCCATATACCCTACATTCTCCAATTTATGATTGACTACAATTTACACGGAATGAGCAAAATTCTCCTCAGTGATGTTAAATTCAGAGACAACTCTACAAATAGTCCCCCAAAGCAGAGCATGTGTGAGCTGGAAGCAGACACTTTGTGTGAGAACATTTTAAACAGACTGGAAATATCTGAAGGCAATTTGGGGATTAATCCAGGAATTGCGGCTTTGTGGGAGGACGAAAAACAACGACTGCGTGACAAAGGCGAAGATTCAGAGATTGGAACCTGTCTAACCTTGGTCACTTCACAAACAGAACCAACGAAAAGCCACCTTTTATTTAAACAGGCGCTTTCAGAGAAGTTGTGCTTATATGAAGACGCCAAAGACAAAATCGACGACAGTATAAGCGTTTACCCCGCTGAAACCCCACACAACAAGACCCTGAAAAACGCGTCTTTTATTGAAGTTCATTCCCCTTTATCTTCTGGAAGTTTGAATGAAAGCGCTGATTTAAACGCGACGCTGGATGATGACGCAAAAGACTTGTTTGAGATTTTGCAGGATTTGGGGAGGAAGAACTTGGAGGAGGAGGAGACGGATTGCATTTTGTCGCAGGTGCAGAAGGAGGACGACGAGGAAGAGAACGATTTTGACTTGAGCATGTCTATGGCGGAGACCACGCCGTTTAAAAGTATCGTGGAGAGTTTGCAAGGCAACGAGTTCGATGATAGTTTGGATGTGACGTTGGTACCGCAGCTCGACGGCCAGAACGATGGGTCTGATGAGGAGAATGAGGGGAAAGGTCGCTCGACGCAGAAAAAGTGTAAATATGGCGCTTTGCCGATTTTTGTGTCTTCGCCAGCGGTCAATGGGCGGGTTCTGGGTAAGTATTTTCGTTCGAGACCACGTAACGGAAAAATCGGTAACGTGATTAAAGTATTTACTTGTTTTGTTTGCTGTTGGGGCGTAAACGTTTTGTTATAAATTGTTATTATAAGTTTTTTTGACCTATATGCTTATCAAGGTCGCAAAAAAAAATATTTCTTTTTAGCAAATAAGATAAAGAAGACAATATCAATGTCTATATATTTTATTTGTTTAAATAATTGCACAAAATATGGAATATCCAAGAACGAAAAGGCTGTGTATATATATATGAGTCAAGGTAATCATTTTTGTAATAATTGAAGGTTTGAGGTGTGCCATCGACGTTTAATACAATTATTTTCCGGGAAGTTGAAGTTGATATTATTTGCGACAATAGTGACCATTTTACATCTTTTGGTTATTTGTTTTTAATAAAATATACAAAAATTGACCTGAAAAATCGAAGATTGAAAAATCTAAAATTTAAAAAATTGATGAAAAATCCAAAAACTGAAAAATAAAATAACTGGAATCTTCAAAATTTTAAACTTTTAAAAATTTAAAAAACTGAAAAATATTGAAGAACTGAAAAATCGAAAAATCGAGAAATCAGGATAGGCCAAAATCGAAAAGATAAAAATTGAAAAATTTTAAATTGAAAAAAATCCATACGTTGAAAAATTGAAAAACCGCAAAGTCTAAAATCGAGAAGTCGAAAAATTTAAAGATCGAGAAATCGAAACATCAAAAAAACTGATGAATTTAAAAATTCGAAATTGAAAATATCGCAGAACTGAAAAATTTAAAAATCAAGAAATCGAGAAATCGAAAAATATAATATTTTAAATATTGAAAAATTAAACTATTTAAAAAATTGAAAAATCTGGAAATTGAAACGTCAAAAAATCGAACAATGGCAATTTTTTCAATTTTTGAGAAATTGAGGAATCAAAAAAGTAAAAAACCGAAAAATTGAAAACTCGAAATATCGAAGAACTGAAAAATCGAAAAATTTAAAAATTTAAAAATCGAAAAATTGACAAAGGAAAAATCGGGAAATCTAGAAATCGAAAATCCAAACTTTTAAAAATCGCAAATATTGAAAAACGGAAATCTGAAAAATCGGGAAATTGAAAAACTCCAAAGCTGAATCGGCGAAAAATTCGGAAATCGAAACACTGAAAATTCGAAATATTGAAAAATTGTAAAATCGAAGAGTTGAAGAGTCGAAAAATCGAGAAATTGGGAATTCGAATAATCAAAACTTCGAAGATTTCAACAACTGAAACATCGAGAAATCGAAAAATTATCGAAAAGTTGAGAAGTCGAAAAATTGAAAAAATGACAATATTAAAAAAGGCTTATAACAAAAAATCGAAAATTTGAAATTTGAAAAAATCGAAAAATAGGGAAATTGAAAAATCTAACATTTAAAAAATTGAAAAATTGAAAAATCTGAAACAGAGAAATCGAATAATTGAAGGATCGACAAATCGAAACTTGAAAAAACTAAAAAATTTAAAATTCAAACATTCAAAAAATTAAAGTATCGAAAAACCCCAAAACTGAAATCTCGGAAAATTGAAAAATGCAAAATTTAAAAAATCCAAAAACTGAAAAATAAAATAACTGGAATCTTCAAAATTTTAAACATTTAAAAATTTAAAAAACTGAAAAATAGAAATATTGAAGAACTGAAAAATCGAAAAATCAGGTAGGCCAAAATCGAAAAGATAAAAACTGAAAAAAATCCATACATTGAAAAATTGAAAAACCGCAAAATCTAAAATCGAGAAGTCGAAAAATTTAAAGATCGAGAAATCGAAACATCAAAAAAACTGAAGAATTTAAAATTTAAAAATTCGAAATTGAAAATATCGCAGAACTGAAAAATTGAAAAATCAAGAAATCCAGAAATCGAAAAATATAAAGTTTTAAATTTTGAAAAATTAAACTATCGAAAAATTGAAGAATCTGGAAATTGAAACGTCAAAAAATCGAACAATGGCAAATTTTTCAATTTTTGAAACATTGAGGAATCAAAAAAGTAAAAAATCGAAAAATTGAAAAGTCGAAATATTGAAGAACTCAAAAATGGGGAAATTGAAAAACTCCAAAGCTGAATCGACGAAAAATTCGGAAATCGAAAAACTGAAAGTTCGAAATATTGAAAAACTGTAAAATCGAAGAGTTGAAAAGTCGAAAAATCGAGAAATTGAGAATTGGAATAATCAGAACTTCGAAAAATTCAACAACTGAATCATCGAGAAACCGAAAAATTATCACTGGTCAACAGCTAAACTCTAACTTTTATTATAGCAGTCAATTATTATTTAATTAGCAATTTTAAATGATATTATAAAGGGCTAAACCAAAACTTAGCTCTCATTTAAAAGTAATCTTAAAATATTATCCTTTGAAAAATACAAAAATCGTACTATTAAGTAATAGGAAACTTACTATAAGGTGTATTTTTTTGTAATCAAATTACTACAAACTTCTTGGGAAACAATAAGAAAACTACGTTTAGTAAGTAGAAGACATGTTATCATCATATAAAAAATTTAAAATTAACATATTCTTAAAAGTGCATTTTATACACTCGCACCTTGATTTTTTCCCCAAAAATTGTGACGACGTGAGTTACCATCATAGAGAACGCATCCATCTGGGCATTTTGTCGATAGAAAAACGTTACCAAGATCGATGGAATACCTAAATTACACCTAAATGCTCGCAGAATACTGCGGGACCATCAAGCGAGAGATCTCCAATAAAATCTATAGGAGGCAACCGAAAAAACGTCGGTCTTCGCTGTTTCTTTTGTTTTTTTCGTTTTTTAAACTACATTCGTTGTTTTTTTCTCATTTAAGGTTGTTCTTTTGTTAATACTACACTTTTTGCCGTTAAAGATACAAAAATTAAATTGTTTTACCTGATTTTCTGTTTCAAACATCAAATATGCATATTTTTTTTAATTGAGCTAAGTTATAAGATTTATGCTCTTTGTTACAAACACAGAGACAAATTAAACGAAAACATTACAATTATGTCAAAGTTAGAGAGAAAAAATTAAATTTTGTTGACCAGTGATCGAAAAGATAAAAATTGAAAAAAATCCATCGGTTCAAAAATTAAAAATCGAGAAAATCAGAAACTCGGAACCGAAAAATTGAAAAATCGGAAGATCAAAAATTTTCAAACTCGAAAAATTAAAAATCTGAAAATTAAAATGTCAAAAAATCGAACAATGACAAATTTTTCAATTTTTGAAAAATTGAGGAGTCGAAAAAGTAATAAATCAAAAAATTGAAGATTCGAAATATTGAAGAACAGGAAAATCGAAAAATTGAAAAATTTAAAAATCGAAAAATTGAAAAAGGAAAAATCGGGATATCCAGAAATCAAAAATCCAAAATTTAAAAAATGGCAATATTAAGAATCGGAAAACTGAAAATTCGAAATATTGAAAAATTGAGAAATCGAGTAATCAAAACATCGAAAAATTCAATAACTGAAACATCAAGAAATCGAAAGATCATCGAAAAGTGGAGAAGTTGAAAAATTGAAAAAATGACAAATTATAACGAAAAATTGAAAAATAAAAAAAAAATCGAAAAATTAAAAAATCCAAAAGTAGAAAAATTGAAAAATCGAAAAATAAAAAAAAACAAAATATCCAAATCAGGGGAGTCGAAAAATCCAAGGATCGAAACATTAAACACTGAAAAATCTAATCACAATTTAAAAATTTGACAAACCGAAAAATCGAAGAACTGAAAAATCGAAATATCGAGAAATCAAAAAACTAAAGTTTTAAAAATTGAAAAACATTTTTGTAATAAGTGACGGTTTGAGGTGTGCCGTCGAAGTTTATTACAATGTTTTTCCGGGAAGTTGATATTATTTGCGACGATACTGACCATTTTACATTTTTTTTATTCTTTGTTTTTAACAAAATATACAAAAAATTGGCCTGAAAAATCGAAAATCGACAAATCGAAAAATCTAAAATTTAAAAAATCCAAAAACAGAAAAATAAAATAACTGGAAAATAGAAATATTGAAGAACTGAAAAATCCACAAATCGAGAAAGAAAGGCAGGCCAAAAACGAAAAGATAAATATTGAAAGATTTCAAATTGAAAAAAATCCATACGTCAAAAAATTGAAAAATCGAGGAAATGAACAATCAGAAACTCGGAACCGAAAAACTGAAAAATAAATAAAATTTCGAAATTGAAAATATCGCAGAACTGAAAAATTTAAAAATCAAGAAATCGAGAAATCGAAAAATATAAAATTTTAAATATTATTGATCGAAAAACTGAAAAATCTGAAATTTGAAACGTCAAAAAATCGAATAATGGCAAATTTAAAAATTGAAAAATTGAAGAGTTGAAATATTGAAGAACTGAAAAATCGAGAAATCGAAAAATTTTAAATTAAAAAAACGTAACGTTAAAAAATCGAAAGATTGAAGAGGGAAAAATACGGAAATCGAGAAATTAAAAATCCTAAATTTTAAAACTCGCAAATACATATTGAAAATCTAAAAACTGAAAATTCGAAATAATGAAAAATTGTAAAATCGAAGAGTTGAAAAGTCGAAAAATCGAGAAATCGAGTAATCAAAACATCGAAAAATTCAACAACTGAAACATCGAGAAATCGAAACATAATCGAAAAGCGGAGAAGTCGAAAAATTGAAAAAATGGCAAATTAAAAGAGGCTTCTAACCAAAAATCGAAACTAATAATTGAAAAACTGAAAAATTAAAAAAAAAATCGAAAAATAGAGAAATTGAAAAATCGAAAAACTGAAAAATCCAAAAATTTTAAACCGAAAAACCAATAATTTTAAAGATTGAAAAACCATTTTAGTAATAATTGATGGTTTGAGGTGTGCCATCGAAGTTTATTACAACATTTTTCCGGGAAGTTGAAGTTGATTTTATTTGCGACGATATTGACCATTTTACATTTTTTTGATTCTTTGTTTTTAACAAAATATACACAAAAATGTCCCTTGGGAGCAAGATTATTGGGTTGATATTTAAAAAAATTAGGTCACTTGTTTTTTTTTCCGGGTACGGGTTAGAGGAAGTAATATTAAAGTAGCGATTTCACGTTTTTTGTACCATAAATTTTTAAAATCTGTCCTAGCGACTATTATTAATTTAATAATTACAAATCACTGTTTGTTAACACCAACTGAAACAATTGATCACGTTGTACCATTTTATACCGCAAATGCTACTTATTAATGATTCAAGGAAATTTTTGTGTTGGCAACAAACGTGATTAGAAAATGGGGTGAAATTTTACAAAACGCACTTCTCGATTTTGCACAAACTGTTTGCGTAGAACTCTTCTACATCACCCCCTGATTACGTTCCTCACCTTCAAAAGTGGTGCAAATACTTCCTTGTGTCAGAAAAAAATTTTTAGAGTTCGCCCTATGATTCACATCCGTTGCGGCAAATGTAGGCAACCAACTACACACAATTTAACTCGCACGAATTCCAATAACTAAATGATCCAATGATTTGCAAAGGGGTGTAGGACGTGAAGCGCCCTGGCTCCACTAAGAACCCGACATTACACCCGAGCGTGTTGGTGACTATAAAAAGTTAGGTTATGTTAGCAACAGCTGCCATTAAAAAGTGCACGAATCGGAAATTTAACAGTTTGTGCGAAATCGAGAAGTGTGTTTTGTAAAATTTTACCCAGAGCTTTCTGTTCAAAAACCTCTTTCGTTATCGTTGGCTAATTGTTTGATTTGTTTTTGTGTAGAGCAGGCCCCCGACAAAAACCCTCCCGGTGTAGATCAAGTTAAACGAAAGCTAAACTTTCGTTTCGCAGACACCACAATCTGTGAAAGCACCATAGAATGTCAATACAAATCTACCAGCAAAGAACGAATTTATAATATAAACCCATGGAATAAAAAATTAAAGACACAAATTCCTCACAGTTCTGAAACCAAATTGAGCTTAGGTCCAACACAAGACGATACAGTTTCTTCACCTAGCGAAGACAAGACAATAGAAGAATTTTCTTCATCCGGCGAACCAAAATTTAACACGGATGACACCCCACAAACCAATCACGAACAATCTGAGGAAGAAATATTCGAGGACCAAAAAAACATGGTCCCGACTCTCACCGCCGCCGAACTATACGACATCCAAACTAATTACAGACCAAAGGAAGGCTGCTCCTCTAAATTCACCCAAGACTCCCAAAATTCCGACACGAAATCCAGTGACCTATTCCCGGTCCTAGAACAGGAATCTGCACAATCCACTCCGCAGGACTTGGATACCACCATCACGCCCGATTTGTATCCCACTCCTGACTCTATATCCCAGAATTCCAACACCCGTGAAAATAAAACTCGCCGCATTATAACGCCTGTGCTGCGTCCCCCAACCCGAGCCGAGGTCGTGAGTAGTTTGGATCAACTCAACATACCCCACGTGAGGTACCAGACACCTTTTTACAGCGACCCGGCGGACGCTACAGGGAGCATCGAAGTGGGCCACCGGGTTTTAAAAATCCCGACTAAGACAATCATGGATTTGGAAGACTGCAAGACGCGCTACGACGGCATAGACGCTTACAGAAAGACCAAAATGCCCGCGAATATGAAGTGGACCCGCGAAAACGTGAACAAGATCAAGTTGTCGTATTGTAGTGAGAATTCGCGGATTATCGAACCCGTGAAGCACCCTCCAACCAGAAAGGAGGTTGAGGACTGGTTGAAAAGGCAAAGGGAACCGAGGAAGAGTGAAGTCAAAGAGGCGAAGAAAGAAAGGGTAATCATTCCGGGTAGTCCTGAGGATGATAATAGTGAGATGGAGTTGACTTTGACGTTGTCGCCCTGTGAGGGTAACTCGGGGAAGTGTGAGAGTCCCGTTTTGGGGAAATCTAGCAGGAAGAGAAAAAAACGGGACGACTCGTGTCGGATTACGGGGAAGAGTTTGGATAACACGTACGGGTTTAAAGTCACCCCTGAGAATCTCCAAGAGGCTAAAGCTGTCAATGAGTACCAGTATGTTACGATTTTTGTGGTGGAAGTGCACGTGGACACAAGAGCGGAGTTAAGACCAGACCCTGCGTACGACTCTGTACAAGCGATTTTTTTCTCGGTTGAGGAAGATGGACCCGAAAAGAGAAGTACTTCTGGATTGATTGGGGTTAAAGTTCGCGTTGCTGAAGTCGATGGTGATATCCTGTGTGTGGAAAACGAAGAAGAACTCTTTAAGGAGTTCGTCAAGTTAGTACAAAAGTGGGACCCTGATATTCTCGCCGGGTACCAAACCGAGTTGTTGTCCTGGGGGTTTCTTCTGGAGCGTTCTCAAGTTCTTGGTAATGATCTTCTCCAAGCGCTGTCTCGAATCAAGGAAAAAACGCGGAGTTACTCAGACGAGGGTTTGAAGATCACCGGCCGCATTCTGCTTGATTTTTGGAGGCTTCTTCGACACGAAATCGCCCTCCAGAGTTATACTTTCGAAAACATTATGTACCATTTGTTGCACAAAAGAGTGCCTTCGTACTCCTTCAAACAATTAACTGCGTGGTGGAACCACCCGCTGTACCGTCACAGAACCATGTCCTACTACCTCCTTCGAACGCAAGGTCTTCTACAAATCCTAGACCACTTGGACCTTGTAGGTCGTACCAGCGAACTCGCGCGTCTGTTTGGTATCCTCTTCTTCGAAGTACTGTCACGAGGGTCGCAATTCCGGGTCGAATCCATGATGCTCCGTCTAGCCAAACCCTTGAACTACATCCCGGTGTCCCCCAGCGTGCAACAAAGAGCCAAAATGAAAGCCCCCGAGTTTCTCCCTTTAATCCTCGAGCCTGAATCCAAGTTGTACGTCGATCCAGTCATAGTCCTGGATTTCCAAAGCTTGTACCCTTCGATGATAATTGCCTATAACTACTGCTTTTCGACGTGTTTGGGCAAAGTGGCACGGTTAGGAAAAAACACCCCGTTTGAGTTCGGCGCGACGCAACTGAAGGTGTCTCGAAAAACCGCAAAGAAACTTCTGGAGGAGGACTGTTTGAACTTCTCCCCTTGTGGGGTCGCGTATGTTAAGAAAAAGGTCCGAGATGGGATTCTCCCGCGCATGCTCCGAGAGATCCTGGAGACGCGTCTGATGGTCAAGAACTCCATGAAAAAGAACAAGGAGGATAAAATCCTCCAGAAGGTGCTTCATAGTAGACAGTTGGGGTTGAAGTTGATCGCGAATGTGACCTACGGGTACACGGCTGCCAACTTCAGCGGGCGCATGCCTGCGGTTGAGTTAGCAGATAGTGTGGTGAGCAAGGGACGGGAGACTCTGCAGAGGGCGATCGATCTGGTGGAAACGACACCGGAGTGGCACGCGAGAGTGGTGTACGGCGACACAGACTCCTTATTTGTTCTTATCGCCGGGAGAAGTCGATCGGAAGCCTTCGAAATCGGGAAGAAAATTGCAGACGCTGTAACGAATGCCAACCCAGACCCGGTGAAGTTGAAGCTGGAGAAGATTTACCAGCCGTGTATATTGCAGACGAAGAAGAGGTACGTGGGGTACATGTACGAGAGTCCGGAGCAAGCGGAACCGGTGTATGACGCGAAGGGAATCGAAACGGTGCGAAGGGATGGCTGTCCGGCGGTTGCAAAGGTACGAAGTCGACTTCGTGATACCGTGTTTCAGTGTGTTGTATGTAGATGTTGGAGAAGTGCATCCGGATTTTGTTCGAGACGATGGATGTCAGTTTGGTCAAGAAGTACGTGCTGAGGCAGTTCCACAAGATTCTGACCGGCCGGGTAAGTTTACAGGATCTTACTTTTGCGAAGGCGTACCGTGGGGCGGCTGGATATCGACCAGGAGCCTGTGTCCCGGCGCTAGAGCTTGCCCGGTAAGTTGTCCTATCCATGGTCTGGTGTCCAATGCGACTAAAAGATCAATCAAATTCGATAGAAAGTGGACAGCCTTCGACCGACGGCACGAACCCCGCCGAGGCGAGCGCGTGCCCTACGTCATCGTGAGCGGTCCCCCGGGTGTCCCCCTAATCCGGCTCGTTCGAAGCCCGTACGACTTTTTGAACGATGCGAGTTTGCGCCCGAACTCCATCTACTACATCACGAAAGTGATAATTCCGCCAGTCAACCGGTGCTTTAATTTAATTGGTGCAGACTTGACTGGGTGGTTCAACCAAATGCCAAGGAGGCACTTCCAGTACTTGCGAAACGCATCCCCGGTGAAAAGGAACACGATCTCTCAGTATTTCCAGTCGAATAGTTGTGCGGCTTGTAGTGCGCAAACTCAGAAGAGTTTGTGCGATAGGTGTGTGAGGAGGCCGCAGCGTACCGCGGTGGTGCTTCACGAGAAAGTACGACTGTGGGAGGAGGCTTTCCGTGGTGCTACTTTGGTAAGCTCTAAAAAAGAGAAGGTGGGTGGGTGGGGCTAGTATCTGCTAAGATAGGACTGATTTTAGCAAATGACGTATCCTGTGTCAAATTCTTTCCAAACAGGAATACCTAGAACCTCAAGATTGTTTTAAATTAAAAAAAAAAAACGGGGTCTCAAAATCAACTCAAAAACAGGTCAGCTAAGAATTTGCCAAAAATAGAACACCAAAGTCCCCCAAAATTATTTTAAATAATATAACACTAAAAGCTTTATCCAAAAAATTGAAATATTTCAGTCGACGATTCTGGAAAAATTGTAGAAGCCATCCGGGAAATGCGGCCGAACCAACTTTTAAAGGTTGAAGTCTATAAGAAAATGTTTTTGGTTAAATTTCGAAAAATGTCGAAAATGGGTCGAAAAAAATCGTATCCACATTTCATTCTGGCGAATATGAGAAAATTGTAGGAATTTTTCAAGAAATTAAAACCGAAGAAATTTTTGCAATTAAAGAATTTTTTTCGATTGTCAAAAAATTCTAACACATACAGATTTCGCTGACTCACAAAATACCGCGTGTTGATAATTCCGGGCCAAATTGTAGGCGAATTTCGCAAATGGTAGATTTTTTGTTAAAGACATATTTAATATTTAGTTCAACTTTGGAAAACTGGGTGCCAAATATCGTGAAAAGTAATTGCAAATTTTTTCTTAAATATGTACGTGGTTTTCTATTCACGACAAGAAACTGAAAACTTGTTTAAAATGGCAAATTTGTAGAGAAATGTGGAGGTTAAAATTTACCATTTCAAACATGCTTTCAGTCTTTTGTTATGAAGAATATGTACATTAAGAAGAAAATAAAAAGAAAAATTATAAACCCCGCCCACCCACCCTGTCTCAATTGTGACGATTTTTCTTTGTTCGTTGTGACAAAAGTGAGCGGAGCTTAAATGCAAAATCCCTATTTTTCTACGAGAAATTACCATGTTCTTAAGTAATCGTGTTGGTCAAAGAAAAGCCAAAAGATAATTAATTTCGCAATTAATTTTAGAGCCAATGGGCGATATATTAAGGCGGAGTTTGGGTGGGTGGGCGGGGCATCTCATTAAACTTTCTCAATGTGGAAAATGTTATTCGTAGTCAGCCGTTATAAAGTGTAGACTCTGGGCGACATGAAAGTTTTTTTTTGGGAATAATTGTAATACATACTTGCTAAAATAAAACTGATTTTGGCAAATGACATATCCTCTAAGAAAAGAGAGGGTGGGTGGGCGGGGCTAGTAGCTGCTAAGATAAGAGCAATTTTAGTAAATGACATATCCCCTAAGAAAACAGAGGGTGGGTGGAGCCAGTACCTGTTAAGACTGATTTTGGCAAATGACATATTCTCCAAGAAAACAAAGGGTGGGTGGGCGGGGCTGATACCTGCTAAGATAAGAGTGATTTTGACAAATAACATACTCTCTAAAAAAGCGAGGATGGGTGGGTGGGGCTAGTATCTGCTAAGATAAGACTGATTTTAGTAAATGATGTATCCTGTGTCAAATTCTTTCCAAACAGGAATACCTAGAACCTCAAGATTGTTTTAAATTTTTCAAAAAAAAAAACAGGGTCCCAAAATCAACTCAAAAACAGGTCAGCTAAGAATTTGCCAAAAATAGAACACCAAAGTCCGCCAAAATTATTTTAAATAATATAACACTAAAATCTTTATCCAAAAAATTGAAATATTATATATATAATATTATATTTTGCCTTTTCGTTTTAATATGTGTGGAATTCTTTCCTGAACATGAAACTTAAAACATGTTTAAAATGGAAAATTTCGATAAGAAAATATTGATTTTGCAATTAGGCTCCGCCCCATAATTGCAAAATCCATTTTTATATATAATAAAACGAAATCCTTCACGAATCTTAAAATTTAGATACAAAAAAAACCGTAGTAGTTAAAATTGTGAAAACATACAAATTAAAAAGAAATGAAATAAAATTTTCCAGTTAATTAGAAAAGATACTCAGGGACTTAAATCTGCATATTTTATGGCTTTACTTTAAAATTCAAGATAAATAAATCAGCACTGAAATAAAAATGTTTTTATGCGAATATTTTGGATTTAGTTCTAAAATTTTAACTTTAATATCCCCAAATTTCTATAGACAATTGAAAACGATTTGCTTAAAACCTCATCATAAAATGGTTTAAAGTCGTTTAGACTTGCCCTTGAATTATATATTCGAACAAATACAGTTTCTTCGAAAAATAAAAAATATATTTTTATCATGTATTGAACATAGGCAGGAGCAACATTACTAGATTTCCAAATTTAATCACTAAAAAAACACACTTCAGTGTTTTTATACTGGTATAAAATATCACTATGTAGTTTGCATTTTTTTTTTTTGTGAAAATCTGGATACTTGGATAAAAAAGGTAGGCGGATTCATAAACCCCAAGTACAGTCGAAATAAGTCTACATATATTAATCAAAAAAGGCAAAATGTAGCCCCGCCCACCCACCATATCTCAATTGTAATGATTTTTGTTATTCGTCGTAAGCGAAGAAGGCGGAGCTTAACTGCAAAATACCATTTCTCTACGAGAAACTACAAATATGTTTTTGAGTTTCGTGTTGTTCAAAGAACACTACGTATATTAAGAAAACAATGAAGCCAAAGATTAGGCCCAGCCCACCCACCCCATCTCAATTGTGATGATTTTTTTTCATTCATTCTCAGATCGAGGGGCGGGGCTTAAATGCAAGATCCATGTGTAACTACAAGAATTTACCATTTTAAACGTGTTTTAAGTTTCTGGAAATAAAAACAGTCATCACAATTGAGATGGGGTGGGTGGGCGGGTTATATATTTTGCCTTTTTTCTTAATATACATAGTATTCTTTGAACGACAGGATACTCAAAAACATGTTTTTAATTTCCTGTAAAGCAATAAGTATTTTGCAGTTAAGCTCCGCCCTCTTGCTTCACGGCGAATGAAAAAAATCATCACAATTGAAACAGGGCGGGTGGGCGGGCTTATATTTTGCCTTTTCGTTTTGATATGTGTGGAATTCTTTTCTGAACATGAAACTTAAAACATGTTTAAAATGGAAAATTTCGATAAGAAAATATTGATTTTGCAATTAGGCTCCGCCCCATAATTGCAAAATCCATTTTTATATGTAATAAAACGAAATCCTTCACGAATGTTAAAATTTAGATACAAAAAAAAAACCGTAGTAGTTAAAATTGTGAAAATATACAAATTAAAAAGAAATGAAATAAAATTTTCCAGCTAACTAGAAAAGATACTCAAGGATTTAAATCGGCATATTTTATGGCTTTACTTTAAAATTCAAGATAAATAAATCAGCACTGAAATAAAAATGTTTTTATGCGAATATTTTGGGGGGTTGTGTTATGTTATAACTTAGTTCATTTTGATTTTTTAGATTTGCGAGTCGTGCACTGGGGTGATGGACGATTTCGTGTGCGTGTCTTTGGATTGTCCGGTACTATACAGGGTGTCTCAGACGTCCCGTGATTTGGAGCAAGCGTCGTACGTGCGCGAAGTGATAAGCTCGTTCCCCGAGCTTAGTTTCTAGTCAGATTAAATATATTTTTAATTTGTTCGTGTGAGGGTGTTATTCAAACAAGTCCCATGTTAAAAACAATATATTTCAGTTCACATCTCACCAATGCAAAAGCGTTAACAAAGTAAGCATATTCGAAAATAAAAAGTCTGCGTACAAGCAAACTCATAAAATGTAAAATTAAGTGCCGAAGGATCAGTAAAAAAGATGTACGTAAAGCAGGCAGTCCATAATGACTAGTTTTCAGTGAACCTATAAATAAGCAAACATTATTAACGAGTTGAATTCAAGCGTTTCCTCTTAACGATTCGATTTTTGCGCAGATGTCCTCTTTCTTGGCCGGATCAGCCACTAAAATGATTTTCCCGGAGTCGCTAGAGCTCAATAAACTCAATTTCCTCTTCTTGTCGGAGAAAGTAATAGCTACACCTTTGGGTACCACCGACGGCGGGTGTTTCAGCTCAGGCCACGTGTACGACCATTCCACTTGCCATCCCCCGAAGATATCATTGTGACTGATATAAGCTAAGCGTTTATCCGTCAACAATAAAACCTCCCTATTCTCAACAATCGGGAAATGGGAATGGTAAACATCCGTCGACGCATACTTCCCTTTCTCTAATTCCGTAAGTAACTTGTAACCCTGAGCTTCGAGCTTGTTGTACGGTCTCACGAGACCGTCGCCTTGGATGAACCTCGTCGGTCGCAGACGATTAGCGTCCTCACCCAGCTCCGCTACCCTACAAAATCGCGTTAGGTTTGTTCGTTCACCGAAAAGGGTTACCTTTTGACGGCATCTAGGGACCCACTGGCGAAATCTATCACTCCTGCAGTCGGTCGAGCGACCAATCCCACCGCTCCTTTTCCCAAACCTTTGAAAAACCCACCTACGCCTTCTTCTTTGGCGCCACTGATGGGTTTAGTGAATACACCGGTCACGCCATCGACGACTCCCTGCAGTCAATCAGGTGACTAATTGGCGACTTGTTTTGATTTAGATTTACCATGACTAAGCCTTTGCCGCTGCGCGCAATCCCTTCCTGGACCGTCGCCGGCTTCTTATTAATCTGATCCCTTCTCTTCCTCTGGTAGTCCTTATCGAACGTCAACGCGGCTATACCTTTACCCATGGCTCCGGTAATCCGGGACACGGCTCCCGCGGCACCACCTACCGTGTGTCCGAAGAGACTTCGCACGCCTAGGACCAGCCCTTCGGCGAACTCACCTGGACCTTGGATGGCGCCCTACCACAAGTGTTACTAGGTCACTACAAGATAAGTACTTACGTACCTGGAAGGGTTCGTAGAACAGATCTTCGACACCTTGGGTGATCCCCCTGACCAGTCCATACGGGTTACCCAATACGTCCAGACCCAACACTAGCACGTACAGTTGCTTGACGGTCTGCCCCACGTAGTGACGCGTCGCTTCGTTTACTAGTTGCTTCTGAGTCAAGAACGTGTACTCACGCTCGAAGTAGGCCAATCGGAAGACTACATCTTGTAAATCGGTGAGTGTGACACCTAGGCCTTGCAGCAACACGTTCAAGAAGTTCGGCGTGGAGGTGGTTTGTCCCGCCGAGCCTCCCGCCGCCATGGAGAAACTCAGATGGATCTTCAACGGGGAGAAATGAAGCAAGTCGTAGAAACTCTTCTGTTCTTGTAGGGACTGGCTCGACACGTGTGCGTAGAGGGGTTCATCGACTAAATTGATATCTTTGAGGAAATACTGTTGCTCTTCTGCTTCGGTGTACTCGGCCGGTTGTAGCAACCCGACGAGCGCATTCACGAAACCTAGGTCCACTTTCACGTGGAACTCTTGTATGAGGAGTTTGAAGTATTTGAACTGTTTGACGTAGCTGTTTCTCACGAGGAGTTGCACTATACTTAGTTCTGCGAAAGGTTTCATGCCGCTGTCGATCGCGACGCTCTTGGGGAGAGGCACGGGGGCTAGAACCACCGGGAAAATACAATCGTACATTTGGTTGTCGATTTGGAGGCGGTTGACTTTGGCGTGGATTTGCAACTGGCTCGGGCTGGTCCTCATTTGGACCCACAGCCCGGTTTCGAACGTCCTCCGAATTCTTCGCTTGTTAGGTTTCGTCATGACGTTAGTGCGAAAGTCGACCTCGGTTTTGGCATCTATGGCCACTTTTGACGCTACAAAAGAAATAAATATATACTTAGTCCATCTGTTCGGTAAACGGACCACAGCATCCGCACTTACATAGACTTCCTTCTTCGCTGTCGAGCAAATATCTTTGGTACGCCGCCTCCAGCACTACGCTCTCTTTAGGATTGAAGTGTTTGAACCTCTGCCCGCTCATCTTGCACTGCTCCCAAATGATGCCCGAGCTCGCCATGGCCATGTACATGATCTCTTGTCTGCTGTCGTTGTTCACCAACGACAACCCCACTCCGTATATCGACACGGTGGTCTCCTGCTCGAACACCTCGAACAGGTTTGCCGCTTTCGCGTTCTGCGCTACCGTCTGGTCTTGGGTGAACAGCAAAGTGCGTTGCATCCCGTCAAGGAACGACACCCAGTAGATGTTATAGTTTTCTCGGATGGCGTATTCACCAATGTCGTCTTTGCGCAAGTCGTTATTGTGCTCTTTGCGATTCGCGCCTTCCCAAACTATGATGCGGGGACCAGACGGGTTCTCCCAGGTGTACAACATGCACTGTTTGGCTGGAAGCTTCCGTATTTGGACGGACTCTTTTTCCCAGAAGTTCATGACGTCTGGGGTGTGATTGATGATGAGGGCGGGCGCTGACCCGCTATCGTAGGGCGCGAGGTTTATGTAAATTGCACCTTCAGAGATCTGAATGTCCACGTTGATGCCGCCGTACTACGGTTTATTGTGAGTATCAATGGACGCCAGATCTTGGGCTAACTTACCTTATTCTTGAGTTTCAGCAACGTCGTGTGACTGTCCGTGTACAAGAACGACGCGGAAATCTCCTCCGTTCCTTGCACTCTCACCTTCAGCAGCTTGTCGTCTTGGTCGCTTTTCGGCCACCAGGCGGCGCACGAGTCGGGTTCCACGCACACCCACGGGTCCGCAGGTCTGTCGCTCTCCTGACACTCAATAGCGAACGGCGCGTTGTTGATTATGACGTAATACGGCGTGAAAGTGACTTGTTTGGTCAGCCCGTTGTACGTCAGCTGATTCTGCACACCTATCTGATGGGACAATAAGTTTGATTTTCTTGCGTGCCGGTACAACACCACCTACTTGAAACAGCATGTTGTTGTACTTGCACGCCACGACCCCCGACGACCCTGCCACGTCCAGAGAAAACTTATCGGACCAATCTCCCTGTTCGATCTTGACGGCCGCCTTCTTCTTCCCGAAGAAATTCTTCGCGTTGAAGGAGAAGAGAACCGGTCCTTTGAAATTGGCCGGATGGTGTAAAACGTTCACGTTTTCTTCAGAGCTCTGCGCAAAGATCTAAACTAAGCGAAGAACTAACACAAAATAAAAAAGGGAATGTAAAATAATGGTTAGGCAAAACTACTGCGAAAAAAAAATTATAGCGGCATCGAAGCATGTACCTTTGAAGGGGTTCCAGTCGATTCGCTTTTTTTAGACTTCTGAAACACCACAGTCCGTTTTTTAAATTTACGATTCTAAACCACACTTCAGAAAATGTCAAAAGATGAATAGTGGGGTTACAACGAGGCTTACCCTATAGCTGAGAGTTAGGCCGGTTTTGTTCAACATCCAGAAAGGGCAGTACAGGGTCATGACGATCGAACCCTTCTCGTTCATCATGTGCAGACCTAAAGAGAGCGTCATCTGGCTGACGCTGTCGTAGCTGTTGAAATTCCACACGGAGAATTCGCTGATGTCTTTGGGGAGGTCTTGTCGGGTGGACCACTCCTTTTCCAAGTACGTCGGTAGCTACAATCGAGTTACTCACTCCGTCTATTTTTTACTAACTAGCGTTCGACTTACCCGAACCACAAGCGCGGACTTCCCGGGTTCTGCGTTGGGCAACATTAAGACTTTTCCAGGCTCCAGTGTCACCTCAGCCACCATATTTTCCACACAACACACAATATCCACCGGCAGACAATTCTTAAACTTGATCGCAGGCCGCAGATGTATGTTGTAGCAAGTACTAGCCATCGTGTGCCTGCACGAATGCTCGAAGTACACTTGCTCCATCTCCCCTACAGCTTGAATATTGAAAGGCTCGCTTCCTAGTTCAAAATTTTTCGGTGAACATTGCAACGTCCTAGTATACGTGAGATTCGTTTGGAGATCTTTCCAAATGTAGGGAGTGGTGGTCACCGAATATCCAGCGACCGAAAAGAACAACTCGTTTGTGGCTGTGTAAACCGCGGTGAGTGGAATGTTCACGTATGAATCGGGTACGACCGTGGTTATCGATTCGAGCTCGTTGCCCCGAGCTGTCATGTAGTATACCTCTATGGGGATGGTGAAGTGGTTGTATACTTGAAGGATGCTCCGTATGGTGACCGTGGTCACCCCTTCGTCTACTTTTACGTCAGAAATGACACCCCAATGGTCGTGGCCCTCGCCGCGGTAGTTCAAAGGGAAGTATCGCTTGTCTGCTCTGACCGCCGGGAGTTCCAAAAGGCAGTTTTTGTCCTCAACCTTGAAAAATGTAGCTCATCCTCAATATTATTACTCCTTATTTTTCGGTTAAAAATTTGATTCAAAGATGGCGCCATTGCCGAAGTGTACCATGGCCAACTAAGATCATTTTTGTCGAATATCATTGCTGATTGATTCTGCTAACCTCAAAAATTCGTTCGGTAACTAGGCGTTTAACACGAGCGGAGTTTGGGGCTCCTGGTTGTGGCTGTTCTCCCACCATGAAAATGATTCTACTCTATCGGCAAGCACATGCCGCCCAGCAACATAGGCAACCATGCGCAAGTTTAGTTTTTTTTCTGGTAGTTGGTAGCTCTCCTAGGGAATTTCTGGGTAGTACCCAGTGAGAGGGTTGGTTGTGAAGTTCACTTGTTTGCCAGTGAGTGGTGACGCGTCACTGTTGTTGTTTTGGGTGTGAGTGAAGGCACGCGGTAAGGAAGCTAGATTAAGTTTAGTTGGTTCGACGACGACGCCACAGTTTCCCCAACACGCATAGCTAATCCTTGCGGTTTTCCAAAGCGGAAATATACGTGTTTTCGACTGACGCTAACACGTGGTGTAAGTTTGTTTTATTGTTTGTAAATTCACAGTTCATGTTAGGATTTTAATCGTTAACTAGTTCTAACATCATGTAACGGTCCTGAGATTTGTTCCAATAAGGCACTTACTAGGAGATGTTATGAGATTCACTTAGTCAGGACTCATCCTTTGTTTATCAAGTTATAAATAAGGGTTCTGGATGCTTATACTTACCGTGGAAAGTGCGGTAGGATTTATAATATCGTGGAATGAGGGACATGAGGATTAAATTTTTCTCCTTAGGCAGTTATCATCACCTGGACATCACCGAGACGAATATCTCGTGACGGGGGATGCATTTTGTGTTTATTTATCATGTGTTTGTTTGGGATAAGCTGAGGACAAAGCTAAATGTTTTTTAAGTAACCAGTCACTTGGATCAAGACATAATTTAACATCACGTAAATTCTTTGTTTGATCGTTGATAAAGTGTGGCATAATTTCACATCACGTAAATTATTTGTTTGAATCGCTGATAAAGTGTGGCATAATTTAACATCATGTAAATTCTTTGTTTGAATCGTTGATAAAGTGTGGCAAATATTAACCTCATGTAATTTTGTTGGCTTTGCAATTTTTCTCTATCTCGCAATTTTAGCTTCAGTAATTTTCTTTGTTATATAATTTAAATTGAACATAAATTTCCATGCTCTTTACTAGTTATTTCTACCACGTAAATATTTTGTTGATTAATGCTTCCATCATATAAATTGTCTGCTGTCCAATCTTAACCTCGGATAATAATTCTTTGCTGTTTAAAATTTCACGAAAGTGTATGGCGAATTTAAATGTTTTTGAAACTTGATCACTTGTTTGGTTGTAAGAGTTATAGAAATTGAACATTTAATTGGAATTGAGGTAAATAACACAGAAACACGTGGTCGAAGTGAAGGGCGCGATTCCTAGTCGAGCTGGCAGGATTTATCGCGCCCTCTGCACAAAAGACGCGGATCTTGAACAGAAATAAGCGAACCAGTCGGGATAAAGTGACGCTCGCGGCTTGTTCTAATAGCCCGGATTTCCAACCACGAGTTTGCGACCGTAACGCCCTGTGCTTGCCGATAGAGTAGAATCACTGTCATGGTGGGAGAACAGCCACAACCAGGAGCCCCAAACTCCGCTCGTGCTAAACGCCTAGTTACCGAACGAATTTTTGAGGTTAGCAGAACCAATCAAATATCAATGAGATCTTAGTTGTCCATGAGTGTACAGCTTTTTTTTAAATTGGGTATCACTCTAATCATCATAAATCGCCTTAAAATAAAAAAAAATCGTACCCGAACATTGATGACATACTTCTTCAGATCTACCCCTTCCCTAGACATAAGCATCCCCAGCGTCGGCGAACTACGCAGTTCGACTTTCCTTTGGAGCTCCACTTCTGCTCCACTTTCCAGAATAACCTCTGACGCACTATCATCCTTGAACAGCGAGAACGTCCCCAGCGCCAGATCCACCTTCACCAAGCATCCCAACTCGTTGACAACCTTATACGGAGCCAGGACTTCGAGCGAGGTCACTTGCGTACTGGGCGTCATCGCCGAGGAGAACGCCTTCCCCAAGTTACTCAAAACCTCAATGCACGTCTTCGTTACCACTAGTTCCATGCTGTGGTCGGACGAAATATCAACGCACATTAAAGCTTGCTGTTGGATCGGGTCAAAACTCTCGCTTTCGCTCGTCGGTGAAGCGACGTCTTCGCGGTCGTTCATCGACACCTCCAGCTTAAGCTCCCACGGCACCCACTTGCTCTGTCCTTGGCTGACGATTTCCACCGGTTCGATTAAGGGCTCCCACAGCGCCAGTCTGCTGTTGTAGTAGTTCATTTGGAGGGTCAAGCCGGCTTCGACGCTCAGTTGGGAGCTCCAGTTGCAAACGTTGCCGCGGAGGCTGCTCTCGATGATAAGCATGGGGAGGGTCTTGGTGCCAACGCCGGCTTCCATGGTCACGACGATGGACGGTATAGAGAGGATGCACATCTCTTGGTAGTTCTTCCGAGAGGTGGTTTCCATGGTTTTTACGCTTTCGGTGGCTTCGGTTGCTTCGTCTGTTCTGAAAAACCAGTAGTCTTGCTCTTTCAGGTCGCTGCAGTTCCAAACGTCTGAGTAATCCTTATCTTCAGTTTCGTCTGCGACTGCCGCGCTACCGCCACCGGTGGCCGTTTTTAGTACTCTGCTTAGTAATTCTATGATGGCAGGGGAGACGCTTAGACGAATATCGGTTACTAGAAGCTCCAAGTGGAGGCCTTTGTCTTCGGGGGTGGACCCCGCTACGCTTAGTGTGACGGGGTACAGCACATGGTTTCTGGCTTCAACATACTTGATTTTGTCGTAGTTACACGTATATAACTGGACGTCCTTAATAGAGCCGTTGATGACTTGGTGCGGGCCTGCAAGTCGCACTTTCAACAAGATTTCGCTCTAAAATAAAAAAACTATAGAACCTTTAATCGTTGACGCTTTATTTTTACTCACGTTTAAGACCAGCGCCTGCGTGTCATTGCTGTCCATGTGCTCCACGAGCACAATATCCGGCTTCTCCACCTTCAAATTCAACGTAATCTGCGTCTCCTTCTCGACCACCGCCGCAGTAACCGAACTCTTGGCCGTGGCCGGAGTGGCAGTCCCCTTCGTCGGCTTGACCGGTTCTACACGATCCTCTTCGGATATCTTCCAGAAGTCGGCGATTTTAAGGAGGTAGTCCACCGAGAGGATCAAAGTGAAACTGTACACCCTCACGTCGGTGAAAATTTGGTTGCTTTTCATTTGTACGACGACGTCGATCATGCTTTTGACGCCCACTGGGTCGTCTACTGATGACACGCTTACTGCTCGCATCGGTTCCAGACTGTGCGATCTCTGAATCAGTCGCTTTAGTTTACCCTCGCGGCCTTGACGCATGTCGTCTAGGAGGCAGTTTAAGAGGAGGAACGAGGCTATGAGGGAGCCGTCGCTCAACATGCGGACCTTCACCGAAATGCCCTCTAGCGAGAAACGAGCCAAGCTGTCGCGCTCGTTGTGGCCGGAGTCTTGGCTGGAAAGCTGTTATTGTGTTGTAGTTTCGTGTCATGGACTTATAGAACAAAATTTATTATTATTTTTAACAATGTTCGCAACTGTGTTGCCACCGCAACCGTGCCCACAACTATATGATCAAAAAGAAAAGTCGTCTAACAGACCATGAAGTTAATTTTCAAAACGATGATGCAGTTATTTGACACTTCAACTAATTAAAATTTCAACCTTTTTTCATGATTAATGTATTGTTGGTTGCATAAGTGGAATAAATTTTATATCAAATAATTATGCTCAGAGTTTGGTTTTGGTTTCAGTTTTATAGTACAATATTTATAACAATTTTTGAACTATAGACGAGTATTTTTTTGTTTATACCCACTATATGGCTGAAAAAAAAATACTTTTTAAAATAATCATGTTGGCATTACAGAAATTTGACAGTTATTTGATCTCAACTGTTAAACCGAAGAAGGAAGGTGTTGAAGTTGGCAACATTGAACTTTTTACAATGAAAAATTTGAAAAAAATCTGACTGTTAATTATGACAGCAAACAAATTGTGTAGTTTATAGTGTATTTATGCTTTATGTAAAAATATAATTGAAGGTAATACGTCGTCTGAGAACTTGTTTGATCCACAGACCGGAGCGCGCTCAGGCCAATGTCGACTCTAAGCGTTTAGAATTTCTGCGTGAAATAGTTATTATTTAGATGCTTTTATTTACAAACATAATATCACATCTCACATGTTTCACTCGATTTTGAGATGTAACTATTTTTCTGTTTAACTAAGAATTAATTCTTTAATTGTAAATTGAACAATCGGATAGAAAGATCGAAACATCGAAAAATTGAAATATAGAAGAACTGAAAACTCGAGAAATCGAAAAACTTAGAATTTTAAAAATTGAAAAGTTAAAAAATCGAAGTATAAAACAGTCGAAAAATTGAAAAATCCGAAGTTTTAAAAACGAACAATTGAAAATCCAAAAAGTAAAAAGTTGAGAAATCAAAAAATCCAGAACTCAAAAATTGAAATATCGAAAAATTCAAAAATTGGGAAATTAATAATTAAATTAATTAACTGAAGAATTGAGAAATCGAAAAGTCAAAAAAGCGAAGTCGAAAAATCGCAAATTTAAAAAACCGAAAAACTGAAGAACAAAAGAAATGAAAAATCGAAGCTTTGGGAAGTCGAGAAATGGGAAAATAAAAAAATAGATTAATTGAGAAATAGAAAAACTGAAAATTCTGAAACGTCAAAATTTTAAACATCTAAAATTAAAGGAAAACATTGAAAAATTAAAATATCCTAAAATTGAAAAATGGGGAAATCGAAAAGTTAAAAAACCAAAAAAATACAAATTCGAAAATTTAAAAAATTGGAAAATTGGATGATTCAAAAATTGAAACAAGGAAAAATCGAAAACCCGAAAAGTAAAAATCGAAAAACCGACAAATCGGAAAATCAAAACATCGGAAAATTCAAAAACTGAGACACCCAGAAATCGAAAAATCAAAAAATCGAGAAATCGAGGAATCGAAATAGGCCAAAATCCAGATCTCAAAAATTGAAAAATCTAAAATTTAAAAATTCGGAAAATCGAAAAAATAAAACAGAACTGAAAACCCCAGAAATTGAAAAATCTGGAATTTTAAAAATTGAAAATTTAAAATTTAAGAATGGAAACATAAAACAGTCGAAAACTTGAAAAATCTAAAATTTAAAAAACAAAAAACTGAAAATCCAAAAAAATAAAAAATTGAAAAATCGAAAAATCCACAAGTAGATAAATCGAAAAGTCAAGAATCAAAATACTGGAAAATCCCAAACTGAAAGAAATATCCAAAAATTGAGAAATCGAAAAACCAAAAAAGCAAAATCGAAAAATCAAAGAATTCAAGAACCAAAAAATCGAAACTTTGAGAAGTCGAGAAATGAGAAAATGAAAAATAGATTGAGAAATCGGAAAACTGAAAATTTTGCAATTTTAGTCAACATTTGAAAAATTGAAAAATAGAAAAACTGAAGAACTGAAAAATCAAAAAATCGAAAAATCTAAAATTTAAATCATTGAACAACTAAGATATCGCAAAATTGAAAAATCAAGAAAAACTGAGAAATCGACAAAACGAGAAATCGAAACTCCAGAATTTAAAAAAATTGAAAATTAGAAAAATCGGATAACTGAAAAATCGAAACATCGAACAATTGGAAAATCGAAAAATTGAAAAGCCTAAAAGCAAAAATCGAAAAATCAGAGGATTGAGAAATCGAGGAATGGAAAGCCGAGAAGAAAAGTTAAAAATTGAAAAACTGATAAATCGAGAAATCAAAAAATTGAAAAATCGAAAAGCTGAAAATTTGAAGTATTCGAAGTAATGTATAAAACAGTCGAAAAAGTTAAAAATATAAATCCAACGAAAAATTGAAAATCCAAAAAGTAAAAAATTCAGTAGTCCAAAATTCAAAAAGTCGAAAAATCGAAATCTTGAAAAATCCCAAAATTGAAAGAATTATCCAAAAAATTGAGAAATTAAAAAATTGGAAAAGTGAGAAATCGAAAAACAAAAAAGCGAAGTCGAAAAATCGTAAGCTTAAAAAATCGAAACTTTGGGAAGTCGAGAAATGGGAAAATCAAAAGTAGATTAATTGAGTAATTGGAAAACTGAAAATTCAGAAACGTTAAAATTTCGAAAAATTAAAAAATATGGAAGAACTGAAAAATCTAAAAATCTAAAATTTAAAACATTGAAGAATTAAAATATCGTAAAATTGAAAAATGGGGAAATCGGAACATGAAAAACCAAAAAAAAATAAAAATTCGAAAATCTAAAATTTAAAAATCGATAAACTGAAAAATCAAGAAATCGAAACTCGAAAAAAACTTGAAAAATTGGACAAATCAAAAATCGAAAAATCGAAAAGTAAAAATTGAAAAACTTACAAATCGGAAAATCGAAAAATTGAAATCCGAAATAGGCCAAAATTGAAAAATAAATTGAGAGATTGAACAATCAAAACATCCGCATCTCGATAAATCGAGATCTCAAAAAATTGAAAAATTGGAAATTTAATAATTCGGGAAATTGAAAAATTAAAATACAGAAAAGTTGAAAAATTGAGGAATCGAAATATAAAACAGTCGAAAAATTGAAAAATCTACATTTAAAAAACGAAAAACACAAAATCCAAAAAAATTAAAAGATAAAAAATCAAAATATCCAGAAGTCGAAAAAAAGAAAAGTAAAAGAATCAAAATACTGGAAAATCTCAAAACTGAACGAAATATTCAAAAATTGAGAAATCGAAAAACCAAACAAGCAAAATCGAAAAATCAAAGGATCGGAAGATCGAGGAGTGGAAAGCCGAGAAAAAAAGTTAAAAATTGATAAATCGAGAAATTAAATAATCAAAACATCGAAACATCTTAATTTGAAAAATCGGAAAATCCAAAAATTGAAAAAGTTTTAAAAAGAAAAATTGGAAAAATTGAAAATTTAAAAATTCGGAAAATTGAAAAATTAAAACATGGAAAAGTTGAACAATTGAGAAATCGAAGTATGTATACAACAATCGAAAAATTTAAAAACTTAAAGTTTAAGGAAAAATTGAAGACCCAAAACGTAAAAAATCCACGAGTCCAAAAATTAAAAATTCGAAGAATCGAAATACATATTGAAAAATTCCAAACTTGAAAAAAATATCAAAAAAAAAAATGAGAAATAAAAAAAATTCGAAATGTGAGAAATCGAAAAACTAAAAAGGCAAGGTCGAAAAATCGTAAGTTTAAATAATCAAAAAACCTGAAAAATAAAAAAATTGAAGAACTGAAAAAAATCGAAATTTTGAAAAGTCGAGAAATGGGAAAATTTAGAAATGCTAAATTTGAAAAATCGGAATATTTAAAAATCGCAAAATTGAAGAGTACAAAAATTGAGAAATCGTATCATTGAAACATCGGAAAATTGAGAAAACGAAAAATAAAAAAAATCGAGAAATCGAATATTTGAAGAAAGAAAAAATTGGAAAATTGAGAGATCTAGGAAAATGTTGATTTTTTTCCAAAAATCTTGACGTCTAAGGTAAAAACTCAACACCAATTCATAAACCATAAACGGAGGATATAAAATTTAAATTACATCTACTATTGTAAAATTTGGAGATTACGTCATTTCATTGTTGGTGACAAATTTTAGTAAGCGTTTTACCATTTGAATAAAAAATTATTTTCGATTAGGGATTTTCGACAGTCGGTTGGTATTATTAACAATATTTAACAATGTTCACTGACATTTGGTTTCAACTTTCGACTATAAAAATGTGATTATAGATATTTCTCGTGTCATCGGAGGTAAATTGCATCAATTTGGCAAAAATTGTGCATATTTCGATGAAACTTTGGGCATATAAGTGCGCATAATTAGACAAATATTTGTGCGTATAGATCCGCTCTTTCGTAACAATTTCGCACTGAGCTAACTTCAGAGTTCAGATCTGTCAGTTTTTAAAATGGTTTTGGGTTGTGTTTTGTTGTTTTTAGTTCGATTTTATTTTATGGAAGAACCGTGTTCAGGTAGGATTTTCTTTAAATAATACATAATAGCATAAGATTGCTACATTTTAACAGTGTTGATGTTGCGAATTTCAATGCAAAGTATATTATTTTTCAAAATGGGCGCGAAGGTCAAGGACACGCAAAACCCAAAAATTTACTCTTAACTGTGTAGTTTAGTTTTTTTTTACACCTCCTTATTTTACTTTATCGACAATGCAATAATGAGTGATCTGTCAGTTGAGACGTCAAGAACCGCATTCATTTTGAATCGTTTCTATGAGCCCGTTCTATCGCAATATTTATGATAGATTATGTTCTTACGGAGTGGGGAAGTTAAAAGAACAACTTAAAAGCACCCAGCAGAGATCCTAAAAGAACAAATTTATAAATATGCCTAGGATAAATGGTATGGCAGTGACGAGAGCAAGAGGAATTATCCACCTATTTTTCAATATTCCTATCACTGTCAGTATAATCCAATTGAACTGGCGTGGGGACAGTGTAAACTATATTACAATAAACATATTCGGGAACAGGGTGGTGCTATTGGTGTTGTACAGTCCTTATGGCGGGAGGTTCTTGCTGCGGTAGGTGCAGACAAATGGCAAAATTTTATTAGACATTGTGAACGGCTGATCAGGGATGATTGGAAGCGTTTAATGGGTAATTCACCATATGAAGACATACCCCCAATCATAATTTCTCTCGATTCTGATTCTGAATCAGAATGTTTTTCTAATAACTTGTCAGCTTGTCACTTTTTCATTTGGCATTTATTGTCAACAGCAATCAGCATTAAGTCCTCAATACAAACGGTTCTAAAGCCCTTGTTATGTACTGCAGCAATGTTGAAACATAAGAGTGAAAGCAATGTAAATTCTGTGTTTTTTGTTATATACCATACTATTTAGTTACATTTTCTTTTGTTTACAATATTGTAGAAGTGTACAACAAAACATGTTGTTTACTGAAATGTCCGCGACCCTACAGTTTTGCGAGGGTTCTGATCTCCGCTAACTACACTGGTAAGTTGTCGACCTTGAAATTTGCTTAAATTTTGAAGACATATACGAAATTTCGGTGCAGGTTAAATTACGGATTCTTATAAAAACTTTTTGGTAGTTTGGAATTGTTATCAACCTTGTTTTTTTTAATTACAAAAATAATAGTGTATAGAAGCAATTCTGACTCAAAACTGTTAAAATTTAAAGTTATTGAAGAATAAATAGCCGATCAGATTAACCAATCTTTATAGTAGTGGGCCATGGCATGACGTATTAGTGACATAGTAGGCAACCAGTAAAACAAGGGCATTATGTCAAAATTAGGTTAAGTTGAATTTCAAACGGTTTTTTTTTTGAATTTTGAAAATCTGCCATAACGTGTGTAATACTTTTTTAAATGTTTTTAAAAAGACCAAAAAAATCCGTGGAAACCCCACGCAACCCACTTACCATCTCCGGCCCCCCTTTGAACAAAGTGATGACCAAATTATCCATAGTGAAGTTGCACCTGAGAAACGTCGTCGTCTTATCTTCCTTCTCCGCTTCGACATCCGTTGATTTTTGTGCTCCAAACAGAGAGGCGGTTGGATCAAGACTCTGTACATCCACCGACTCCTTGATGCTGCCACCGATCGAAGGCGTAACAACCACCTCTTCTTCCTTCTGGCCTTCCGCCAAATTCCCGCTTAGAATACTCATTATAGTCTTATAATCCGCCTGACTCAGCAACAACGTTATCGAAAAAATCTTCCCGTTGATATCTATATCCGGCACGGCTTTGTACCACGAAGTCGAGAGGTTCCTCTTGATCGTCATTTTGAAGGTCAACGGTATGAGCATGGTCAACTCGTTGACAACCTCGTTTTTCTCGTTCAATAGAACGCGCGATATTTTCATATCAGTGAGGCTCAGCTTCATCTCGTCGATGACGGCGGAGAAGTTCTGCTCATTCTTGATGTCGAGGGTTATGAACTGGTTGGAGATGGAAATGTGACCCAAGTCGAGTAAAACGGCGTCATAGCTTTTGGAGTTGGCTGGTACTATGATGTCGGGGGCTTTCAGGTCGATGCTGAGGGCTAACTTTGTTGCTTTGGCGTACGCGTTTTGCATGTTTTCTTTGGCGGATTTGGCGGCGGCTTGGGAGGCGTCGACGATGGCGGCCTGCGCGGCCTGGAATTGGTTGAGGAAGTTCTGGAAAAAAACGGGTAATTAAATATTGGTTGGAAAGACCAAATAAGTCGGTAAAGTTGGATAATTAGATTTTATTATATTAATTAAGCTCTTTTTAAACTTTCATTTTTAGAGTTTTAACTCCTTTCTTTTCGTATATAGAACGCGTATACGATGCGCGCTGGAATAGGATGTCGAGTTCGACACCGACACCGACACCAGTCTGAACATACTGATCTTTACTTCGCTTACCCAGCTATTTTTATACAATATTATAATAATTAATTATGATATTTCTATATGATAAATAATAATCATGTCAATAAGAAGATGTCATTGATTTGGTTAAAAAAATCAAGTTTGTATGCCGAAACAGAAGGATTTGTGTTTGCTATTCAAGACCAAGTAATCAATACCAAGAATTATAGAAAATACATCATCAAAGATCCGAACATAAAAAACGACTGCTGTCGCCTATGCAAAGCAAAACCTGAAACGATCCAGCACATAATCTCTTCTTGCAGCATCCTAGCACAAACTGATTACAAAGCTAGACACGACAACGCAGCCAAAATCATTCACAAAGAATTAGCAACACTTATGAACTTAATCGAAGATACGACACCCTATTACACTTACATTCCGTCTCCATTCCTTGAAAATAACAAATACAAATTATACTGGGATCGCACAATACTTACAGACTTAAACATTACAGCTAACAGACCAGACATCATACTTATCAAAAAACACACGAACGAAGCCATTCTCATTGACATTGCTATTCCTAACACAAACAACATTATTCAAACATACGACACCAAGATTTCAAAATATCTACAATTATCGATAGAAATGAAATCCATGTTGAATCTTAAAAAAATTTCAATTCTACCCCTAGTTATCTCTAATGTAGGTGTAGTTCCAAATAGCTTAGTTGAGAATTTAAAGTCTTTGCATTTGAATGATTCAATAATTGTCAAAATTCAAAAAGCTGTTTTGTTAGGAACATGTCATATTGTTCGTAAGTTTCTTGAACAGTCTGATCATGTCAGTCAGATTAGATTAGCACCAGTAGGTCAGAGTAGTGTAGGTCACTTTTCATGTGATGCGCGGATAAATGGTCGGTAGTTACGCTGGACTTTTGGGGATGGGGTGAGATTAGAGAATAATAGCAGACTAATTTGTATGCTGTAATTCTAGAATCTCGAAAGTTGTTCTGTTAATCTAATCAATGCATATCATTACTTGGTCTTAGTACCCGTAATGATAGAAGTCTTGCCTGAATGCCGGTCATTTCCGGGTCAGTGGTGGGTCTTATACATAATCAATGCATATCATTACTTGGTCTTAGTACCCGTAAGTCTTGCCTGAATGCCGGTCATTTCCGGGTCAGTGGTGGGTCTTAATCATAAAAAAGTATATTTTATAATAAACAACAATCGACAATACATGGATATTTACTTTAATTAACCCAAATCATCATCATTAATCATCATTTTGTCAAAAAGTACAAATGCAACATATTTTTGGTTTTTATTGACAACGCAGAGTTAAAACTCCATCCGTGCGTCCCTGGGTCGATGCAATCTTTTTTCCTCTGCATTGACTTCATATTAATAACAATTTATTACACATTAGTTCTTTTCCACATATCCGACATAATTTTGCAGTAAATTCGGGCACATTGTAACATTACACCTAGTACCAGAAAGTTGAACAAAACCATAAAAGAATGGTCAAAATTTATTTAGACAGAGCCTGTTACAATACGTTCTTAGCTTAGCTCGGGATATGAATTTGGCATACAATAAAAGATACGTACAATTACAAAAGGAAATGTTACAAATTATCAGCAAAAAAATCAATTTTATCTAATTCGCGACATATATTACCAAGTTAAGGGTTAAGTCTACCGGGTGTTTCTTTTATTTGATACAACCCCTGTAAATTTTTTATTTTTAAAGATAAATCTGTAGTTCTTTGAGCAAATTTATATCATTTTAAAAGATCTAGTGATGACAACAATTTTTCAATTGTTTTTCAAGCAACTAGATTTTGAAATAAATGGAAAATTTTGGAGATATTTTACTAAATAACTTTTTTATTATTGATTTTAGAATATTGGTTGCTTGTGATTTTTTGTAGTGAAAAAATCAATCTTTCCATTTATGAAAAAATATACCTAGTGTTTCATTAAAAAAAAATAAGTTGACGTCATTTCCGGTTCTACCGCCAGTGATAATAAAAATGTGTGCTTACCATCATATAAATCTTTGAGAATGATACAAATTTGGTTAAAGAACTACGGGTTTATCTTCAAGAATAAAAAAGTTACAGGGGTTGTATCAAATAAAAGAAACACCCTGTATATTTATTTTGACAAATAATCAACATTTTACAACACATTCTGAAAGGTTATTTTAGCAAGTACTTCGATTGCTCGGAAGTTTTGACACAATTTTTACGAACATCATAAATCACAAGCAAGCAACGCCTTTTTTTGTGTATAATGTGGTTACTAAATCCATAAACCCATTTCTGTCAAATCGTTTAGTTTTTGATATTATTTCCAAATAAAAGTCATCTTTGCAAACTGGTTGCATTTACTCAAGAAAAATAATTTATTTCTTCGGATTAAACAGGGAATTAACCATAAAAATAGGATTTATGTTTCTACGGTATTTCCTGATTTTTATTTTTTCTATTTTTTTTTTGATACTTGAATTTTTTTAATTTCATTTTTTTGGATTTTTGGAATAATTGGGTTTCTGCAGTTTCTTAGGTTTTTTGGATTTCTTCGATTTTTGGGGTTTTTTTGGATAATTTTTTTTTTTGTTTTTTTGACTGTTTGGATTTTTTAAATTTTTGGGCCATTTTCGATTTTTTTTATTTACGGATTTATTGGATTTTTTCAGTTTTTTTTTTAATGGTTTGGGTCCTTTGGATTTTTTAGGGTCTTTTCGATTTTTAAATTCTTTGATTTTTTAGATGTTTTGAAATTTGTTATTTTCAATTTTTTGGATTATTGGATTTTTTGAGTTTTTAGGTTTTTTATATTTTTTAGAATATCTAAGTTACTTGAATTTTTTGGATTTCTTCAATTTTTTTCCCCTTTTTTTTAACTTTCGGAATTTTTTCGATTTGTTGTATTTTTGAAGTTATTGGATTTATTGAGGTTTTTTGGGGTTTCTTGGATGTTTCAGATTTTTTGGATTACTTGAGTTTCTTGGAGTTTTTTACTTTTTGGATGTTCCAATTTTTTGGAATTTTGGGTTTTTTCTTTTTGGATATTTTTGATATATGTATTCGTTTTTTTTAATTATTGAATTTCTTGGGTTTTTGTACATTTTAGTTTTTTTAGGGTTTTTGTGATTTTTTTGGGATAGGTAAGATTTTTTTTTGTTTTTTGATTTTTTTTGAATCCATTAAATTTTTTTCGATTTTTTGGACGATTTTTATTGATTTTTGGTTTTTATGTTCTGACTTTTTGGGATATATCGGATGTTTTTTTTTGATTTCTGAAATTACTGGATTTCTAGAGTTTTATGAATTTTTTATATTTTTTGGATATTATGAATTCTGTGATTTTTTTTTCATATTTTTGTTTTTTTATACTTTCTATTTTTTGGATTATTGACAGTCTTGCGTTTCTTGGGTTTTAGTTCCAACTTTTTGGAATTTAGTTTTTTTTCTGTTTGGATTTTTTGGATATATTCGTGTTTTTTTTGGAATTATTGAATTTCTTGGGTTTTTGAGATTAGATAATTAAGATTTTTTTGTTTTTTGAATTATTTTTTTTTTCGGTTTTTTGATGGACTTAACTTTCTTGAGTTTTTTGGATTTTTTGATTACTGAATTTCTTGGGATTTTCATTTTTTTACTCTTTGGATTTTCGTTTTTATTTTATTTTTTTGTACATATTTTTTGGATGTTTTAAATTCTGCGACTTTTTTTCTATATTTTTGATTTTTGAAGTTTAAATTTTTTGTATTTTCTGGATTACTGACTTTCTTGAGTTTTGATTTTTTGGAATTTTTGAATTTTTGGGATATTTCCGACTTGAAAGATTTCTGAAATTACTGGATTTCTTGACTTTTTTTGGAGTTTTTTTTTTTTGATATTTCAAATTCTGTGATTTTTTGTATATTTTTGATTTCATTTTATCCTTCCGATTTTTTGGATTATTGAATTTCTTGAGTTTCGTGGGTATTTTAGATCTTTTTGATTTGTATTTTTGAAGTTTTGAATTGGTTGTATTTTTTGAATTACTGAATTTCTTGGGTTTTTTGATTTTTTGACTTTTTGGATTTTTTGGATATTTCCGTTTTTTTTTTATTTCTAAAATTACTGGATTTTTTGTTTCTTGGGATTTTTTTTTTTATTATTGAATTTCTTGGGATTTTTATTTATTTATTTTTATTTGATTTTTTTGGATTTCTGAGACATTTGCGATTTTTTGGATTTCTGAAATTACTGGATTTCTTGAGTCTTTTAGATTTTTTGGATATTTTTAATACTGCGATTTTTGTTTGTGTATTTTTCATTTTTTATACTTTCGATATTTTTGGATTATTGATATTCTTGAGTTTCTTGGGTATTTTGGATGTTTTTGATTTTTTATTTTTGAAGTTTTGAATTTTTTGTAATTTCTGGATTACTGATTTTCTTGAGTTTTTTGACGTTTTGGATTTTGGGAATATTTCCCATTTTAAGATTTTTTAAATTATTGGATTTCTTGAGTTTTTCTGGAGTTTTTAGATTTTTGGATATTTTAAATTCTATGATTTTTTTTGATACGTTCAGTTTTTTGGATTATTGAATTTCTTGAGTTTCTTGGGTATTTTGGATCTTTTTGATTTTTAATTTTTGAAGTTTTGAATTTTTTGGATTACTGAATTTCTTGGGTTTTTTGCTTTTTTGCTTTTTGGGAAATTTCTGTTTTTTTTTGAATTTTTTTCTTCGAATTTTTATTTGTTTTGAGTTTTGGATTTTTGTTATTTGATGTTTGGGACATTTCCGATTTTTTGGATTTCTGAAATTACTGGATTTCTTGATTCTTGGATTTTTTAGATTTTTTGGATATTTTAAATTGTGCGATTTTTGTGTACTTTTGATTTTTTTATACTTTCGATTTTTTTGGGTTTTTGACCATATGTTTTTATTTGATATTTTGTATTTTTTGAATTTTTGGGATTTTTCCAATTTTTTGGATTTTTGGAATTACTGGATTGCTTGAGCTTTTTGGATTTTTTAGATTTTTTAGAAATTTTAAGTTGTGATTTTTTTGTATATTTTTGATTTGTTTTTATACTTTCGATTTTTTGGTTTATTGAATTTCTTGAGGTTCTTGGTTTTTTGAAATTTTTAGTTTACTGAATTTCTGGATTTTTTTATTTTTTTGACTTTTTGGATTTATGTTTTTATTTGATTTTTTGTAATTTCTGAATTTACTGTATTTCTTGAGTTTTTTAGATTCTTTTTAATATTATAAATTGTGATTTTTTTTGTATATTTTTGTTTTTTTTTCTATACTTTAGATTTTTTAAGTTCCTTAGGTTTTTTGGATCTTTTTGACTTTGATTTTCGATTTTTTGAATTTTTGGATTACATACTAAATTTCTGGGGTTTCTTGATTTTTTTTTGCCTTTTTGTTTTTATTTGGCTTTTTGTTTTTTCTGGATTTTGTCTGTTAGCAGAGATCGTGGTTTCAATAATATCAATCAGCGCTGTCGCAATAATACACTAATTCGTAATACATAGTTGGTTTTCAGCCGTTGCGTCGTCTGTTGACATCACTACGACAACTATTCTTAATACCCTAGGGTATTATTTGGTCAGTAACGTACCTCAAATTCACGCCACTATAGACCGATAATAAATCGGTAAGACAAAGTTTTGTATGTATGTACCACGGGTATTATTTGAAATTTATTAAAACGGCATCAATAAAAGGGTATTGTAACTAAAAATGCTAACAGTATTTTCTACCAAAAAAAGTTTGAATTGCAGCACTTTCTTAAAAATGCAAGTACGTGTCCGTTTAAAGTGATTTATAACTCCTGACACCGCGATATATTTAAGATCAGACGCAAACCTAAGTCACTAAAGTACTCACCAGCATCCTCGTGACGTACCAGTTGAGGAAAACTATCCTCAACCCACCCATTGTAAGATCCACAGAAATATCCGGCTTTTCACTTTCGACCTCCTTGTCGATATTATACAAGACGATTCGCCCCGACAGAGCTTCGTCACCTACCACCGTCAATATCTAAAACAAAAATTAACAAAAAAACTCAACACACATCAGTACCCACCTGCTGGTGCACAATATCTGGATTCAAATCAGTAATAACGATCTGATTCAAATGCGCGTTGATCTGCGTGTACGAAGTCTTTATGATGACATCGGCGTTGACACCAATCAACGACCACCTCGACAATTGCTCCAGGTCCGTCTGGAACTCCACCGTCAACTCTTTCAAACTCGACGACAACTTAAACTTGATCGTCTCGACGACGATCTGGTGATCAGTTTTCTTCTTCGGTTTCTGCGGAGCGGTAATCCCGATTCCCTCACTTATAGTGGACAGTTGGCTCGTAAATGCCGGGGTGCCGCGTGCTGAAGCTATCCTATCAGCCGCCTTGTCGCCCCAAATTTCGTTGACGTCGTCCTGCAGACCCGTGGCGTACTGTATCAACGACAACAAACCTTCCTTGTGCAGGATGATGTTCAACTTCGCGAACTCCAAGACGAGACCGACTTCGCACGACTTGTAGGTGGAATGGAACTCCGGCGAGGTTTTATTGACTTGGGTGAAGCGGACCTTGATGAGGTACTCTTCGCCACCGTGGAATCCGGGGGACCAGATCATTTTGATATCGTTGTTTGCGTGTCTTTGTACTAGATTTATGCCGGCCAAGCCCAAGGTGATTTTAGTGTTGTAGGTTTGCTGGACTAAGCCGAATTCGAGTTTTCTCGCTTGGAACGAAACCACGGGCGCGGGCGCCTCGTGAGTGGTCGTTTGGTGAGTGACGTTCAATGATAATTCTGAAAAATTATACGATTTCGTCACCTTAGAACTGGTTTGCCGCATATCCAAATCGCGTCCGAGGGATTTTCGCCTCTACTGTTTGGTGCAGATTTGCCGCATGTCGCACTTGGGCGAAGCGAAACATAGTTTAGATTCAGTGCTGATTTGCCGCATGTCCAAGCAGAAATCGATACAGTACCGTTATCCGTTTTTACGTACTTCATTGCTGTTTTGCTTTTCAGCGTTAGGTTTGGGGTTGGGAAAGAAATCGTATTCAACTTCACGCGCAGAACAATAAGAATAATGTGAAATAAATAAAAAAGAGACTTAACAATTTTGATGAATCTGAAATTAAAAAAAAGCAACTGTAATTTGTGCAACTCTTTTTCTGTTGTTATAGATGTTACAAATATTTTCGATTTTTTTTTTAAGAAAGATTGTGTTTCAAATTATTAGATTCGAAATTTTACAAATTTAAATTTTAAATAGATTTGTTGCTCGTTAAACAAATAATTTAATTTTTTACTTAACAGTAACATTTTTATTTAATGATTTCTCGGAAATGATTGAACTTATTTTCTCGAAAATTTTAGTCAACAAAATTCATAATGCTGCATACCTGTATTCGTATTTGTGGAAATGATATTTCCACATCAATAATTACAGATAATAATAGATACATTTTTCAGAGATAATTAAGATTAAGATTTCTTAATCAACTTCACGCGCATAACAAGTAATACGGCAAGGACTAATAATGTGAAATAAATGAAAAATTGAAACGATATTAGAAATCGCGTGGTGAAGTAGTTAACTAAGTATAACGAACAATGCATGTTAAGTTATTGATGTTTTGATTCGATTTTTTCTAAATATTTTTAAAATAAAGAGACTTATTTTTCTTTATTTTTATATAAAATCTACATTTGATAAAACTCATTGCAGTCATTCATTTTACCTAAAAATTGTAGAATCCAAATATTGCATTGTTAATTTCCATTGTTAAATGGTGAATTGTGAACGAAATACGGAGTACCAAATTTAAATGTGTTTTACAGAAAGGAATTATTTTTACAAAGGATAATAAAATGATATTTTCTTTGCATTGGTGGAGTAATGGCCGCTCGTTGACTCGCTGCAGTCCTACTAAAATTGCAGCTTAATATGTAATTTTTTTTATATAAAATATTCAAACTGATAAAGAACACTCGGGTAAAAATAGGTTGTTGTCTCAAACAATTAGATTCCAGTATTTTATTAGATTACGTGGATATTGACTACAAGTAGCTATTGTCGGGCAACCAGAGAAAATTAGCAGTGATACTGTTTAAAACTGTAAATGCAGTATATTTGGATTTTGAAATAAATCATTCGTTTCCATGTCTTATGTATCAGTGACAATTATGTTGACTGCAACCCAAATCTATTTGACTACCCCTAATTCCATAATATCTAGTACTTAATATAGTTATACGCTTTTCAGTTGAAAATGAAAGAATTATTTGTACTGGTAGTTGTAAACAATTGTATAAATATTTCCGTTGGATTCCTTTGCGAACTCTTTGTCAATTATTATTTATGATACTATGGTATGATCCCAAACTGTTTAGAGAAGAAAGGGAGGCTGTGGTGTGCGCACGTAAACTTGTCCTATTTCTTTCCAATACATTAGCTCTATTTATTAGCTCTCTGTCTATCATCTCCTACGTGCGCTTATCATAGACTCCTTTTATCTAAAAAGTATGCAGTATTTCCCGCGCAAACCAGCAGTCAGATCTCTAGATTGCCTGGCCTCGTGATTTGTCACGTATTTTTAAATAACATACAGTTTTCTAAATTTGCTGAAGTACTACTAAACTACAAAAATAAATAAACGGGTAAATTATATTCTCAAATTATAACTCCGAATTAAACATGCAATGTGAAAAGTTAATGCCGAGAACCCTACTAAAAATAAATTAAACGTCATTGTTTGCTAACTACATAATTGATTAAACTTATTATTTTAATAAGGTAAGGTATTAAACTAGACAGAGACTTGAATACTTTTTTTTACTAATTTTAATAATTCTTGTAAATGAGTAGATATTTAATAATAAAGTAATACATATTATTATACGCAAAAAATGTATTTGCATGCTTTTGCATAAACTTCCTGCACTTATAATTTATGAACAGTATTTTGGACGATGCCCAATTAATTGATAAATAATAGTATGTTGATGTAAAAAGAGTATTATTACATTACTTCAAATTCTTTTAACTTTCTTTACGTAGTATATCCTGTTTCCAAAATCTCAAGAAATTAGGGTTATGGTAATTCAATTCAATCTGGGTGCTTAGGGTAAAAACTCAATAAACAACAAATGAAGAAGTATGTTATTTTTTTAAATTTATATAACATTTATTGCTGTAAAAGTTGGAGATGACGTTATATGATGGGGAAGATGATTACAAATGTTGGTCAGCGTTTTATCAACCGGAAACGAGAGACCTATGTTTTCGTATTATAGGAGTCATGAAACGTTGAGAAGCCATAAAAGTAGCCAGTCGCCCGATGAACCTGATTACAATACTTCCTTAGCTTGCGCTCGAGACATAAAAAAAATAAACAATAACATTTGGATTTAATAGCTTTTGATATCTGGTATACCTAAACAGTGAGTGAATTTTATGCGGCTATTATTACCATTACATATAACCATCCACTTAAATTAATTGGTAAAAAAATTTACCCATAAATAAGTTATTGTAAAGTTATTTTTATTTACACGCGTATAATTGCACAACAATAATTGTTAGACAAATAGAATGATAAAGAAAGGCAATGTCATATTAAAAAACAAATTACTCGTTTCGATGTAAGATATCTTATATAAGTTAACAACATAGATCTATTTAGTTATTATAGGTAAAATTCTAATACGAAATTTATTCTTGAAGTAAGTCGTAAATTGTAAATAGCTATAAATTCGGAAATAATTCTTTTTAAAAGATACAAGTCAAAAATGTATTAGACATGATTGTCAAGAAACATTCCAATTCTGTTTCAAATTTGCAAGCTTTTTATGTCAAAAGCTGATTTTTGTAAACGTTCCAGTAATAAATTCCGAAGCAAAATCCACCTAAACAGATTTTGCTTCGAAATTTTAATTTTCATATTACTTTTACAACAAAAAATTGTGCACTCTTTTACTGGTATGCAGCGTTATAAATCTTGTTCACTAAAACTTTAGAGAAAATAAGTTCAATCATTTCCGAGAAAAAATTAAAGAAAAATGTTACTGTTTAGAAAAAAATTAAATTATTTGTTTATCGAACAAATCTATTTGAAATTTAAATTTGTAAAATTTCGAATCTAATATGTAATTTGAAAATATTTGTAACATCTATAATAGAAAAAGAGTTGCACAAATTACAGTTGCTTTTTTTTTAATTTCAGATTCATCAAAATTGTTAAGTCTCTTTTTTATTTATTTCACATTATTCTTATTGTTCTGCGCGTGAAGTTGAATACGATTTCCTTCCCAACCCCAAACCTAACGCTGAAAAGCAAAACAGCAAGGAAGTACGTAAAAACGGATAACGGTACTGTATCGATTTCTGCTTGGACATGCGGCAAATCAGCACTGAATCTAAACTATGTTTCGCTTCGCCCAAGTGCGACATGCGGCAAATCTGCACCAAACAGTAGAGGCGAAAATCCCCCGGACGCGATCTGGATATGCGGCAAACCAGTTCTAAGGTGACGATTTATTTTTTTATGATAACCCGTTTTATCGTTCTCTATTCATCCCCACCAACAATCTGATGACGTCACCTCAAACTTATCAACTCACCCGTCATGACGAAATTCATCTGCACCGTCGTGAACTGCACGAATTGATCGCTGTCCTTCTTACTACCCCGCGGCAACAACTCCTTCGTTTTCGCCGCTTTCTCCTGCATCTCCAGGTACCTCAACATCATGCTCGACTCCCGCTTCGACGACCTCTACAACAACAAACCTAGTGAACCTCCCCAAGACAAACCTCGCAAAATTACGCTCAGAGGCACCGGCTCGGGGACGTCGCTCTGCGGCAGAGGTATGCTGTTGCCCAGCGCCATCAACAGCAGCAACCGCGCGTCGGAGACGTTCACCACCACCGACGGCAGCTCCCCTGAGATCTTCATCAGCGGTAATTTCGGGTCGTCGCTGATCATGCATTTGGCCAACGTCACTTTCAAGTTGATGGGTTCGAGGACGTGCATGTTGCTGATTTTCTTCTCCTCGAGGAGGCCCTTCCAGTCTTCGTCGCTTTGGGCCATGAGGATCTGGATGCGGGTGAGATCGAGGACGAACTGGTCGTAGCTCTGGGCTATGAGTTGTTGGCGGATTTCTTTGTCCGGGTAACCTTGGGAGTGCATTTGGCGCAGGTCCTTCATGGGAGGGCGACTGAGGGAGTGCATTTTGAAGTGACCCAAGTTGACGATGAGGACGTTCTCGTGTTCGGTGTACTTGCCGCCGTAGGGGATGATGATGTAGGGGGCGCGGAGGTCGATTTTTAGGTCGAGGTGGACGTGGGTGTCGATGGCGTGTTGGAGGCCGCTGGAGGACATGTCTTTGATGTTGGAGAGGCCGTCTCCAGCGGCGGCTGACAGTCTGGGGATGAAGGATTTAATGATTATTATGTGCTATAGGGTTGCTAAACTGTACACCACGAATCCATTTTCGATATTCAACTATGTCAATAACAATTTTTTAATTTGGTTTTTGGAGTTTTCGATTTTAAATTTTTCAGTGCCTTGATTTTAATTTTTTGATTTTTCAATGTTGGGCTTTTTATATATTTTAATTTCTCGATTTTTCAATTTTCCGATTTTTCGTCTCTCGTTTTTTTTTAACTTTTAGATTTTCCAGCTTTTAAATTTTTCAGTGTTCCGATTTTTTAATCTTTTGTTTCTTCAATTTTGAAACTTTGCAATTTTTCAGATTTTAATTTTTCAATGAAATGTGATTTCTATGAATTGTTCAAAATTCGAGTTTGAATAAATTTGTTCTTTTTGTTGAAAAATCAAAAATTAAAATTCGAAAGAATGAAAAATTAAACATACAGAAATTGAAAAATTGAAAATCTAAAAATTGCAAAATTATACAAATGATAAATCGAAAAAATTAAAAATCGGGAAATTGGAAAACTAAAAAAAGAAAAACTGAACTGAAAAATCGGCAAAATCGAAAATTTCAAGAATTCCCATAAATTCAGTTTACGCATTTTCAATTTTTCGATTTTTCAAATTGTTAAATTTTTTATTTTTCAATTTGGTTTTTTAAATTATCAGCGAAATGTATCGGGAAAAATAGCGCACAATTTCCCAGTTTACAATTTTTCAAAACTTCAGTTTGAAAAAATTTGTTCTTTTTGTTGAAACACTTGAAAATTAAAAACCGAAAAAATGAAAACTTAAACATCGAAAACTTGAAAAACTGAAAAACCTAGAAATAGAAGAATTAGAAAATTAAAAATTAAAAAATCTGATGATTGAGACATGGAAAAATTGAAGATCAAATTTGCACATAATTGAAAAAACAAATATAGAAAGATTTAAAAATCTCACACCCGTAGAATGGAAAAATTGAAAAGTTCCATCATAAAACTGAAAAATCGAATCATTGGGAACTAAGAAATGGAGAAATCGAAAAACTAAAAATCGATAAATTGAAAAATCTGAATTGAGAAATCGAAAAATTAACGAAGTAAATAATTACCGATCGAAAAACTGAAGAAACAAAAAACTGAAAAATGAAAAATTGTGAATCGAAAAAACGGTAAAATCGAAAAATTACTAAATAAAAATTGAAAAATGGAATAACTGAAAAATCGGAAAAATCTAGAAACATAAAAATGGTAAAATCATTTACATTTTCAGTTCTCCTAGTTTTTATTTTTTAAAAATTTCTGTTTGAATATTTTTGTTTTTTGATGAAAAACTGAAAAATTAAATAATAAAAAAATTGAAATAATCAAAAGTTGAATGAAGCATTGAAAATTTGAATAAAAAAAAAAATTGCAAATCGAAAGATTGAAGAAAGGAAAAATTGAAAAACCGAGAAATTAAAATTGGAAAGAATGCAAAATTAAAATTACAGAAATTGAAAAATTGAAAATCTAAAAACTGTATAATTGTAGTTAAAATATCGAAAAATCAAAAAACTGTAAAATCGGCAAAATCGAAAAACTCAGAAATTGTAAAATCGAAAATCTCAATAATTTTAATGTTTACGAATTTGCAATTTTTCCATTTGTTAAATTTTGAATTTTTCAATTTTGGATTTTTAAATTTTCAGTGAAATGTAACAGGGAAAATAAACCAAAATTAGCCAGTTTATAATTTTCCAAAAACCTCAGTTTGAAAAAATTTGTTCTTTTTGTTGAAAAATGTGAAAATTAAAAATCGAAAAAATCATAAATTAAACATCGAAAACTTGAAAACTGAAAAACTTAGAAGTAGAAGAATTAGAAAATTGAAAAATCTAACACCAGAAGAATGGAAAAATTGAAAAATTGCCTCATTAAACTGAAAAATCGAATAATTGACAACCAAGAAATGGAAAAACTGAAAAACTAAAAAGTGAAAAATTAAAAATCGATAAAATAAAAAATCTGCTCATTGAGAAATCGAAAAATTAAAAATTGTGAATCGAAAAACGATAAAATCGAAAAATTACTAAATAAAAATCGAAAAATGGAATAACTGAAAAATCGGAAAAATACAGAAACACGGAAATGGTAAAATCGAAAAACTGAAGAATCTTTAAAAATTCCAAAGTTGATTTTCCAATATTTCGTTTCTTCAATTTTTTGACTTGCAGTTTTGTGATTTTACAATTTTTTGAGTTTTATATACATTTCAATTTCTGCTTTTTCAGTTCTCCTGGTTTTTATTTTTTTTTTTTTTAGTTTGTTTGAATATTTTTGTTTTTTGTTTTGTTTTGAAAACAGGAAAATTAAAAACTGAAAAAACGGAAAATTCAAACTCGAGAAATTGAAAAATCGAAAAATTGAAATAAACAAAAGTTGAATGAAGCATTGAAAATTCGAATAAAAAAAATTGAAAATCGAAAGATTGAAGAAAGGAAAAATTGAAAAACCGAGAAATTAAAATTGGAAAGAATGACAAATTAAACATACAGAAATTGAAAAATTGGAAATCTAAAAATTGTATAATTGTAGTTAAAATATTGAAAAATCGAAAAACTGGAAAATCGAAAAATTGCAAAATTATAAAAATGATAAATCGGCAAAATTGAAAAACTCAGAAATTGTAAAATCGAAAAACTCAAGAATCTTCATATTCATGTTTACGAATTTGCAATTTTCAAATTTTTCAAATTGTTAGATTCTTAATTTTTCAATTTTGGATTTTTAAATTTTCAGTGAAATGCATCAGGGAAAATAACCCAAAATTTCCTAGTTTATAATTTTTCAAAACTTCAGTCTGAAAAAATTCGTTCTTTTTGTTGAAAAATTTGAAAATTAAAAATTTAACATCGAAAATTTGAAAAATTGAAAATCCTAAAAGTGGAAGAACTAGAAAAATCGAAAAGTTCCAAATTCGAAAAATTGGAAAATTAAAAATCAAGAAATAGAAATTTAAAAATCGAGAAAAATTGCTAAATAACAAGCGAAAAATGAAAAATCTGAAAAATATAGACACAGAAATGATAAAATCGAAAAACTGAGAATCTTTACAAATTCCAAAATTAATTTCTCAGTATTTCGTTTCTTCAATTTTTTGGCTCGCAGTTTTTTGATTTTACAATTTTTGATTTTTATATACATTTTAATTTTTTGTTTTTTTAGTTTTCCTAGTTTTCATTGTTTAAACATTTCAGTTTGAATATTTTTGTTTTTTGTTCAAAAACTGAAAAATTGAAAATCTAAAAATTGCATATAAAATTAAAATATAGAAAAATTGAAAAAAAAAAAACCAAAAATTGCAGTCATAAAATTGAAAATCGAAAAATTGGAAAATTAAAAATCGAAAAACTGAAATATTCAAAAGTTGAAGCACTGAAAATTTGAAGAAAAAAAATTGAAAAACGAAAAATTGAAAAACCGAGAAATTAAAATATGTGAAGCTCAAAATTGAAAAAAATGTAAAATCAGGTTTTTTTTAACTCTTGGGTTTTTCAGTGTTCCGGTTTTTTAATCTTTTGTTTCTACCATTTTGAAACTTTGCAATTTTTCAAATTTCAATTTTTTTCAATGCAATGTGACTTCTATGGGGAAAAATAATCCAAAATATCCTAATTTACAATTGTTCAGAATTTGAGTTTGAATAAATTTGTTTTTTGTTGAAAAATCGAAAATTTAAAATTCAAAAGAATGAAAAATTAAACATACAGAAATTGAAAAACTGACAATCTAAAAATTAAAAATCGAAAAACTGAATTGAAAAATCGGCAAAATAAAAAAATTCAAAAATTGTACAATCGAAAAACTCAAGAATTTTTCATAAATTCATGTTTACAATTTTACAATTTTTTGAATTATTAGATTTTTTTAATTTTCAATTTTGGGTTTTTAAATATTCAGTACCAGGGAAAATAAGCCACAATTTCCTAGTTTACAATTTTTCAAAACTTTAGTTTGAAAAAATTGGATGCTTTTGTTGAAAAATTTGAACATTAAAAATCGAAAACATGAAAAATTAAACATCCAGAAATTGAAAAATTGGAAAGTTAAAAATCAAAAAATTGAAAATTAGAAATTTTAAAATTGAAAATACGGATGATTGAGACATGGAAAAATTGAAGATCAAAAATTGCACATAATTGAAAAATTAGAATATAGAAAAATTGAAAAATCTAGCACCAGTAGAGAGGAAAAATTGAAAAATTGCATCATAAACCTGAAAAATGAAAAATTGTAAATAGAAAAATGAAAAATCGGAAAAATCTAGAAACACAAAAATGGTAAATAAAATCGAAAAACCGAAGAATCTTTAAAAATTCCAAAATTGATTTTTCAATATTTCGTGAAATTAAACATCGAGAACTTGAAAAATTGAAAAACCTAGGAGTAGAATTAGAAAAATCGAGAAGTTGTAAATTAGAAAAATTGGGAAGTTAAAAATCGAAAAATAGAAAATTTGAAATTTAAAAATTAAAAATCGGGAAATTGAAAAAACGGATGATTGAGACATGGAAAAATTGAAAAATCTAGCACCAGTAGAGTGGAAAAATTGAAAAATTGCTTCATAAAACTGAAAAATCGAATAATTGGAAACTAAGAAATTGAGAAATTCAAAAACTAAAAACTGAAAAATTAAAAATCGATAAATTGAAAAGTCTGATCATTGGAATCAAAAAATTAACAAAGCAAAAAATTGCTAATAGAAAAAGTGCCAAAACAAAAAACTGAGAAATGAAAAATTGCAGTCATAAAATTGAAAAATCGAAAAATTGGAAAATTAAAAATGAGAAATTTAAAAACTAAAACTAGAGAAATTGAAAAATTAAAACTCGAGAAACTGAAAAATCGAAAAACTGAATTATTCAAAAGTTCAATGAAACATTGAAAAGCTGGAGAAACAAAAAATTGAAAATCGAAAAACTGAAAAATCGAAAAATTGAAAATCGAAAAATTGGAAAATTAAAAATCGAGAAATTTAAAATTTAAAACTAGAAAGATTGGCAAATTAAAACTCGAGAAATTGAAAAATCGAAAAACTGATATATTCAAAAATTGACTGAAGCATTGAAAATTTGAAGAAACAAAAAATTGAAAATCGAAAAATTCGAACATTAAAAATCCAGAAATTTAAAAACAAAAACTAGAAAAATTTAAAAATTAAAACTCGAGAAATTAAAAATCGAAAAACTGAAATATTCAAAAGTTGAATGAAGCATTGAAAATTTGAAGAAACAAAAAAATGAAAAATCAAATAAAAAATTCGAAAAACTGACGAATAAAAAACTGAAAAATGAAAAAATTGCTAAATAAAAATCAACAGTGGAATAACTGAAAAATCGGAAAAAATCCAAAAACTGAAGAATCTTCAAAACTTCAAAAATCTGTTCTTCAATTTTGTGCTTCGTTTATTGATTTTTTAATTTTTACTTTCTTCAATTTGACGAATTTGCAATTTTCCGATTTTTCAAATTGTTAGATTTTTCGATGTTTGGGTTCTTCATTTTTCAATGAAATGCAAGAAGATAATCCTAGTCTCCACTTTTCAAAATGCCAGCTTTAACAAATTTGTTCTATTTGACGAAAAAATCAAAAAGAAAAAATCGATAGATGAAAAGTTAAACATCCAGAATATTTAAAATTGAAAATCTAAACTTTGCATAACTGTAAAATTAAAAAATCGAACTAAAAAATCTAGATATTGAAAAATCTATAAATTGCAAAATCGACAAATTGAAAAAACGGATAATTGCGAAATAAAAATGAAATTGTGAAACGGAAATCGAAAAATTAAAGAAACAAGAAACTAAACAATGGAAAATTTCAGAAGCTGCAAAAACTAACAATTGTAAAATCGAAAAATTACAAATCGAAAAATCGGAAAACTAAAAAACAGAAGAACTTGCAAAAATTCAAAAATGGTTGAGTTTTGGAATAAAAAAATCGAATCTAAAACTAATCTTATTCCCCATTTTCCGGTTTCGTTCTACATAGAACGGCTGATAAAACTGCATTATCTAGTCAAAACCGCAACGTAACGCTAACGTTAGCCAAGTAACCGACTCAGCAGCATCAAATTACGTTAACTCAGCAAACCATCTGATACTCACTGGTCTATAGCCGCCGACTGAGGAACTTTAAAAATGTCAATAGTTTTGATGATGGTCTGTGCGTCGTAAACGACTTTCAGTGGCTGAGACGTCAGGTACAACCTCTGCCCGCACGTTTTATCCAACGGGTTAGTTTCGAAGGTGACTTCCAACAACCCACTATCTCCTGCTCCCGTTTCCGAAATGATCATCCTCGGTATATAGTCGGCCTGTTGCCAACCGAAGGTCGTAAACTCATCGATTTTGACGTGGACTCTTAAAACGACAAAATTAATCAGAATTGTCAAACTTTGCAAATCATCCGACATACTTCAGAGCCTCAGCTGCAGACCGCGTGTCCACACGACACCTCACACCCTTCAGTTCGGTGAAGATCACTCTATTCGTGGTTTCGTGTTCGTCCTGTAATTCGACCTCCAGAGTCCGCAGAAGGAAAGTACAAGAATTGTCCACATAAGCTTCGGGGAATTCAGACGGCAAAGCGTGCTCTTGGTAGCCGATGGCTTTGTACAAGCGTTCTTTTTCGTCTTTGCTCATAGCCTCTTGGAACTGTTTCTCTAAACGAGATAAAATTAAATTAAAAATATGCATATATACTTTACGATTGACTTACTAATCTCCAAACCGCTGTCCGACGACGGTGACCCCATTGAATCGGCCTTACCCCCACCCCACATCCACCCGAACCACCCTTTATCCGTCTCCTTCTTCTTCTTCATTTCCCTTTCTGCCTCAAACTCCACCTTCTGCCGTATTATAACAATGTTAAAAGTATCTATCGCTCTCTCGCACTCTTCGATCTTCTGCACCTCGTCACTTGTCGCCTTATTCTGCAACTTCTTCTCGTACAAATTTCGATAGTCTCTTAGCAAATTTCGGTGAGCAATAATGTGGTTCCAATCCCAGTTTCGTCTACGTCTGTTCACTTCTCCTTCGAGGACACACTTGTAGGCGAAGTGCCACCACTCTTTATAGTGGCCTTTGTAAGATTGCAAGTCTGGTCGATGTTGCCTGTAGGGTATGCCTTTTGACATTCTATCCATAGACTCCGCAAGGGCTATGATATCCCTATACTGTGCTTTGCTAATGCCGACGAAAAGTCTCTCCATGTCTAGATTCAAGTGGATTTTTGGGATGCTGAACGCTGGTGTGTCGAGTTCGGGTTTCTGGTTGATGCGGATGCGAGCCGAGGCGTTGATTGGTCCCACAACTGGGGAGAGATGGGGTTAGGCGGACGGGAAACTAAACAATTTTTATGACAGCAGCAAAACGAGTGGGGTGAGATAAATTAGAGGTTCTATTGTACTTTAATTCCATTGTAGTATACTATTTTTAGTTTAACAGATTTCAATGACGAAATTAGATCAGTAAAACTGGTAAGTTCAATTACTGATCACAATTTTCTTTTAATGGTTATGATTCAGACGTGATTGAACAACCTACGCATAGCTATATGTTAAATGTACAATTAGTGAGCCTAGTTGAGCATTTGTTGTGAAAAATTTTGTTTAAATATAATATAAAATATCGAAAAATTGAAAAATCTAACACTAGCAGAAGTAGGAAAATTGAAGATGCCTCTTAAAATAAAAAAATTGAAAAATTAAAAATCGTGAAATTGAAAAAACGAAAAATTAAAAGTTCCATAGTTGAAAATTCGAAAAACTGAGGAAACAAAAAAATGAAAAATGAAAAACGGCAAATCAAAAAATGGTAAAATCGAAAAACTCAGAAATGGTAAAATTAAAAAACTGAAGACTCTTAAAAAATTCCAAAATCGATTTTTGTATATGTATTTCGTTCCGTCACTTATTCGACTTGTAGTTTTCTGATTTTACATTTTTTTTTCGTTTTTCAATTTTAAAATTTTTAGTTTCTTCAATTTTTTTACGAATTTGTAATTTTTCGAATTGTTGGATTATTTAATATTTCAACTGTAACATATATCAGGAAGAATAATCCAAAATCACCCAGTTTTCACTTTTTCAAAATTTCAGTTTGAATAAATTTGTTTTTTTTTTGTTGAAAAAACTGGAAAATTAAAAACTGAAAAACAGAAAAATTAAACATCGAGAACTTGAAAATTTGAAAAACCTATAAGTAGAAGACTAGAAAAATCGAAAACCTGCAAAATGGAAAAATTGGAAAATTAAAAATTGAGACATTGAAAAATTAAAAATCGAAACTGAAATATTTCATGATTGAAAAATCGAAAAATTAAAGATTTAAAAACTGCATATAACTGAAAAATTAAAATACCGAAAAATTGAAAAATCTGACAGTAGCAGAAGAAACAAAAATTGAAAAGTTGTCTCTTAAAAACGAAAAATCGAAAAACTGAAAGATTAAAAATCGAGACATTGAGAAAAAGTATAAAATTGTAAAGCTGAAAAACCTAAAAGTTAAAAAATCAAAAAATGAGGAAGCAAAAAATTGCAAATCGAAAGATTGAAAAAAACGAAAAATTAAAAGGTCAATAGTTGAAAATTCGAAAAACTGAGGAAACAAAAAACTGAAAAATGAAAAACTACAAATCAAAAAGGATAAAATCTAAAAATTGCCAAATAAAAATCCAAAAATGGAATAACTGAAAAATCGAAGAACTCAGAAATGTTAAAATTAAAAAATGAATGATCTTAAAAACTTCCAAAAGCGGTTTTTCTATATTTCGTCCCTTCAGCTATTCGACTTGCAGTTTTCTGATTTTACAATTTTTTTTTATTTGTCAATTTTTGAAATATAAGTTTCAATTTTTTTTACGAATTGTTGGATTATTTAATATTTCAATGAAATGTAACGTCCATCAGAAAGAATAAGGCAAAATCTCCTAGTTTTCACTTTTTCGAAATTTCAGTTTGAATAAATTTGTTCTTCTCGAAAACTTGAAAATCTACAAGTTGCATGTAACCGTAAAATTAAAATATAGAAAAATTGAAAAATCTAGAGATAGAAAAATCGAAAAATTGCAGTCCCAAAAATGAAAAATCGAAAAATTGCAGTCCCGAAAATGAAAAATCGAAGAACGGAAACATCAAAACATTGGAAAATTAAAAATCTAGAAATTTAAAAACAAAAATAAAAAATCAAAACTTGAGAAAGTGAAAAATCGAAAATGACGTATTCAAAATTTGAAGCATTAAAAATTTGAAGAAACAAAAAATTGAAAAACTGAAGAATCTTCAAACTTCAAAAATCTATAGTACAGTAAATCCTATTTAAATTCTCTAAAATAACATACTCTTCTCCTTATGGTTTATGATATAGCCTACCAGGGAAAATAATCCGAAATCTCCCAATTTTGAAAAATTGAAGAATTAAAATATCACAAAATTTAATAAAATCTGACATTAGCAAATTTTTGGATTTTTCGTTTTTCAATTTTTTTGTTTTAAGTTTCCTCAATTTTTTTATTTTTCGAATTGTTGGATTATTTAATATTTCTATCAGGAAGAATAATCCAAAATCTCCTGGTTTTCACTTTTTCAAAATTTCAGTTTGAATAAATTGTTCTTTTTGTTGAAAAATTTGAAAATTAAAAATAGAAAAAACGAAGGATTAAAAATCGAGAAATTGAAAAGAGTACAAAACTGTAAAGCTGAAAAATCTAAAAATTAAAAAATAAAAAAACTGAAAAAGCACAAAATTGCAAATGGAATGATTGAAAAAACGAAAAATTTAAAAGTACAATAGTTGAAAATTCGAAAAACTGAAGAAACTAAAAACTGAAAAATGAAAGACTGCAAATCGAAAAACACAGAAATTGAAAAATTCAATAACTGAAATTCCAAAATCGATTTTACAATATTCTTTTCGTTTTTCAATTTTTTAATTTTCAATTTCTTCAATTTTTTACGAATTTCCAATTTTTCGAATTATTGGATTATTTAATATTTTATTGAAATGTAACGCCAATCAGGAAGAATAATCCTAAATGTCCTAGTTTTCACTTTTTCAAAATTTCAGTTTGAATAAATTTGTTTTTTTCTATTGAAAAAACTGGAAAATTAAAAACTGAGAAATTAAAGGTCGAGAACTTGAAAATTTAAAAATTGCATATAAACTATAAAGCTAAAATATAGAAAAACTGAAACATCAAAACACTGGAAAATTAAAAATCTAAAAATTTAAAAACAAAAATTGAAAAATTAAAACTTGAGAAATTGAAAAATCGAAAAACTGACATATTCAAAATTTGAAGAAGTGAAAATCTGAAGAAACAAAAAATTGAAAAATTTAAAAATTCGAAAAACTGAAGAAAAAACCTAAAAAAGGAAAAATTGCACAATAAAAATCAAAAACAAAATAATTGAGAAATCGGAAAAATCCTGAAGAATCTTCAAAACTTCAAAAATCTATTTTTCAATTTTATATATAGTTTCATGTTTCGTTTTTTGTTTTTTCAACTTTTGAATTTTTTGGCTATGAACCCGTTTTTTTTTTCAACAAAATTCTATTTATTTATCTCTTCCAAAAAACGAATGAAAATATATTGAATTTTTTAAAAATAAATCTTTAAATGCCCTCTGAAACACTCGTGATAATAGATGTAAAAAAATTAAGGGGAATCCATCTGCACAAAATAAAATTTAAATAGCATTTACCATGCAAATTTTTTTGATGACGTCATCAAATTTTGAAGTTGAAAAGTCTAAAAGATAAAAAAATCAAAAAACTGAGGGAGCAAAAATGGCAAATCGACAGATTGAAAAAATGGAAAATTTAAAAGTTCAGTACGTAGTTGGAAATTCGAAAAAACCAAAGAAAGAAAAAACTGAAAAATGGAATAACTGAAAAATCGAAAAACTCTTAAAAAATTCCAAAATCGATTTTTCTTTATTTTGTTCCCACACTTATTCGATTTACAGTTTTGTGATTTTACAATTTTTTTTTCGTTCCTCAATTTTTTAATTTTCGGTTACTTCAATTTTTTTACGAATTTGAAATTTTTCGATTTTTCGAATTGTTGGATTATTTAATATTTCAATTAAATGTAACGTCCATCAGGAAGAATAATCCAAAATCTCTTAGTTTTCACTTTTTCAAAATTTCAGTTTGAATAAATTTGTTCTTTTTGTTGAAAAAACTGGAAAATTAAGAACTGAAAAATTGAAAAATTAAAAGTTGAAAACTTGAAAATCTAAATATTGTATATAAACATATATGTACTTAAAATATAGAAAAAGTGAAAAATCTAGAAATAGAAAAATCGAAAAATTGCAGTCATAAAATTGAAAAATCGAACTGAAACATCAAAACATCGGAAAATTAAAAATTTACAAATTTAAAAACAAAAATAGAAATACTAAAACTTGAGAAATTGGAAAATCGGATGACTGAAAAATTGAAAAATGGAAAAACTGACATATTCAAAATTTGAAGAATCAAAAATCTGAAAAAACAAAAAATTGAAATTCAAAAAACTGAAGTATCTTCAAACTTCAAAAATCTATATTTCAATTTTACATATAAAAAGGGTACAACCAAAAAATTACTAAATAAATACGAAAATGGAATAAATGAAAAATCGAAAAACTCAAAAATGGTAAAATTAAAAAACTGAAGAAACTTAAAAAATTCCAAAATCGATTTTTCTATACTTCATTGCTTCACTTATTCGACTTGCAGTTTTCAGATTTTACATTTTTTTCTCGTTTCGCAATTTTTAATTTTCAGTTTTTTGAAATTTTTTAGGAATTTGCAATTTTTCGATTTTTTTAGTTGTTGGATTATTTAATATTTCAATTAAATGTAACGTCCATCAGGAAGAATAATCCAAAAATCTCTTAATTTTCACTTTTTGAAAATTTCAGTTTGAATAAATTTGTTCTTTTGGTTGAAAAATCTGGAAAATTAAGACCTGAAAAACTGAAAAATTAAACGTCGAAAACTTGAAAATCTAAATATTGCATATAAACATTTAATTAAAATATAGAAAAAGTGAAAAATCTAGAAATAGAAAAATGGAAAAATTGCAGTCATAAAATTGAAAAATCGAAGAACTGAAACATCAAAACATTGGAAAATTTAAAAATTTAAAAACAAAAATAGAAAAACTAAAAGTTGAAAAATTGAAAAATCGGATGACTGAAAAATTGAAAAATGGAAAAACTGACATATTCAAAATTTGAAGAATAAAAAATCTGAAAAAACAAAAAATTGAAAATCAAAAAACTGAAGGATCTTCAAACATCAAAAATCTATATTTCAATTTTATATACAAAAAGGGTACAACCGAAAAATTACTAAATACGAAAAATGGAATAAATGAAAAATCGAAAAACTCAAAAATAGTAAAATTAAAAAACTGAAGAATCTTAAAAAATTCCAAAATCGATTTTTCTATACTTCGTTCTTTCACTTATTCGACTTGGAGTTTCCGTTAATTGTAAAATTAAAATATAGACAATCTAGAAATCTAGAAATAGAAAAATTGCAATCATAAAATTGAAATCTCTAAGAACTGAAACTCAAAAATAGACAAATTAAAACTTGAGAAATTGAAAAATCGGATGATGAAAAATTGACAAATTGAAAAATAGAAAAACTGAAAAATGATCGAAGATTGAGGAAACGAAAAATTGTATCAAACATTAAAAATTCGAAAAACTGAAGAAAAAAAAACTGAAAAATGGAAAAATTGCAAAATAAAAACGGAGTAATTGAAAAATCAAAAAATCGAACAACTGAAGAGTCTTCAAAACTTTAAAAAATCTGTTGAATTTTTTGGCTATAAACCCGTTTTTTCTTCAACAAAATTGCATTTACTCATCTCTTCCAAAAAACTAACGAAAATATATAGAATTTTTTTTTAATAAATCTTTACTGAAAAATGCCGTTTGAAGCACTCGTGACAGTAGTTTTGATGCAGATGTAAAAAATCTAGACGGATCCATCAGTACAAAATAAAATTTAAATAGCATTTACCATGCAAATTTTTCTAGTGACGTCATCAAATTGTTGGATATTCCTAACATATATATAAAATTTGACAACAATCGCTGTAAATAAAATCGAGACACACGACAGTCAAGCTGTAAATAATCTCCGAAACTACTGGACTGATTGTTGTGAAATTTTATGTGTACATATTTTAGAAATATTGTGGGTATGGTAAAACGCTAACCAAAATTTTTCTGATCACCCCCACCAACAATTTGATGGCATCCTATTTAAATTCTATAAAATACCATACTCTTCTCCTTGTGGTTTATGATATCGCCCTTTAGTCTTTAAATTTTATATTAGCAATGTGGAAGAATATTTTAAAAATTTTGAATGCTTTAATTTATAAATGACGAAATCGTTAATTTTAATTCTACATATTATAGAAAGTTTGTAAATTCTGAAAGCTGTACTAAAACTCAGAAAATAAAATTTTATCATTCTTGTCCTAGACATCCAAAATGCTCTGAAATTTTGCAAACTTTTTAACCTTATCGTAAGCGTGGTAAAACGCTGATCAAAATGTATGTGTTTTTATCACCCCTCCCCCAAACCTGATGACGTTTTCTCAAAATTGTGCTCGAGAAATCCCACTACCTATAATGTGCAAAATATTATGACTCAATACCTGTGGTTTATCAACATATTAATATATTTTAGAATTGCATATACTTGTGACTCAAAACAAAATTAACACGAATGTCGTCATCACAAAGTTTTGTTATTTTTGCAAAATTAAATTCCAGTACATTTTAATTACAGGTCTAGAATGAACTACCAAAAACTAGTAACTTGAAACATCCTGTATATTTTTAGTTAGCGAAGTCCAAAATTATTTCTTTTTAATGCAGCGACTTTTTTATTGTATTAAAAAACACACATTTTATAAAAGTACAGGTTCATAACGAGAGGTGTAATAAAATGCGAAAATCATTTTTACGAGCTTTTTTATGACCTTTCAAGGCATAAACACGACCGATGCTACAGCACAATAACCTTTAAAATCAAAAGTAGGACGAACACTTGCGGATAACACTTTTATCCAATTTGACGCATAATTAAATATTAAAAAAACAAAAAAATCTGTTCATTTCCATGATAAACATAGAGCGACGAAATTTCGTAGAATTAATGAAAATGCCGCTACTCGACCATAAATAAAACATCAAAGTATATCCGCTTAATCGCGCCATTTCCGGTTATGCAATTATTCTTTCAATGACTTCATATAAAATTTCACATAACGTGGTTATCTCATGTATTCAAACACAATATTGTCCTATTGATAAGCGGCTTAAGGTGCGATAACTGTGCAAATATTTGCAATTTCAATTCAGGGAAATCAATTGTCCCCTGTTCAATCAATAAGTATGCATTAAAATGCACAAACATCCCGAGTAGCGATAATATTTTTAATAATTATCATAATTATAGGGCGTGACTCACTATGACATCATTTTACTGCTGTGTTAAACTAATTTACTCCCATAATAAGCATACAGACGCGTTTGTAAAAATAACAGATAACAAAAATCTCACCATATTTGTAATTTTCGGGCTTCTTGCCCTTGGAGGCAATTTCCGTCCTCATTTTGTGAAGCAAATCAACCTTGGGAATATGATCATAGCAAGCGGAATTGCAATTCCAATAAACCGCCAATCCATCTAAAGTTACAATTTTGAAAATTTTTGTAATGTCTTCTTTAGTGATGGCCGGCTTCCAGTGCTCATCTGTGCTTACAACATGTAGGTCACTCAATGTAATGCCTAGGGCAAAGGGCGTGGGGCTCGTAACTTTGTCTTCATACCGAATGTGGATGTTTGTTATGTTTAATTGGATGTTTTTTATGATCTGTGTGATCAATTTTTCAACGAAGGTGTAGTCGGCTTTGGGTTTGTCTACAATCAGTAACGTTAAAGCAGTGGTTGCAAAAACTGCACTTTACACACCCTTGTCGGCTTCTTGTTTCTTAGCCAACTCCACTTTGAGGATGTCCTTTTTTTTCGCGTCGAGTTCTTTGAGACTTTCTTTCAGTGCATCGTACTTCACTTGTTGGTTTGGCGCAGCTAATAAATAAATATCTTCGACGTTTATAACAAAAGCGGAACCATATAAGTTCTTCCATGGTATTTTCAGCACAAGTTTGCCTATCCTTCCATAGACGGTCTGCAGCGGCAAATCTAAATCGTCCAAGGCCGATTGCTTCAAAACCAAGTCCTTGAGTTCCACGTCCCCTTTAACAACACAGAGGGATTATTATTCTATTATAGATAAACTAAAATCGTTACCTCCCCAAATTCCTACTCGTAGTTGGTTTGTATCTAAATTTTCTACATAGGCACCGAGAAAGCGGTTTAAAACCTGAGTTAGTACACTTTCAAATACCATTGTAAGTTAGTAACTAATATTTACAGTAATTATAAAAAATAGGAGCGCTCTCCTACTGAATATGCTGCAATAAAAAGCTATAAATGGTGATGACATCAACGAAAGGCTATTTCTAAGTCCATCTCACAATTTGACCTAACCGGTCGAGATCACGTTTTACTTCTTTATCGATCAATCAAAGGCATTACGCTCATCTTTTTCCGACGTCCCGGAATCTTGAGAACTGACCCACTTACAACACTGACAGTTATTTACTCGTGTCAGGATGACATTTGGTAGCAGAAAAAATTTGAATGAGGAGAAACCTGATTTACCGGCGGGAGGATGAAGAAGTATTACTGGTTGCATACACACACATCGCTCCATTTGTGTCTTTATTTAAATATTCTCAGAACGTTAGTTGTAATGTCCACTGATTAAATGTCTGTTTCAATAAAAGACATGATACATTTACATTTATCTACATTTGTTTACATTTTCATTTGTAATGTATATTTTTAGTATATTTAGTTTTGCCAGTTCATTTTCGTGGACACCAATTATCTTAATTACAACTCTAAACTCTTTGTATTTTTTATAATCGTGACTAATATTACTAAGCTTGATGAGACACTGAACTCGAAAATTGCTCGTAATTTATAAAATAAGTAGGAATCTCGTCGACGATAATAAAACATACTTACATCGAATGAAAAGTTTGTTTTTAAATGCTGGAATACGGGATGACCAAAAATTTTTTTTGTTTGATGAAAAAATTTGATAAACCTCAAGCTGGGAAAATTCGTTCGTTAAAAATAACCTTCGATTCTAAGGTCAAGTTTTATTGGCATTGAAAAACATAAACATGGTATCGGTATTTATTTTAATCGCAATTTTACACCCATGCTACAAAATATTTTATATGTGATAATGTACCTACGCAAAGAATTTAGACAACGAATTTCTAGTAATGACTCAGTTATTAAACTGGTTTGTAACAACGGGATATCCAAAGGATCAAATATTTAAATTTCCAACGGGAAATATTATTGTTTATGAGCTACATACGAAAATGTGGAAGTGTTTTATCTGAACTCTATTCTCGCCCTACTTCGACTTGATTACTTTATTTAAATTGTTTTATGCTTTCTTAAACTTAAACTTACCAAGTACAAGTGTGTCTATTACAAGAAAATATTTTAGAATTTTTTATGAACACTCTGTGCATTAAATTTTAAAGTAACTGATACCACAACAAAGCATTTATCTTGAGGTACCTCTGCAGAAAATTTTCCAATACGGGTCTCAAAAATAAGACCACTGAGAATTTTTTGCGAACCTTTACATTCCAAAAAAATTTGAAGAAAATCGGAATAACTCGGCAACGTCGCATTCGATTTTCAAAAATAATTTGATAGCTGACTCCTATGTATTTTTGGGTGCTGAATCCAAATATGAACTCCACTTTTCTCCAATACGTGTGAATTTTCCAAAAAAGGATTTCAATTTTTTTTTTATTAATGAAAATGGTGGTGGGGAAGCAGCTACATGCAGTAAAATAGGAAAAACCATACATGTGTTGACGTCATATTTACAGTAAGTTGTGTGATAAAGTTACTATTTATTATTACAAATCCACAATTTTTTATTCAGGTTATCAACTTCTGTATGTATTACATCATGATAACTAAAAAAACTATGATTGTTTATTTAAACAGCAGTTTTACAAAATGATTCTTTACAACACGCTGTGGTGACCGAATTTGAATGAAAAAAAATTCAATCAAGAAAATCGTTAAACATAGGCAGGCAACCATGTGCACGTTTAGTTCTTTTTCTGATAGTGGGTAGTTCTGCTAGGGAATTTTAGTTAGAGGGTTGGTAGTGAGAGGGGTGCTTGCTTTATAGAGGGTGGGGAGAGGGTCACTTTTGGTTTGTTTGTTGTGTATGAAACCACTTGATGAGCTGAAATAGGCAAATTTTCGACCAACGTTAACACGTTGTGTAAATTTGTTTTATTGTTTGTAAATTCACAGTTCATGTTAGGATTTTAATCGTTAACTAAGTCTGACACAATTAAACGGTCCTGAGATTATTTAGATTGAGAATTTGCTAGGAGATTTCATGAAATTCACTTAGTCAGGACTCGTTCTTTGTTTATTTAATTATGAATATCGTTTCTGGATGCTTATGCGTAAGTGTTACATGATAACACTTCTTAATTCTTCACACAAGATTGGTAATAGTTCATTTACGGCAGTAAAATCAATCTAACGTTGCCCCACTCTGGGAAAAGACCGTGAAAGTGCGGTAGAATTCTAAATAACGCCTGGTACATTTTGTGTTGTTTATTTATCATGTGTTTCGTTTGAGATCAGCTGAGCACAGTCCACGATATAAACTCTCAAAACTAATGATTTTAAGTAGCCAGTCACTTGGATTATTTAATTTTCTGTTTGAATCGTTGATAAAGTGTGGCATAATTTAACATAATGTAAATTCTTTGTTTGAATCGTTGATAATGTCTGGCATAATTTAACCTCAGGTAAATTCTTTGTTCTGGCAGCGGCCATGTTGAAAAAGTATTTCCAAACCGAGCACATTCTATTAAACCACTACATATTTTACAGACAATTTGACCAACGTGGACCTGTGTTCAAAAACAGAACACTCAGTATATGTAAAGAAGCATGCTATGAGTACGTTTCAAGTGATTTTTTTGAATCGCTCTGTACAAGCAGTTCTCAATTAAAAATATGGCGTTCAAAATTTATACGTATATACGTCAATTATATCTATGCTGTGTTGTGGCGTTCAAAATTTACAAAGTACTGTATACTAGAGCGTAAGTATATAGTTAATTGTCTCACCATTTCTTGTGCTGTAGTGAAACGTCATTTTTTAAACAGATAGTACGTAAAATTTAGTTTGTAATTGCTAAAAGGGCAATTGTTTAAACAAAAATGAAGGGCATTCGATGCCACAGTCCTCCTCAGCGCGTGTAATTAATGCATGGAATTCACTTATTCAGACTCAGCGGTGTTACTTAAGTTATTACATACACATTTTTCGAATTTTTGATTTCTCGATAACTTGGTTTTTTGATTTTTAAAATTTTTCGATTTTTCGAGTTCTCGAGTTTTGAAGTTTTCGATTTCTTAATTTTTAACATTTAAATTTTTTGAATTTCTCAATTTTTAGATTTTTCAACTTTTCGATATTTAGTTTTCGATTTTTTGAAATTTTAGTATTCCAATTTTTATTTTATTTTCGATCTTTTGATGTTTAGATTTCCCAATTAAAAATTTTTAAATATGTATTTAAATTTTTCGTTTTATTGATTTTTCAAGTTTTCGATTTGTTAATTTATCAAAGGATTTTTTAATTTTTCTGTGATCTTCTGATTTTTAGACTTCATTTTTGAGATTTTTCAGTTATTCAATTTTTTGATTTCTTAATTTTTAACATTTCAATTTTTGGAATCTCTCAATTTTTGGATTTTTCAACTTTACGATTTTTCGATCTCTTTTTTTTATTTTTTAGTTTTTTCGATTCTTTAAATTTTACATTTTCCCATTTTTCGATTTCTTTTTTGGAAAGTTTAGTACATATTTCAATTTTTGTAATTCCACATTTTTCCATATTTCGATTTTTTGATGTTTGGGTTTCTCAATTTAAAATTTTTGAGTATGTATTAAAATTTTCGTTTTCTTGATTTTTCAAGTTTTCGATTTCTTAAGTTATCAATGGATATTTTGATATTCGATTTCTCGGTTTTCCATTTTTCGTTTTTCCAATTTTTCCATTTCAGTTTTCCACATTTCAGTTTTGAGATTTTTCAGTTTTTCAATTTTTCGATTTTTGAACTTCCATTTTTTTATGTTTCGATTTCCCGACATCAAATTTTTAAATACAGGGTGTCTCAGAAATAAGTACATTAATTTTAACCAGTAACAGAACTCGTGAAACGGAACAACTTTTTTATCTAGCATTTTTTCGAAAACTCAAGTCGAATTTCGAATTTTCCCACCCATATATTGACGAGCCGTCTATGTTCACCTTAAATAATAACTTAAATAATAGCAACACTACAACAATGAAGAAGGTACCTACCGTAGCAACCGTTTTGACACTGACAATCATTTTTATGTCAATGTTTTTATTAAACGTTGTCCCTTTAAAGTTTGTTTGGCACAGATTTCTAATTTATAGACGAAATGTGTTGAAATGGCTTTGTTTTCAAATCTGGAATGCACCGATATCGTTTTAACGTACGGTGAAGCTCGGGGAAACGGCACTCGCGCCCAACGAATTTTTTCAGAAAACCTCCCAAATCGTCGTCTGCCAAATGTGCGCAGTTTTAAGAACGTTGCAGCATTTTCGAGAGTACGGATCTTTTAAACCTGCACCTCAGGATCGGGGTAAGTTACGTAATAATAGAATTGCTAATATTGAAGAGGCTGTTTTGAAGAGTGTCGAAGCTCGACCGGGCACTAGCACGTATCACTGTCTAGTGTGATGTATCGGAGAGTTGTATTTGGAGGATACTCAGAGAACAAATGTACCCCTTTCAGGACCAGAAATTTCAGTTATTGAAACTAACAGACTTACCACGTAGGCAAAACTTTTGTGAGTGGGTTAATAGAAAAATAAACGAACAGGCAAATTTTGTATCTCATATACCATTAACTGATGAGGTCGGTTACACGAGGGAAGGTGTTCACACCCACATTTGGGCCGATGAAATTCCGTACGCCATTAGGGAGCAGGATTTTCAATTTCTCTCTAAATGTTTGTCACATTGACAAGATGAGGAAAATACGTATCCTAGTAACTGTTTTTGACCATAAATTATTATTAATTATAATAATTATTAGTGTCCATGGGTGACTGAGGATCCATGGGCGGGTAACCTTAATTGGGGTATAACTTTAACAATTTTTAATTTGATAATTAAAAAGTTCTTGACAAAACTCTACTAAAAAAAGTTGTTGAGTTCAATGAGCTCTATAACTGATTAAAATTAATGTACTTATTTCTGAGACACCCTGTATACATACTTAAATTTTACGATTTTTCGATTTCTCGACAACTCGGTTTTTCGATTTTTAAAATTTTTCGACTTCTCGTTTTTCTTGAAATTTTAGTACATATTTCAATTTTTGTAATTCTACATTTTTCCATATTTCGATTTTTTTGATTTCCTAACTTATCAATGGATTTTTTCATTTTCCTGTGATCTTTCGATTTTTAGATTTTTCAATATACATATATTTAAATTTCTCGGTTTTTCTACTTTTCGATCTCTATTTTTTTGAGTTTTTAGTTTTTTAGATTCTTAAAATTTGACGTTTTCCCATTTATCGACGTACCAAATTCTAATTTATAGATTTTTCTGTTTTTCGATTCTAAAAATTTTCGATTTTTTCTTTTTTTGAAATTTTAGTACTTCAATCTTTTAAATTCTACATTTTTCCATTTTTCGATTTTTTGTTGCTTGGATTTCCCAATTTAAAATTTTTGAATATGTATTTCAATTTTTCGTTTTTTTTTGAGTACTTGATTTTTCAATTTTTCGATTAGTACTAGATCTTTCGATTTTAAGACTTTGATTTTCCAGTTTTTCGATTCCTCAATTTTCGACATTTCGAGATTTTTCAATATTTCTCGACTTCTAGTTTTTTTTTATTTATTAGTGTTTCGTTTTTTAAATTTTACAATTTTTTGATGTTTCGATTTCCCGACATCAAATTTTTAAATATACTTAAATTTTACGATTTTTCGATTTTTAAAATTTTTCGACTTCTCGTTTTTTCGAGTTCTCGATTTTTCAATTTTTTGATTTCTTCTTTTTTTTTGAAATTCTAGTACATATTTCAATTTTTGTAATTCTACATTTTTCCATATTTCGATTTTTTTCATTTCTTGACTTATCAATGGATTTTTTCATTTTTCTGTGATGTTTCGATTTTTACATTTTTCAATACATATTTAGATTTCTCGGTTTTTCTACTTTTCGAGCTCTATTTTTTGAGTTTTTAGTTTTTGAGATTCTTAAAATTTCACATTTTCCCATTTTTCGACGTACCAAATTTTAATATATAGATTTTTCTGTTTTTCGATTCTAAAAATTTTCGATATTTTCTTTTTTTGAAATTTTAGTATTTCAATTTTTTAAATTCTACATTTTTCCATTTTTCGATTTTTTGTTGCTTGGATTTCCCGATTTAAAATTTTTGAATATGTATTTCAATTTTTCGTTTCTTTTTGAGTACATGATTTTTCAATTTTTCGATTACTAGATCTTTCGATTTTAAGACTTTGATTTTCCAGTTTTTCGATGTCTCAATTTTCGACATTTCGAGATTTTTCAATTGTTCTCGACTTCTAATTTTTTTTATTTATTAGTTCGTCGCTTTTTAAATTTTACGATTTTTTGATGTATGTATTTCAATTTTTATAATTCTACATTTTTCCATATTTCGATTTTTTTGATTTCTTAACTTATCAATGGATTTTTTCATTTTTCTGTGATCTTTCGATTTTTAGATTTTTCAATACATATTTAGATTTCTCGGTTTTTCTACTTTTATTGTTATTGTTTTTCTGTTTCTGTTTCTGTTTTTCTGTTTTTTGATTCTAAAAATTTTTGTACTTCAATTTTTTTTGAATTTTTTAAATTCTTCATTTTTCGATTTTGTGTTGCTTGGATTTCCCATTCCAGTTTTTCAATTTCTCAATTTTCGACATTTCGAGATTTTTCAATTTTTCTCGACTTCTATTTTCTTTATTTATTAGTTTTTCGCTTTTTAAATTTTATGATTTTTTGATGTTTCGATTTTCCGATATCAATTTTTTAAATGTATTTAAATTTTAAGATTTTTCGAATTTTCGATTTCTCCACATCTCGGTTTTTCGATTTTCCAAGTTTTCGATTTCTCAGTTTTTCAACATTTCATGTTGCGAATGTTTCACTTTCCGATATTTTCTTTTTTCGATTTTTTAAAATTTTTTATGTTTAAGATTTTTAATTTTTTGGATTTTTCAATTCCACAGTCAGAAAATTCTAAAACTCAAAATAGAAAAATACCAAGCACAACATAAATTAGATTGAAATTCAGAAGCCACTACTCTCGTAGTCAATACTAACATACTTAACTTGGAGTGTTTATGTTTACAAATCCAACGAATTATCAATTATACTTACCAATACTTGCTGAGATAAGACGGACTTTGCTAAATGATAAACCCTGTACTCTTCATTTTCTTAGAGGGTATGTTATTTGCAAAAATCCGTCTTATTTTAGCAGCTACTAGCCCCGCCCACCACCCTCAATTTTTTTTATTGATGACTAATGAGATAATGAAGTCTGGAGAAATGCGCACTTATTAGTGACTCAGTGTTTACCAGATGATATCATGTAGGTACTTTACAGCAAAAATATTCAATTCCTTACTAACTATGTAACTTTAAAATCTAAAACGAGTTTAGCACAGAATTTGTTAAGAAACCAGGTAACCATAATATACATAAGCTCCTCATCATTTTAAGGGTGAGCTGAAGCATATTCCAGCATAGAGAAATACATATAAACTTCTGCCCAAGTTTTTGTCAAAAGTATACATCCGATTGTAGTAAACTTCACACCATTGAAATGAGCGTAAAAAACCCCACCCAGACTGCTTTTCCGTTTTTTTAAATTTTGTTGTCAAAAAAAACTACAACGCGTTAAAATTGTAATGAGTATGAGAGAGATTATCTGGTTTTCGCTATTTATGGATTAATTTTAAATTTTCAAAGAGGTGCATTAGTAGAAATTGTATTAAAAAATCCACTGCGCTTTGCAGAAATAAAATATCTTAATAAATAATTGAATAAACAGGGGCAGAATATTTCAAATTTGTGGTCAAACAAACTTTAGCCATTTTTCTGGTCCACTCAAATCTACAGTATCCGACAATAAAATTTTATGAGAGTGTCCACCCTCTAAGGTTTTTTAAATTTAATCTGTAAGTTATTATACTATACATTTTTCCTGGATACAGAAATAGCCTTCTGAGTATTCTGCACATTATGTTGTAATTCAGCGAAACAACTTTTACCAACGTCAATAACAATTCTTCGTATTTCATTCTTCTCGCTAAAATTGTTGGAAAATGCCTGGAATTTACAGAAAATTCTGATCCGTCAGCTGCATCGTGGCAACGATCGTGACAAATTGCTTCTGTTCAACTTTTGAAATAAATAAACATAAAAGCGTCACGTTAAACCACATTGTTCCTTATTAATTTATGCCGTGTTGTAGCTCCACCTCTTGCATAAGAAGACACGCCCCCTCCTTTTCCAGAGTGCGTGAGCATGTTATATAAATGGTTGATTTAATGTCATCAGGTGCCTACCGACTGCGATTAAATATTCACAACAATCGGAAAATGCCACAAAACACATATCCCTTCACTTATAAAATCGAAGCTCTTCAAACGAAGAATTGCATTAGATCGTTTTACGAACTGACAACTGCAACTAAATATTTATGGCATCCATGCATAACTTCAGTGTATCAGTATAAACATCAATATTAAAAACGACTGTGTTTGTATTGACTTGATATAAAAGCGACTTGCAATTTTAAAATTTTAGTTACTTTCAAACGTACTCGGTATAAGTGGAAAACAAGTATCTTCTCCAGTTAACAGTTCACTACAATATGCCATCTTCAAAAATTGTACGTATTTTTTAAATCAACTCGAATTAAAATTTCATCGTTTCAGGACTACAATATTCTAGATGCGATAAATATAGAAAGAACGTTTTTATTGTGTGTCGGGTATTACCCCCTCCACACCAAAAACAAGGTTTTTTATCTTCTTCACACCACCTCATTTCTGTTTTCAATTAGCGTCGGCGGTGGCCAGTTTTTGTCGATGTTTATCCAAATGATGATCGACATCCAGGATTTGTCAAAAGTTTCGGAAACTCTTTTCTTTTTTTTGACACACAGTACGTACATGTGCAAAATGGTTAACTTTTTATTTAACAAACGCCGCTTAATCGAGATTGAAGATCAGCTTTCACAACCCGTTTTTTATGAATTCCCAATGGAACGTCTCAAGATTTTGATACGAAAAGTCGAAGCTACGAAAACTGTGGCTTTAACTTTTCGAATAATGTGTTCGCTAGCGGTAGTTTTGTCTTGTTTGATGCCTTATGTTGATCCTAATAAGAGACATAGCTTGCCTTTATCGGGATGGTTGCCCTATAATACTACCAAATATTATTATCCAACTGTTGCCTTTCAAGTTACTGCTGTTTGTTACACTGCCGCTAATAACGTCAACTTCGACAGTCTGACTTGGATATTAATCACTATAGCGTCTGCAGAATTTGACATTTTGAAAGAAAATTTAAAAAATTTAGACTACAAAGGCGACAAACTCCGAGTGGGAAAAAAGTTCAACGACTGTGTTAACCATCACAAAGAAATCGTCCGGTATATGCAGCTATGCACACAATTAGTTACCTATTCTTTCTCTTTACTTAATTTAAATATTTTAGTTTTGTCTACAAAATCGAGTCCACTTTTTCTAAAGGCATATTCCTGACTTTTTTAGCAAGTGTGGTGGTCATCTGCTTCACTGGTTTCATGATGATCATTGTAAGGCGCCAAAATTATCCCCACACTTTTTAAAAATTTAAGCAATAGGTGCCTTTTTTGGGTCCGCAGTTTATTTTTTTGGCCGTCTACTTATCTTGCATGATGACTGAAGTTGCGGTGTATTGTTGGTATGGTCATGATGTCATGACAACAGTAAGTGGCCGCTGATTAAGAGTGCTGAATTAATCTATTGTTGTAGAGTGACGAAATTGGGAATTTTTTTTACACGTCCAATTGGTATGAATCTGACTTGTCGTTGCGCCAAAGCATGGCGATTTTTTTGGAAAGGACCAAGAAACCTGTGACTTTGACTGGGGGGAAATTGGTTGTGTTGTCTTTGCCGACGTTTACGAGTGTAAGATTTATGAAACGAAAAATTTTCGTTAATGATTTTTTTCAGATTCTGCGTTCGTCGTATTCGTACTTTGCGGTTTTGCAACATTTGTATTACGACTCTTAAGGTAGCTGGTATTAATTTCCTGTAGTTGATGTTTATATTACACTGATGCAACAATAATAGTAAAACAAAATAAAAATTGTTATAATTCTCTTCGAAGAAAAACATTTTCGAATAAAATGATATTTTAGATTTTGACAGTTGTTACAGCTACATATAGTTAAAAAAAAACTGGTTCAAGATTATTTTGCTCCTTATGTACAGTTCAATAAACACAGTTTCTTTGAAAAATAAAAAAAGTGATTTTGCAAGCTGCTATTTGTGATAACCTCTAGACATTAAAACAAATATAGCGCCAATTTTATCTTTTTCCTCCTATGAGTGCATTAGGGAACATTATTTATTTTTAAAATATAAAAGAAAACATTTCATTAGTCAGAAATATATCGGTCTAAAATAACAAAAATAATAATACAGCGCAAATTCATTGCTGAGACATTGCCTCACTTGTCTCATAGGTCAAGCCGGCTCTGGAAATGGATTAACAATTGCTTCAAAAATTTGAATGCATTGATAAAGGGCAAGGTCATCCCTAGTCTTATTATCAAGCAGTAGCCCCACCCACCCACCACTTTTTCATTCCAGTGACAATTCTTATTAGTGTTCAATTTTATCTTAATAAATTCTAGCACCGCCCACTTACCCTTTATTTTTTTAGAGGGTATGTCTTTTACCAAAATCGGTCTTACCTTGATAGGTACTAACCCCACCCACCCTCCCTGTTCTCAATCTAACGAATTTATTTCTGTTCAGTATAAGATCCACCTTTCATTCAGATTAGATAAAGGAATCACTGAAATAGAGGCCGGGTGGGTGGGCGGGGTTAATTATATATTCTTTTGCAGAGTGGAAATGGGAACTAATAGAACGAAGGCTGATGAGAAAACAGGTGGGTGGGCGGGGCTAAGTTTAATTTTTTCTTAGAGGCTTTTGTAAGCAAGCAATGGCCCCTCCCACCCACCCCCTCCAGATACTAGCTTTCCAATTTAAAAATATTCCGATGGACATTATTCCATCAAGCCTATGTATGTCAATTCCGACACGTGAAGTGTAATACTTACTAATAATAAAATACCGAGGTGTACCGTTTTTGAAATTTAATCAATGAAAAATGGGTGAACCATTTTTGATTTAATCATTTAAAAAACCGGTCAAAGTTTATTTCGACAGAACTTTCCTTGCCCTTGAGGTGCAACAAGTCCCTCAAAAGTAGTGGCGTAAATAATACTCCAACAGTCCGAAATCGAACAATCCAAAAATTGAAACATCGAAATATCGATAAATCGAGAAATAAGTAATAATTTTTTTAAAAAACTGGAAAACCAAAAAACTGAAAATTATAAATTGAGAAATCAGAAATTATAAGAATTGAAAATCCGAAAAATTGAAAAATAAAACACTAAAATTTCAAAATTCGAAAAACTGAAAAATAGAAGTATCGAAGAAGTAAAAATTCGAAAAATCGAGCAAGGGAAAAATCGAAAAATCTGAAGTTCAAAAAAATTGAAAATGGAGACATCGAGAAATTGAAAATCGAGAAATCGAAACATTAGAAAATCGAAAAATAGAAAAACCGTAATGATGAAAAATTGGAAAATCGAAAAATCAAAAGACCGAAAATAAAAATCGGGATGGCGGACAGATGGACAGACGGACAGACGAACAGACGGATAGACGGACAGACAGCCGGAAACGGGAGACCTATTTCTCCGTACTCTAGGGGTCATGAAAGGTCGAGAAAACGTAAAAGTAGAGAATCGGCCGACGGACTCGATTACAAAAAAACAAATCGAGAAATCGAAGGCAAGAAGTTGAAAAATCGAGAACTCGAAACGATAAAAATTGAAAAATTTAGAAAAAGAAATCGAAAAACTGAAAAATCTAAAAACTGAGAAAATGAACAATCAAACAACCAAGACATTGAAATCTCGATAAATCGAACAACTGAAAAATCGAAAAATTTAAAAACCGAAAAATTTAAAAACTGAAGAATCTAATACCGAGATCCCAAAAAATCGAAACGTCAAAAAATTGAAAATCGAAAATTTAAGAATTTGAAAAATTGTAAAATAGAAATATCGAAGAACTGAAAAATCAAAAAATCGAGAAATCGAAAAATCAAAAATTTTAAAAATTGAAAAATTAAAATATCGAAAAATTTAAATTGAGAAATGGAAACATCAAAAAATAGAAAAAATAAAAATCTAAAATTTAAAAATCGAAAAAGTAAATAATCGGGATATCGAAAAATTGAAAAATTGAAGAATCGGAATACTGAAATATCCCAAAACTGAAATGACCAAAAAATTGAAAAATTTGAAGAATCAAAAAATTAAAAATCCCGAAACTGAAAATTGAAACAATGAGTAATCGAAAAATTGAAAAATCCAGAAAATGAAATCGAAAAATCGAAAATTTGAAAAATAAAATCCTGAAAAATTGAAGAATTGAAAAACTGCAAAATCGAAACATTGAAAAGTGGAGAAATCGAGAAAATGATAAATCGAAAAATTGCAGATTTGGAAACGTCAAAAATTGAAAAATTTAAAAATCGAAAAGTTGAAGAGTCGAAAAACTGAAAAATCGTGAAATCGAAAAATGAAAAAAAAAATCGAGAAATCAAAAATTTGAAGAATCGAGTTACTGCAGAATCAAAAATTTGAAAAATCCCAACACTGAAGAATCGAAAAATTGAATACATAATCTAAAAACTGAAAATCGAGAATTTGAAAAATTTTAAAATCGAAGAAAAACTTCAAGAATCAAAAATTTTAAAAATCCTGAAACTGAAACATTAAGTAATCGAAAAATTGAAAAATCGAGAAAACGAAATCGAAAAATAGAAAATTTGAAGAATAAAAAACCAACCTGAAAATCGAACAACTGAAAAAAAGAAACATTGAAGTGGAGAAATTTGAAGAATCGAGTTACTGCAAAATCAAAAAATTGAAAAATCCCAACACTGAAGTATCGAAAATTAAAAATTGAGAAATCAGAAATTACAAGAATTGAAAATCCGAAAATCTAAATCTGAAATGTCGAAAAAAAACGAAGATCGAACAATCGAAATATCAAAAAAACGAAAAATTAAAATATCGAAGAAATTGAAAAAAAAAGAAATTAAAAAGTGCCCAAAATTGAAACGTTAAAAAATACTGAAAAGTCAAGAATTTGAAAAAGCTAGACATCTAAAAAAGAAATGTCTACAAATTTTAAAAATCGAAATCCGACATGTTAAGATATCGAAATACCAAGAAATCGTAAAATCGAAAAATGTAAAATTTAAAAAACCGAAAAATTGAAAAATAAAACACTAAAAATTTCAAAATTCGAAAAACTGAAAAATAGAAGTATCGAAGAAGTAAAAATTCGAAAAATCGAGCAAGGGAAAATCTGAAGTTCAAAAAATTGAAAAATGGAGACATCGAGAAATTGGAAATCGAGAAATCGAAACATCAAAAAATCGAAAAACCGTAATGATGAAAAATTGGAACATCGAAAAATCAAAAGACCGAAAACAAAAATCGGTACGGCAGACAGACAGGCGGAAAGACGGACAGACGTACGGTAACGGGAGACCTATTTCTCCGTACTCTAGGGGTCATGAATGGTCGAGAAAAAGTAAAAATCTCAAATTTAAATATCGAAAAAGTAAATAATAGGGACATCGAAAAATTGAAAAATTGAAGAATCGGAATACCGAAATATCTCAAAACTGAAATGATCAAAAAATTTAAAAATTTGAAGAATCAAAAAATTAAAAATCCCGAAACTGAAAATTGAAACAATGAGCAATCGAAAAATTGAAAAATCGAGAAAACGAAATCGAAAAATCGAAAATTTGAAAAAAACCAACCTGCAAATCGAACAACTGAAAAAATAAAGAATTGAAAAACTGAAAAAAGAAACATTGAAGTGGAGAAATTTGAAGAATCGAGTTACTGCAGAATCAAAAAATTGAAAAATCCCAACACTGAAGTATCGAAAATTAAAAATTGAGAAATGAGAAATTATAAGAATTGAAAATCCGAAGATCGAAATCTGAAAAGTCGAAAAAAACAAAGATGGAACAATAGAAACCTCAAAAAAAACGAAAAAAGTAAAATATCAAAAATTGAAAAAAAAGAAATTAAAAAGTGACCAAAATTGAAACGTTGAAAGACTGAAGAGTCAAGAATTTGAAAAAGCTAGAAATCTAAAAAACAAAAAATTTTAAAAATCGAAAAACCGACATGTTAAGACATCGAAATATCAAGAAATCGTAAAATCGAAAAATGTAAAATTTAAAAAACCGAAAAATTGAAAAATAAAACATTAAAAATTTCAAAATTCGAAAAACTGAAAAATAGAAGCAAGAGAAAATCTGATGTTCACAAAATTGAAAAATGGAGATATCGAGAAAATGAAAATCAAGAAATCGAAACATCAAAAAATCGAAAAATCGAAAAACCGTAATGATGAATAATTGGAAAATCGAAAAATCAAAAGACCGAAAACAAAAATCCGGAACGGCGGACAGAAAGGCGGACGGACAGACGTACAAACAGACTGACAGACAGACGGACAGACGGACAAACAGACGGACAGACAGACAGACGGACAGACGGACAGACGGACAGACGGACAGACAGACAGACAGACGGAAACGGGAGACCTATTTCTCCGTACTCTAGGGGTCATGAAAGGTCGAGAAACGTAAAAGTAGAGAATCGGCCAATAGACTCGATTACAAAACTTCTTCGCTTACGCTCGGGAAGTAAAAAACAAATCGAGAGATCGAAAAGTCAAGAAGCTGAAAAATCGAGAAATCGAAAATATAAAAATTTAAAAATTTAGAATTAAAAAGAAATCGAACAACTGAAAATTCTAAAAATTGAGGAACTGAACAATCAAAAAAACCAAAACATCGAAATCTCGATAAATCGAAAAATCGAAAAACTAAAAAATCGAAAAATTGAATAACCGAAAAATTTTAAAAACTAAAAAATCTAATACCGAGATCCTCAAAAAATCGAAACGTCAAAAAATTGAAAATGGAAAATTTAAGAATTTGAAAAATTGTAAAACAGAAATATCGAAGAATTGAAAAATCAAAAAATCGAGAAATCGAAAAATCAAAAATTTTAAAATTTGAAAAATTAAAATATCGAAAAATTTAAACTGAGAAAGCGAAACATCAAAAAATAGAAAAAATAAAAATCTAAAATTTAAATATCGAACAAGTAAATAATCGGGACATCGAAAAATTGAAAAATTGAAGAATCGGAATACTGAAATATCCCAAAACTGAAATGTCGAAAAAATTGAAAAACAGAAGAAATATTTGAAGAATCAAAAAATTAAAAATCCCGAAACTGAAAATTGAAACAATGAGTAATCGAAAAATTGAAAAATACAGAAAATGAAGTCGAAAAATCGAAAATTTGATAAATAAAAACCTGAAAAATTGAAGAATTGAAAAACTGAAAAATCGAAACATTGAAAAGTGGAGAAATCAAGAAATGATTAAATCAAAAAATGGATTAATCGAGAAATTGATAAATCGAAAAATTGCAGATTTGGAAACGTCAAAAATTGAAAAATTGAAGAATCGAAAACCTAAAAATCGTAAAACTGAAACAACGGAAAACTGAGATCTCGAAAAATGAAAAAAAAAATCGAGAAATCAAAAATTTGAAGAATCAAGTTACTGCAGAATCAAAAATTTGAATACATAATCCAAAAATTGAAAATTGAGAATTTGAAAAATTTTAAAATCGAACAAAAATTTAAAGAATCACAAATTTTAAAAATCCTGAAACTGAAACATTGAAACATTGAGTAATCGAAAAATTGAAAAATCGAGAACACGAAATCTAAAAATCGAAAATTTGAAAAATAAAAAATCTGTAAATCGAAAAACTGAAAAAAGAAACATTGAAATGGAGAAGTCAAGAAATAATAAAATCAAAAAATCGATTAATTGAGAAATTGATAAATTGAAAAATTGAATATTTGGAAACGTCAAAAATTGAAAAATTGAAGAATCGAAAACCTAAAAATCGTAAAACTGAAACAACGGAAAACTGAGATCTCGAAAAATGAAAAAAATCGAGAAATCAAAAATTTGAAGAATCAAGTTACTGCAGAATCGAAAAATTGAAAAATCCCAACACTGAAGAATAAAAAAATTAAATACATAATCCAAAAACCGAAAATCGAGAATATGAGAAATTTTAAAATCGAAGAAAAATATCAAGAATGAAAAATTTTTTAAATCCTGAAACTGAAACATCGAAAAATTGAAAAATCGAGGAAACGAAATCGAAAAATCAAAAATTTGAAAAATAAAAATCCTGTAAATCGAACAACTCAAAAATTGAAGAATTGATAAACTGAAAAAAAGAAACATTGAAGTGGAGAAATTAAGAAATGATAAAATCAACAAGTCGATTAATTGAGAAATTGATAAATTGAAAAATTGAATATTTGGAAACGTCAAAAATTGAAAAATTGAAAAATTGAAGAGTCGAAAAACTGAAAAATCGTAAAACTGAATTCGAAAAATGAAAAAAAAAATCGAGAAATCAAAAATTTGAGGAATCGAGTTACTGTAGAATTGAAAAATTGAAAAATCCCAATATCGAAAAACAGAAAATCGAGAATTTGAAAATTTTTAAAATTAAAAAATTCAAGAATAGAAAAATTGGAAAATTCCAAAATTGGAATATCGACAAAATTGAGAAATCGAAGATTGAATAATCGAGAAATCGGAAAGCCAAAAAATCAAAAATTCGAAAAATTGACAAATCCACAATTTTGATTTTTTTCCCAAAAATTTCTATGTCTGGGATAAAAATTTAACACGAATTCATAAACCACAAGTTCAGAACTATATTAATTTTTAACATTTAAATGACATTTATTCAACAAAATTGTAAGATGACATCAATTCATTTACCATACTTCCGGTAACCTTAAAACGTTTGTCAGATTCAAACCATATTCAAGTTAAATTGTAAAATGTTGTTATACAATTTTGATTTCTTACCAAAAGTCTGGATGCGATGTCTAAGGTAAAAATTCAACACGGATTCATTAACCACAAATGGAGGAGTACGTTATTCTATAAAATTTAAATAACACTTTTTATTATTCGTATTTCTAATATATATACAAAATTTGTCAACAATCTATTTAGTAGTTTTGGCGATTATCCGACTAATAAAAATTGACACAGACGACAGACAGACGGAAACGGTAAACCATTTTTTTCGTACATTTCGTACATTTGTACAAATAATTTGCATTTTTCACAGTCTCTCAATTACTTTTTTCTGCAAAAAAAAAAACGAAAACCTGTACTTGTGATTCAATTACAGTATTCAGAGAATGAAAGCAAAAACTGCAAAATCGAGGACACTCGTTTCTTCCTACCAGAACCTCCGTATTAAGAATACTTTCAAAACATGTAAATATGTAAAACTCATCCGATTTAACCGCAAAATAAGACGCATTAATTGCTTCAAAACACTGTAATAATCAGTTGTTTAAATTAATTAAATTAATGCATAACCATTTTTTAAAATGAGTAAGTGAAATCTGACGTCTTATTAGTTAGCTATTTATGGTCTTTAGTAATAGTAGATTATCGGGCTGGTTTTTCCTGATGAGTGGTGAGCGATGAGCCTGTGTCGAAAAACTGAATTATAGGCAATAATTTATAAGAACCATATATAGATAACAGTTGTTTATAATAATTGATAACTGTAAAATTTGTTCTGCACCCTTTTTATGATAACGCATATAAATATCATAAAAAGTATAGTTATATAGTTACTTAATCAAGTTTTGAGATGACGTCATCAAGCTTTTGGAAGGGACAAATATCCACCAATCGAGCGTTCTTCAATTTCCAGAAACAAGAACAGACTTAAATTCGACGTTATTTATTTTTCATGTGTACGAAATATGACAAGCTTTTCGATATCCACCGTCACTACTCGCCCTGCCCTTCCGAGGCAAAGCATACCTCAGTTTATCCCAAAAGTACGAATCACCCCACTTCACATAAGTGTTAATCTTCATATACGTCTTCAACTCCTCACCCACTTCCTCCAAATCCACATCACCATACACTATAACAATCAGCCGAGTCCTTTTCTCCCTCATGGCATGGGCATGTGCAACACGAAACTCCATCTTGCTCCACACACTCTCCAGGAAATTCCTGGAAAGCACGATCACAGTCCTGCGCGAATCCTGCACCGAATTTAAAATATTCGTCGTGATGAGTTCCCCAGGGACCCAGTTGCGATAATGCAGACACAGTTTGTAAGGTTTCTGGTAGCCCTCCAGTGTGGGAACTAGAGTTTTCGTCACGAAGTCTTCGTCTTTGTGGGAGTAACTGACGAAAGCGTCGTAAATTTTGTGGTGGTCAAAATCGTCAGGTTGGAACCATCTCCTCCCGGAGATCATGTAGAGGTAGAATTTAGTTTTGCGGGGGTTGATGTGGTATAGGACGAGGCAGAGGGTTACAGGGATGAAGATTATGAGGATAATGATGTAGTAGTAGTCGTTGGTCCACTGCCAGCAGAAATCGTTTGGATGAAGGTTGACTAGAAGAGTTTCTGGGTTGTTGAAGCAGTGGATCTTCTGAACATCAGTCTGGAAATCTGTAATTTTAAATGTGCTTGTGTTTGACAACGTACGTACCTTCTTTGAGAAATTTCTCAGAAAGTTGGTAAAATGAGCATTACTGCAGTCGCACTTCCATGGATTATGACTGAAGACAAAACTAACTAAGTTGGAGTGGTTTAAAATATTTACAACATTAAAATTAAGGTAGCTAAGCTCGTTGTTATCTAGATTCAACACCTAAAAAATATTCACCACTTAACACCTCCTTCACAAAAATTATCATCATTACCTCTAATTTTGGTGGTAACCAGTCAATACTTTTAATTTTGTTGTGCGAAAGATACAGCTTGGTTACATTTTTGTAACCAAAATCATTTCCAAAAAGTCCATCTGTCAGCTGATTTCTTTCCAGGTGTAGCTCAGTTTGATTAAACTTGTACGACTTCATGATATCTTGATCAATTAGAGGAAACGTGGTCAGATTTCTGTTGCTACAGTTGACAACCATGGAATTATCAAACGGTCGCCAGATGTAACCGCACTCTGTAACGTTGGGTGTGTTCAAATGACAAGTCAATAGTGACGGTGATACTCTCAATATATTTTTGTTTTCATTTTCAAAACACTTTAAATTGTCGATTTCCAAAAACGTAAGTTTCGACGGTTCCTTTTTTTGTTTTTGCACGTGTTGAACAAAATCGTAGTTGTTACAGTCACATCTGAGGGGGTTGCTGAGCAACGAAACTGACACGTTCGTAGAGGAACTGAGTCTAAGTTGGTTCTTGTTAAAACGTACAAAGGAGATATTGTTGTGGTCGAGATTGATATCTATTGGTTTAGTCCACTTTAAATTCTTTACCTAGAACAATTTGATTATAAGTAATCGGAAAACGATTTGTTTGGTGAATACGAACTTGAAACGTGGTGATATTGTTGTAACTCAAGTTCAAAGTTTTCAGACTTCTGGTGTTATTTTTCGTGAAGATGTCATCCACTTGTGTCACACAGTTAAAACTAAGATCTAGAGTTTCAACTTTTGTGGTACCTTGAAGAATGTTTGTCACTGATTTACAATATTTGTTCTCAGACATGTAAATCTTCTTCAAAGTATCGTTAGAAAAAGAACCAAAAACTTTTCGAATCTGATTTCTAGACAAGTCAATTTTTTCTAGCGATGTCAGATAGACCAGCGCACTTTTATTGACCCAACTGATTAGATTGTCGTCCATGTTTAGAACCTTCAAACTCGATAGATTCAACATCGGGACAAACTTAAACCTGTTACCAGATAAATTCAAGTCTTCCAAGTTTACCAAATATTGGAAAAGATTTTCAGGCAAGAATTCCAATCTACATCTGGCCAAATTGGCAGTCTTTAGTAAAGTTATATTGGCAAATCGATAACCCGACAGTTTTAAACCGAGATTTGCTGTTAAGTTAAGCGTCTCCAATTTCTTCAAATTTTCGAAGACGGAAGCAGGCAGCTCCGTAAGTTTATTGTAAGATAAATCGAGAAATTTTAAGTTGATGAGATCTTCGAAAGCTTGACTAGGAACACTTTCAATCTGATTGTTTGCAAGACCTAGTTTTCTCAAATTTGTCAATCCAGAAAACGTGGTGTTTGTTATTATTTTTAGATGGTTTTGCCCGAGATAAAGCAGTTCCAAATTTTTCAAGTCGCGAAATGCATCTTTAGGTATTTCCTCTAAGTCGTCGTCCATGAGATTCAAAAATTCTAACTCTGTCAAGTTGTCAAAAAGGCCTTCTTTCAGTCGCAAGTTAGTGTTCATTTCCATATTCAAATTACGCAAGTTGGGCACCTCCGAAAAAACTTTTGACCCCTGGAATGAAAGGTTCAAACTGGCCAGCTTAATTCTGTCTACATCAAACAATCCTTCGAAGTAGTCGTCTGACAAATCGATCACAAAGTTATGAAATTCTACAACTTTAACTGCTTTCAAGGAAAAATGTTGGATTATTGTTCTGATGTTCACCGGTGGCGTATCACATCCCTGGAACTTAAGTCTGTCGATTTCACCAACCGTCACGTTTGGTAAAAAATTTGGAAATGTCGTGTTTTCGTGGCAGGAGATTAACAATTTTGTATTTGTAATTGTAACTGAGAATTTTCCGTTGCGTTCTAGCGTACTCGAAAACGGAGGACACTGGAAGCTTATTCCTTGTTCGATGGGAAAACACTCACAGTTTGGATTCAATTCAGGGTTACACTGCATTATAATAGACACTGACACGTCAAAATAAACTAGCAGCAGAAGCAAACTCCAAGAGATGTTCATTTTCAGAGATGCGTGTGGTTTAAATGTGACTAAGCGTTTGATCTTTCATGTTTCTGAGATTTATTATTATTTTTCGAGTGAAAGTTCACACCAGTATCACACACTATCAGCAAGTATTATCTGCATAAACATCGAGAGTTTTGAAACAAACAATCTTGAAAAATCTATAAACATGTGTTTAAATAGAGCCCTCCCCTCTATACGTTTCCAGAGAAAACCATTAGGGAAAGCCAATGTCTGATTAACTGGCGCGATTCTTTTTTTATTACCGGTGTTACACGAGAGAAATAATTTTAAAAATCAACTTTAAATAAAAAAGACAATTCCGATTACTCACTATAAACTTGTTATGCATTAATTTGAATAACTAATTCTTCTTGAGATATTAAAACAACTAACTGTGATTAAATTAAACGTATGACAACGTGCTTCCGCGAAAATCGTGATAAGGTAACCACTCTGATAAGAAGTCTTTTGTTTCTAATGTTTTAGTTTTTCTTGTGGTTAACTACTGTTAATTTATTGTTCTGTTTGAGTCGTGTGAAAGTATGATATAAGCATTTTTTTATAGTGCGTTATGCACGTTTTAGTATTTACATTTAAAATCATTATGCAATGTGTCAAGATATCCATGACATTTTAAAACTGTTTAAACTGAGATTATTTGACAAAAGACGTGACTCTGTACATTAATATCTCAAGTTTCTAGTAATTTTTTAAATTTGACCTAAAAAAGTGATTCGACAGTTGGTAACTTCTATTGTTTAAACCCATCTAGCAGGCCGTGCAATTTATTTTTAAAATAATGATGTTGGCAACACGTCCTTGTTCAGTTTGACAGTTACGGTCAAATTACTGTTAAACCATGGCCGACTAGTATAAAGATTATGGCCTGTCCAAGAGGTACGATACGTGTTGCCATCTATTAATAATTATTAATTACACTTAATAATTTCGCAAAATTTTAATTTGACTTGACATTATGGGACTTCAAAACGTGTAATGGTGGTTTGTTTCGGTATGAATGCCTTTGTGCCTTTCAAAAAGTGTTAATAATTCTTTTGTCGTGTTTGAATTATTAATAGATGGCAGCACGTATGGTACCTTTGCATAGATAAATAATACTACGTAAATAGAATGCAAACTCCCACTTGATTTTTGGTCTCAATAAACGCCCCCTGGTGCCTTGTGGCCGGTGCTAAAGCATGAACTACTAGATGCGTCATTGCTGCATATTTTATAATTAATATTTTATTTTTATTATCACTAATAATATCAAAAACACAAAGTAGAATAATATACAATTTATTAGTATTGTCTACGATTTTTTGACTTTAATTTTTTTTGGTACATTATACAAGCGTTTTGATATAATGCATTTTTATGTGTGGAAACTCTTGTATCGCGACCGCTTAAAATTAAATTCAAACCTTTTACAAACGTAAAAATTGTTAAATATATAATTTTATTACATATTTCACTTTCAATTAATTCCTTATGTTCACAATGAAACGAAAATTTGACATGATGAGATACTATAAACGAAATTTTGTTTTTGATGTTGTCGAAAGATGTACAATTGTTTAAAACGATTCTTGAAATATTATAAATTCTGTTAATGTTTTTTATAAAATCTAACTTACAATATTGCAATTTTCTGTTATTACAATTGTATTCTCTTATACGTATTAATTTGTAACATTGTTCGTCTTCCGAAAAATTGTTTAAAATTTGGGTTTTACAATATTCACACTTCAAATTTCTTAATGTTTTCGCAACCCAGCCAGACACATAACCAACAATACTTTTATGAAGATCCTTTTCTAAATTATATGGAGACAGTTTTGAAATGTACATATTCACGTTTAAAATTTCGTAACTCGTTTCATATACTGAAGGTTGATTTATGTTTTTATCCACAAGTCTTTTAATATGAAATAAATCCGGTATGTTCGTTTTCTCACAGTTTGCGCCCACTGAATTTGAACTATAAAAATTGCGTAATAATAGAGATTTGAAACTTTCCTTAAATTGGGCTGCCGTTAGATTAGTTGCTCGATTTCTTTGACTTCTGATTTTGCCAAAATAGTTTTCAATAACATCTTGATTTAAACATCTAGGTAAAAAATATTTGCACCTGCCCTGTTCTACTCAAATTGTATGTAAATCCACAAAACCTTCTAACGTTGCAATCCAGTTTTTTATACACGGAGGTACTACCATTTTTCCGGCCTCATCGACGAAATACATATCACCCAAAATTTTGATAGCTTCCTTCCAAAAATGTTTATGACCAGAAGATTTAAATACGCCCCCAGAAAATGGTTTTCCGCACCGTGGTTGAAAAGTACTGCCATTTACACTGTCGAAGAGCTTGTCAAAAAATTTTATAATTCGTGCTGTTCCCATTGCCTCGTGTGTTAAACTGCATTCGGCTGTAAAATTAAATTGTAAATGAATCTGTTAATTATTTTTAAATTTGTATTTACTAGATTTAACCAATAGCGTAATAGTCGATGCCATTGAGTGACTCAAAACTTGTGTCGCATAGCACACCTTCATCTTTTGAATTTTTTCCGGAATTACGTGGAGATCCGTAATTTTGTGTAGAGCCCGTAATTCTCCACATGTTTGATCACTGTAGTACGCATCGATTATATGTTTCCAATTTGCAACCAAAATTTCTTCGCTTGTTTTCCACACTAAATTTTTAGTAAGCAGATTGTTCCTAATACATTTAATTAAATGAGGCGTGTCATATAATGGAATAATTTCTTGATCCCCTAATAAAATTCTTCTTTTAGGTTCCATCCCTTTATGTATATAACGTTGTTTCGACTCCTTTAGCAGAGAATTTATAGCTGCTTGGTTTGGTTGGCCTTGATCACAAATTGTAACCAGAATTTTGAATCCACAATTTTGTATTTTTTCAACCAGAGTTTTTATAATAGTTGTCAATATGTAAGATTTTGTAGACGAAAAAGAAAATGCAAAGTATATTGGCTGTTGCCATTTTTTAAACACTCCGCGAATGAAAAAAACAAGAACATGATCTGCTATCTGTAAATTTTGTTCAAATCCAAAATTTTGAAATCCGAAAAATGTATCCGTATATTTGTCATAGTCTATGTGGGGCATTATGGACATTTCATCAAAAATTAATGCACATATTCTATCTTGGTTATTTAATTTTGAAGCAGATTCTTTAAGATTGTCGAAAATTATTTTGTTTATACCAACGTCTACTGGAATTTTGTTCAACATAGACATAATTGTTTGACGTGAAGGCAGTGCAAAAATCTGTCTCATTTTTCTATAACATCTCCCAGACTGTTTATAAAACATTAATGCAAATAATTTATCTTCAGTGGTAAACCTGCGACCCTTTGGTTTGACATTTCGTCTTTTTAATTGTGATAAACAAAAATTTATAGCATCCTGACTTAAAATTTTGCTTTCTAATTTTACTTCAAATTTGGAGTATAATTTCAATCGTTGGCGATACGAAGCTACCTTAATTTTGTTTCTACGGGCTGTACGCGAAATATTCCTAGAATTTGAATGTAAATTTAGTATTCGAGAAGATTCTTGGTTTAAAGTTTCGTTTAGGGTTTCTCTGGAATTTCGAGATACTTCAGTACAAAATTTTTGAGAATCCAGTATAGAAATAGGGTTTACGGGATCATGGGTGTGTCTTTCGGGGTCGTTCATATTATCTGAAATTATTGTAAAAATTATCTATGGCATTCACTTGCACACAAATATTTACCATGCATAATTTGAATTGTAGGAATGGCAGTATTTTTAAGTTTTTGATTGGGGCCAAAATCCGTTTCTTTAAAATGTACATCGCAAAGAAAATATCCATTTTTATATATTTTCGTGGGATCTAATTTGCCTAAATTTGGATTCCCTGTCCGTTCCAACCAAATTTTAAAACGCTCGTTGTATTTGTAGGGGTTGGGAAAACGATGGCGTTTAATAATTTTAGTGTTTAGACATTTCAAAACACTGCATAGTTTCATATTTTACGCTTTGTTATCACGTATAATCACACAAATGACACTTTTATACTAATCATAAATGACATTAGTTTTTTTATTGTTTCTTAAAATTGGCTGTGGAAGTTGTCGCCAAGTAATTTTTGGAAAAAAATACTTTACTGCTATCAGTGCTATCTCTTATTATGTGGCCGGTACATAAGCCTAGACACAAACCTGGGACACGCATTACAGCCGAGTTTGCATTCTATTTTACGTAGTATTATTTATCTATGTACCTTTGGCATTCCTTTGGACAGGCCATAATCTTTATACTAGTCGGCCATGGTTAAACAAAGGTCAAACATCCGCAATACCAACATCATTATTTTAAAAATAAATTGCATGGCCTACTAGAGGAGTTTTTTCGATCATGTTATTTTTCCATTGCATAAAACACAGGATTCATAAAATTATTGTGTTAATACATAATGGTTAATGAATAATGACTAAAGCAATCAATTATCCAAGGGCAATAGAAAAAAGAAGTTTTCGCGATTTTGAATTTAAAACGTAAAAACCAGCGAGATTTACGATTCACGTCATAGGTACATCCGTAAATTAATGTGACTAGTTTGGTTTATCCAAGCACCGAGAAAAAAAAAATTGGTCGAAGGTTATTTCCACAGACCTTCCCTCGCCCCTAAGTACAGCTTTTTTGAAAAACTGTAACAAAATTTTGATAACCTCTATAAAGTAAAAACAGTGGTGTAATTAACACTCCTGCAGCTGATAAATCATCGGGAAGAAATTCTTCTCGAAATATAAAAGTCTAAAAGGTAAAAAATCGAAAAATTGAAAAATCCAGAAATTGAAAAATTCCCAAAATTGAGATGTTGAAAAATCGAAAAAACGAAAAGTTATTTTTTTTTTAAATCCGAAAATCGAGATGTCGCAAAATCGAAAAATCGAAAATGCAAAAACTAAAAAATCGGAAAAACTAGAAATCGAGAAATTGGAATATCTGAAATTTAAAAATCGAAAAATTGGAGAATTGAGGAATCAAAAAATTGAAAAATCGAGCAATTGAAGAATTTCAGTCTTGTTGAAAAATTAAAAAGTCAAAAAACTGGAAAATCGAAAAGTCGAAAAGTCAAATAATCGAAAAACGGACAACTCCAACCGGAAAAATCAAAACAAAAAAGATCGAAAAATCGGGAAGTCGAGAAGTCGAAAAATAGGAAAATTGAGAAATGGAAATAGGCCAAAGTAAAAAAATGTTCAAAATTGGAACGTTTAAACTTAAAAAACTGGCAAATTGAAAAATCGAAAAATCAAGAATTTAAAAAATTGAAAAATCGAGAAATCGAAAAATCTAAAATTTATAAAATCGAAAATAATTAAAAAAAAAACACAGAAGTACAATTAAAAATCTCAAGACTGAAACATCGAAAACTTGAGAAATCTAAAAATTTATGAAATCGCAAAATTGAATCGAGAAATCGAACATTTAGAAATACCAAAAATTGGAAAATTGATAAATCGAAAAATTTAAAAATGGAAGAACTGAAATATCGAAAAATCAAAACTTTTAAAAATCGAAAAATCGAAACATGAAAAAACCAAAATCTCTAAAATTTTAAAAATCCAAAAATTAAAGAATTCAGACATTGAAAAATTCCCAAAATTGAAATGTTGAAAAATTGAGATATCAAAAACTTGATTTTTTTTTAAATCCAAAAACCGAGATGTCGACTAATCGAAAAACTAACAAATCAGAAAACTAGAAATTGAGAAATTGAGACATCTAAAACTTAAAAAATTGGAAATTGAGCAAGTGAAGAATCCCAAGACTGAAATAAGTATCGAAAAATTTAAAATTGAAACAAAGTTAAAAAACTGACATATTGGTAAATCGTAGAATTAAAAAATCGAAAAATCAAGAATTCTAAAAATTGGAAAATTCAAACTTGCAGTTTGAATTGAAATTGAAAAATCGAAAATTTAAAATCGAAAAATGGAAAAATCGAAAAATCAAGAATTTTAAAAATTGAAAAATTGAAATGAGACAGAAATCGAATCATCAAAATAGTGAAAAATCTAAATTTAAAAATGCGAAAAATTAAAAAATTGAAAAATCTAAGAACTGAAAAATCTAGAAGTCGAAATATGTAAAATTTAAAAAGTCAAAACTATTCAAAACAATAAAATATGGAAAAATCTGAAAAAACGAAAAAATTTGAAAACTGAAATCGAAAAACTAAAACATCGAGCAATTCCAAAACTGAAATGTCGAAAAATTGAAAAATCAAAAAATCGGAAAATCGAAAAACCTACAAATCAAGAAATCGAAACACCAAAAAATCGACAAATCGAGAAATAGAAAAATTGAAAAATCGAAAAATTCAAAATTGAAAAATCGAAAAATTCAAAATTGAAACATTTAAATTTAAAAATCGAAGAATTGAAAAATCGAAAAATCAAGAATTTCAAAAACTGGAAAATTCAAAATTGCAACTTAAAAAAATGACAAATTCAAAAATTGAAAATTTAAAACCGAAAAATGGAAAAATCGAAAAATTAAGACTTTTAAAAAATGAAAAATTGAAATGAGAGAGAAATCGAACCATAAAAAAGTGAACAATCTAAAATTAAAAATGTGAAAAATTAAAAAATTGAAATATATAAAATTTTAAAAATCGAAACAATAAAATATGCAAAATGGAAAAATCGAAAAATGTAAAATTAAAAAATCGAATAATTTTTAAAAATCGAAAAAGCAAAACATCAAAAAATCGGAAAATCGAAAAATCAAAAAATCGGAAAATCGAAAAATCAAAAATTTTAAAAATCGAAAATTGAAAAATCCAGAGCTTGAAAAATTACCAAAACTGAAATGTTCAAAAACTGACATCGAAAACTTGAAAAATCGATAAATCGAAAATTTTTTAAAATATAAAAACCGAAGTGTCGAAAAATTGAAAATTTGAAAAATCGAAAAACACAAAAAATTTTAAATCGGGAAATATATACATCAAAGAACCGTAAAATCAGAAAATAGAAAAATCTAAAATGCCAAATTTAAAAAGAACTTTAAACTAAAAAATCAGAAAAACTTGAACTCGAGAAATTGGAAAATCTAAAAATTTGAAAATAGAAAAATCGAAAAACTTAAAAATCGAACAATTGAAGAATCCCAAAACTGAAATGTCGAAAAACTGAAAAATCCAAAAATTGGAAAATCAAACAAGAGAAAAGTGGAAAAATCGAAAAATCGAAATTGAAGTATCGAAGCATCAAAAAATCGAGAAATCGAAAAATAGAAAAATTGACAAATCGACAAATCGAAATAACCCAAAATCAAAACATTCAAAATGAAAAGAAAACATTGAAACAAATAGAAAAACCAAAAATTTAAAAACCGAAAAATGGAAAAACCGAACAACTGAAAAATCGAGAAATTGAAATATCTAAAATTTAAAAAATCGAAACAATAAAGTATGGAAAAGTCGAAAAATCGAGAAATCGAAAAATCGAAAATTTAAAAAACCAAAAAATTAAAAAAAATGGAAAAAGTAAAACATTAAAAATCGGAAAGTCGAAAAACTGAAAAATCGAAATAATGAAAAATTTGAAAATTGTGAAATTGGAAAGTTGAAAAATCAAAAAATCCATTAAAAATTGAAAAATCGAAAAATCGAACATTTAGATACTCCAAACATTGAAAAATTGAAAATCGAATAAATGAAAAATCGGAAAATTGGAAATTCGATAAACTGAAAAGTAGTAGAACTGAAATATCGGAAAATTGATAAATCGAAAAATAAAAAATCTAGAAATCAAAAAAAGGAAAGTTGAAAAATTCTTATTAAAATTGTTCTTTTTTAATCTTGATGTCAGGATAAAAATTCAACACGGGTAACTTTTGATTAACGTTTTACCATACCTAGAGTAAAAACCCGACACGGATCTAGAAACCACAAGTGGAGGAGTACATTATTTTATAAAATTTAAATAACATTTCCTATTGTAATATTTGGAGATGACATTATTCCATTGTTGGTGGGATAATCAGACAAATTTTGGTTAGCGTTTTACCATCTACATAGTACTCCTAATATGCATACAAAATTTGAAAGGAATGGTCCGATAATTTCGGATATTATCTGTCTAATAAAAATCGAGACAGACGGCGTATAGACACAGACAGACAGACGAAAACGGGAGACCTATTTTTTCATACTCTAGGGATCATGAAACGTCGAGAAAATTAAGCATAAACCGATGGATTCCAATAGTCACGTGTTTCAATTACAACTTTGACACATTAATAACACTGCAAAAACAGATAGCCATTTATTTATTTCCATAAAAAAATACAAACAAGCAGGGCGGAATAAAATTTGCGTATTTCTTAAAACACAAAATAAAGGTACTTTAAAACGATATCTACAAACATGTCTAAATATCACAGTTTTTATGATATAGGTACTTTGTAGCATTAGCCATAGTACGACTCGTAGCTCCAAAGACTTCAGGTTATGTAACACAATCGAATTTTGGCACACTATCAACACAACCACTCTGTGTTTCAGTCTTTAACTACACCGTAACACCTTCTGCGGGAGGAGTACTTATCCCTTGCCTAAGCACAAAATCCAGCGGACTCTTCTTCAACACACTTTGACTTAAACTAAGAACTGGTGGTGTAGTACCCGGATTCGGCGTCACAGGTACCACCAAATTAAACTTGTCGTCTATACAGTTCATTACGTTCGTAATTTTTTGCTGATTCTTTAGGGTTTTCCGTTTAGAGTGAGGGAGCGCGTATTTTAACTTATTCCAAAAATAGGGGTCACCCCATTTCACGTAAGTGTTAGTCTTCAAGTACGCTTTTAACTCGTCATCTAACATATCCATATCCACCTCGCCGTACAACACAATGATAACTCTGGCTCTTCCTTCCGCCATCGCTTGAGTATGCGCAGTACGAAACTCCATTTTGCCCCAAACACTTTCCAGGAAATTCGGGGAAAGCACGACTAAAGTCCTGCGGGACTTCAAAACAGACTTCGTGACTTGCGTCGAGATCATTTCCCCGGGGATAAAGTGTCTGTAGTGGAGACACAGCTTGTAGGGATTTGGGCCACCTTCTAGTACCGGGAGAAGGTTCTGGATGATGAAATCTTCGTCTTTGTGGGAGTAGCTGATGAAAGCGTCGTACTCCTTGTCTTTGTCGAGCTCTTCTTCCGTTACCCACCACAAGAGGTACCCATGGGCGAACAGCCAAATTTTGATGGGTTCTTGGTGGCGATAGAACAAGAACATGAGGAACATGACGAAGAGCACGAACGACAGGACGGGTAGAAGGATGTAGAAAAGCAGATTCGCGAAACAAAGGTCCGTTTCACTTAAACTGTGAAGTAACCTTTGGTTGTGGTGACACTTTACTTGGCTGACGTCTACTTGACTAGAATGCTGACGTAGAAACTTGGTGAAGGTGAGTGAGTCGCAGTCGCAAGTCCAATGGTTGTTGTGGAGGGTTAAAACAGTGTCGTTGAGTCCATCCAGAACGTTGTAAGATAGAGAGGTGAGATTGTTGTTGTCTAGATGGAGTTCCTGTAAAATCGTTAGTAAAATCTAAAAAGGTAACAGCTGCTCTAGTACCTTCAAGTTTGGCGGCAACCACTCCATTTTCTTAATATTGTTGTTGGACAGGAACAACCTTGTGATATTGTCGTACCCTGTGACATTTTCAGAAGGTCCAGCTTCCAAAGCATTACCTTGAAGATGAACCTCGGTTTGATTGAACGTAAACAAACTCATTAATTCTTTGTGGTTGATTGCTGGAAATTCCGTCAAATGCCTCTGTGAACAATTGACGACCACGGAGGTATCAAACGGCCGCCAACTACAAGAACATGACAAAGGACACGCGGATGTGTTCTTTATTCCACAGGTTATATCATCAGGTCGTAATTTCACCAATTTAGAACCTTTGGCTTTTTTGGGAGCTTGACAGACCACGTCGTCACTGTCTATGATAAAATTTTCTGACGTATTTTGGTGAATCTCGTTCTTTAAGAATCGAAAGAGATCGTAGTTGTCACAGTTGCAGTCAATTGGGTTGTCTCTAAGCGAAAATTTGATCCTTCCTTGTCCACGCGAGTTGTCTTCGATGTCTTCGAAGTCAACTTTGGTGATGTTGTTGCGATCAAGGTTGACCTCTACGTCATAGGAAAATGGTACTTCTGCCAACTGAAACACAACTCTTTAAGGTTCACATAAATTGTTAACTGTGGCTTACCTTTATCACCGTGAGGCGATTATGACTCAGATTCAGCACCTTGAGTTTTGAGTGGAAGCTTGTCTGCACCACGTCACGTATATCTGTGATTAAATTGTGACTCAGATCCAGCTCCTGCACATGTTCGAGTTGTGCCAAAATATCTACTCGTTTTTCATTTTTCAAAAGCTGGTTTTGGGACAAATTGATATCTATCAAATTTCTTGTACCGTAAAACGCTCTATGGTGTATCTTCACGATACGATTCTTCTCCAGGTTGATAATTTTCAAACCTCCCAACTCTTGAAAAACCAAGTCATCAATCTCGCTAATCAAGTTATCTTTAAGGTTCAGATTTTCTAGATTTCTGAGTCCTTGAAACAACCGCGGAGAAATCGTTACCAACTTATTTCTTTCCAAGTTGGTTTCATTTAGATTTGTGGAATTTTCGAAAATGTGTTCAGGTATAGAAGATAAGTCACACTGTGACAAATCGACGATCTTCAGCGAACCCAAATTCGCAAACAAGTAATCAGGGAGTTGCAACTCGCGATTGTGCATCATCCGAATCTCAGTGAGGTTTCCATTATTTTTAAAAATATTAGGCGATATAGTTCTAATACGATTGTCAGACAAATTCACAGCTGATAAATTTTTTAAATTCCGGAACGCATTCTCTGAAACATTTTCGATTCTGTTGGTTCTGAGTTCAAGCATCACTAGATTTGACAATCCAGAGAAAGTTTCATCTGTTATAACTTTCAGCCGATTGTTGAAAAGATGCAGACTTTTCAGATTTTTTAAATTCTGAAATAGGCCTTCGGGTACATCATCTAGTTGATTTTGCATCAAATACAGGATCTTTAGTCTCGTTAAATTGCGAAAAGCTCTCGCATTTATTACAAGATTCTTATTTTTAGCTAGTTCCAAGGAACGCAGATTCGGAATGTTGTCGAAAGTATCTTCTTCTATGTAAAGGTAGTTTGAATCTGTAACTTTAAGCTCCTCTAACTGAAGTCCTTCAAAGTAGTCACGGTTTAAAGTCACGTTTGTGTAGTTTCTCAAATGAAGAGTTTCAACCGCTTTCATTAAGAAATGGTCTGCGATTTGCTTGAAATTTCGCTCTGGAAGGGGACAAGAATCTATGATCAGTACTGTTTTGTCTCCTGCGATGATATTCGGGAGCAAATCCATACGGAATCTCTTGCTACTGCGGCAGTCTATATTAATAGCTCGTTTTCTTTCCTTGAAGTGGATTATTACATGTTCTTTATTGGAATTATATTCGAGCATTGGAGGACATTGTACTTCTAAATCTGATCCAGGTATACATTGACAGTCGTCGGCGACGTTGCAAACAGGTGAGGAAAAAACTTTGGCGAAAAGCAGGAGGTGGAAAAGGTAGGTTTTGCACCCCATTTCCTGCAAAAAAGCGGATCCTAAACAACTAGAAACTAGTTTAAATGATTCCGTCATATTTGGAAAAACAAGATGGAGTCCCCGGAAGCGAATTTATCATTTATTCAGTGTAACGTTTGACTTAGGCACAATTAAAAATTAAAACTCACCGAAAATATCCAACTGTATCCAAATTTGAAATTAGATAAAAGTAACCTTCAATATCACAAACATGCATTCAGTGAAACAGCAAAACTCAACTAAAACACTTAATTCGAACAAACAAAATGTTATCAATAACAAATAGAACTGCGTTTTAATGATGTATTCATTGGATTCTAGTACACGCTGTTTTTAACGAGCACCAAAAGTAATATTTTACACAAACTGTGTCTTAATTTTGTTCAGGATGTTGCTCTGAGCGCTAATTCGAAAAGACTTGACATTTTGTAAAAACTTTAGATAAACCAGATTAGCGGCGAATTATCGTTATTAAGTAAATTTCTGCGAAGACAAAAAATAAACAAGTCATAAAGCAAATCAACGCGTTATTAAACTATGACACAACGTTATCACTATCAATCAGTGTTAAAAATAGCCTTCGCTGGAAAAACTTTTTTCATGATTAAAGGTTACAGTGCTTACCTGAAACGGTTTTATAGAGAGAAACTTGGTGGATTCATGTGCGACGTGCTTGAACTGCTTATCAGTAGCAGTAGGTCAGTCTTTGTTTAGTTAATTTAGCGGTTTAAATTCAGCACTGTTTCCGTCGGATTGGCACTCCGCTTTTAGACATTACATAAGAATATTCCCGCGCACAATCTTCATCCCTTTTTTGACAATTTTCACCTCTCTGATTTACGGTGCTTCACACCTCGCTTTCGACATCTCACTGAGAACAGGTTTGTTTGCGTGAACAAGCTAGCTGGAATTTATTGCAATAATTTACAATGCGCTATTTACATTTCGAGTTTTGCGAAATTTCCCAGTTGGTTTTTATGCAAAGCATATGCACAGGAATGGACGATAATTATTATTGACCGTCCATATACTTGTGTTAAAGTGAATTCCAATAAGAAGAACGATTCTTGTTATGTTGTGGTTCTTGGAAGAGCAATGTGTTATCTCAAGGTTACACAATGCCATTTCAAAAATTGATTTTGTCTTTATTTTGATTTTTTGCTTCATTTGTGTCGTGGACTGTAATTCCCGCTCATAAAGCTTAATGATGGTCCGACAATTCACGAACATCGTTTTGTGTTTTTATTTCATATTAAATAAGTGGCGCCTTGCTCACTTTTCGTTTTTTTTTACACATATTTATTTTCTCAGTACTGTAATAGTTCGGATTGACCTTCTGATATTTTTTCAAGATCAGGACCCTCCTTATGGTGGGTTAGCGGAATTTCCGAACTAATTAACACCATAAAAAGAAAAATACAAAACCAAACATTAAGAAATTTAAACTCAACCACTTAGTTCCTTTCAGATTCAGCGAGGTTGTGTTGCAAGATAACGAAAGGCAGAAACACACTACACTGAAATTTATGGACAGAATAAAATACAAGAATAAGGTATACATAACAAATAAATTGCGTTGATCAAAACCTGATAACATTTTGTTGTTTACACTTGTACCAGTTACGCCTGAGGGACTTAAGCCTGTTTAAAGCGACTCATTGCGCAATATTAGTGAATATCATTGACCTGTTCACTATTGTCATTTGTCAGTCACGATTTGTACAGTAATTAAATTTTCCTTATGTAATAAATAATTTATGTGGGGACCAATTTTAGGACACAAATCACGAAGCGTAGTGTAATTATTGTAATTATTTTTAAATGATTTAAAGGGGGGGGGGTAGGTTTCAAACCTAGTAGTTGGCCAAGTGTTAAACTCAATTTTCATATTCTATATATATTTTCTGATTGGTAGTGTTACATAATTTATGGTCGAAACCATCTTAGGCTTCACACTCCAAATGGTATCAACGGTAAGAATAATTATCTAAGTTGTGAATACAGGGTGTCCCAGAATTCGCGCCATTCCCGTGAATGACATGTTCCCTGTCCCGAACTGTGCCGTAATTCGCAAAAAGAATTGTCCAGGCTTTAACCGTGTGAGAACTGGAAGGCGATTAAGTTGACCAATAGAGAGGCTGCTTTTATATCCGAACGTTTCTATGTTCAAAGTTACCTATGCCAAGAACAAAAAATCGGGTAATACTAAAGTTGAATGAATTTTTTTCGAATCCCCCTCCGTCAACAAAAGGAAACAGAAGTGTGGTTATAAATTTAATCATTTTGACAATTGTTTGTCATAAACTGTCACGAAGTTCATCACTGACCTGAACAGACGCTTCTGCCCCCAAAGATGACTGATTAATGTACACAGAGACGTCAAGGTTTACTTTAAGGCAAGTAGCATGGCACAGAAGTTATTTCTGCTGCCATTCTAGTTAAATTGTGTTTAACTGGGCTGTACATGTCATAAGAGAAGCTGTTTCATTTCATCGTAGGGGCAATTTCATGGTGTCGGACGTAAAATTTGGAACACAAAATACAATGTAAAAGCCTCCTGCATCAATTCATAATAATTTTGATACTATTATTGCTAACGAAACATCTAATAAGACATCGTAGATTATAAAAATAATATATTTGCAGCAAATAGTTCCCACATGTTTAAGCGAGAATCTTACATATTTTGGTGTCGGACGTATTCACACAAAACCATAACCAAACAGTGAGTTGTATGAACGTAATTTTCTGCGAATTTTGGAAATATTCGAAGTATTGAGAGAAATCATACTATGAAATGATATGTTTAGAATACACCTATAACGTCAAACCATAGTTAACAATTTAATTTGTATATTTTAAAATAATTTAAGTTTGGTGTCGGACGTAAATTTATGGTGTCGGACGTAAACTTATCAAATAAAATTATGCAAATAAAATGGTTTAAAGGTATATTTAACTAGAACAACATTTAATTCTTAATGAAAACAAACTAATAGGACTAAACATTTATTTTTACTCACCGAGGAGTATCTCCAGACAACTCACTTATGAGCAAATCGCCTTTTCCACAAGGCTGCACAAAATGAAGAGATTGACAATCAGTAATAGACTTCGCGGTTTTCGATTGGTGTCGTTTAATAAATGTGTGCCAGAAGAACTGTTTCAGTTTAGTCTTCAGTTTTTGAAATATTTGTGAAGATGTTTCAGATAAATTGATTTTGTCTGTGCGTCCATTGATATTTTGCCACTGACAGTAGGTACTCTAGCACTATTTCTTCAGTTCGCAAATATTTTATTACGGCATAAATCACAAAGTTGTAACATACAATCTTTCGAAGAATCGTCGCAAACGATTTGAGAAATAAATTCTCCAGTATTTGTTTTTAGATCTGTGCACTTTGCAAGTGTATCGAGTAAAAGTTTGATATTTTCGTGGTATATACAAACACATACCGTATGTGGAAGAGATCGAAAGAGTTTGCAGTGTTTTGGTCGTAAAAGAGTAAACTTTGTAAATCCTATCTTTATATCTGAATGTACAGTCTGAAAATGTGAGTACGTTTCTTTTAATGACGACAATAAATATCTTGCTTGTTTTTCCACCTTTTTCCCACTTTCTTTGTATACAACTTTATCTTTTTTTCCAGGAGCTTGCCAACTGACTTCGTCTTGTTCCTGAAAGTTTTTCACAATATCTGAATGATTGTCCTTTTGTAACGGGAAAATAGGCGGACCGTCGTTAACATCTATTTTGTACTGTGAAGCCAACTGATAAATCACTTCTTTCAGCTGACTTTGGCAAATTATTAGTTACCTTCTTTAAAGCTTTTCCCAATGCTTGTCGACTTTTGTAGACGGTTGATAATTGTTCAGTAGAAGAACTAGACTCTACATTTTCTTTACTTTTTTGCTTCTTCATTTTATACCAGTTTTTCATTCTTTCGCATTCCTTTAATTTCAATTGTTTTAGCTGGTATGCTGTCATTTTTTGATTACGCTTGGTCCGGTACTCAATTTTCCTTAATCTGTCCTTTTCCAGGTATGCTTTTTTCAATTCAGGATTACTGTTTAATTTTGCCCTTCTTCTTGCCATTTTTTGCTGATTTGTTAACGCCATTATTTAACACGCGTATGCAACAATTTATACATAGATACATTTAGAAAATGTCAAAAAAATAATTTCGAACCCGCCTAGGCTTGCGTAGGTTTCTATGTTCTGCGTGACGAGACTTTCGAAATTTAGAAATAGAAATATTTTACGTCCGACACTACTATTTTACTAAAGACCGTCAGAGTATACTTGAACTTAATTATCTCAAGAGTTGTATCATCTAAAGGTTGCATTATATCCGGTAAACTGATTAATTATTATTTCAAATTTACATGTGGCAAAGATATTTTGTATTTTTTTTGGTGTCGGACGTAAACGCTTTCAGTAAGTGTATTTATTTTATTCCTTTTGTAATAATTACCCCAAATTGTATTGATTAAATTCGGGTAAAGTAACACCTGACAATCATTATTAAGAGCAATATTACAATTTGTCTTGATTATAAAGCGTAATAATTATTTTTGTTTAAATTACGAAGTCACCATGTAATATGACAATAATTAAGTATTCGGTCATATTATAAAAAACACTCAAAAATTAAATAATTTCAAAATCTTTTCAAAAATCAATACTAGTATGAAACTAATGAATATTTACTCCAGTGGTGGAAGTAAATTTAATTGTATAAATTTGCAATTAATTTTATTGATGTGAAGTTGACAAATTTGTGAAACTGCCCGTAGGCAAATAATACATTTATTACTATTCTACATAGAGTAGCTACCGAAGAGCAGGTATTAGAAGTGATTTTCTTAGAGCCCCGTGAATAATGTGTTGTTCTTTTTAACGAAAATTAGTACATTTTCAGAATGCATCATATGCCTGATATTAAGTTTATCGTTATTTCTAAAAAAGAGTACCACATGTCCATTCAAAGAACGTTATTAAGTGTATTTAAACATAAATATCGCTTTTGATTAATCAGTGATTATGATTTTCAATAAACAGTATCAATTTTTACTGAACAGCTTTGTTGCTGATACCTAATCTAAGCAACGAAAAAATAGACGAGACTCCACTTCTCTGGTGTATTAAGATCATAGGTATCTGCTGTGGTGTCAATCATGTGGGGAAGATACTGAAAACTGAGACTTATTCAAGAATAATATTGATGTTGCACATGATGATTTAAGACAGTTTCTTTAAAGTTGTGAGTACATACTTTCTAGAGATTGAAAAGATACGAATAAAAATTATAACAATAGTTGCAATTTTTTTTAAGAACAATACAAACAATTTATGGAGAATGTACACGCTATGCAGCCACTGCTGTGCGCGAATATACAGGTCTTTTCCCCAATCATCGGCTCCTTGACCAGCATGTGTTTCGTCGTTTGTTGCATCCAGCAAAAGAAGATGGATCTTTTCAGCCTATGCGGAAAGCCGTGCTGGGGCTCCACGGATTATACGCATAGACAGTGAAGAACAAGTGGCACAAATGATTGGATGCTCAAGATCGATCATGCATCGTATCCTTACAGAGAAAAATCTGCATCCTTACTATTGACGAAAGTGCAGCATCTGCGACGAGCCGACTGCGCGACGAGTGCATGTTGCTATATGGTTACTGCGACAAAATGAACTAAATCCTGATTTTTCACGGCACATTCTTTTCGCCGACGAATGTTGATTTTCCCGAAAAGGAATATTTAATGCGCACAATTCACTTCTTCTGGGCAAACGAAAATCCACATTTCGCTAACGTGAGAGCATATCAAGAGCAATACTATTAATCTATGGGCTGGAATCGTTGTACTGTAACGTTATT